AAGGGAGCCTCAGCATACGAGTTAAAACTCCCGGTTAAATGGCGAATTCATAACCGATTCAACGAGTCCCTACTTACCCCGTACCAAGCACCCAAATTCCCTAACCAACCACGTCCTGATCGACCACCCCCCAAATTGATTGATGACGAGGAGGAATACGAGATTGAGGAAATTGTAGGAGAAAGGGACCATGTCGTTGGACGCGGACAGACCCGCCGCACCATTACCGAATACTTGGTAAAATGGAAAGGGTACCCGGTGGAGGAGAACTCGTGGGTCAAACGCTCTAATATGGCCAACGCGGAAGAGCTCGTTCAGGACTATGAGGCCTGCGTGCAAAAGATGGTGTGGAGCATCAATGATAAGGGGAAAACAGTTGGAAGGGATACTAAAATACCCCCAAATACCGTGGTATGGTATCACGAGCCAGACACCCCTTGCATGACAGACATCCTTACAGTACCGTCCTCACAATGTACGGCCTCACGACATTCAGAGAGAGTTAACGCCGTGGGAGAAGTAGCTGCGTCTGACGCTGGAAACTGACGAGGACCCATATCGACTACCTCCTCATTCCAGCGCCTAATTACCGAGATTGTGCACGCCACAGATACAGCCTTGCTAGAAAAGAACAGAAAATTCTTGCAAGACCACCCAAGTGAATACCCATCTCCAGTGAAAGCACACCCACGTCACCTAATGGAACATCAGTCCGACGACCCTCGAAGACAAGAATCCTACCTTAAGAGACGGCAGATTGAAATCGAAACCTCCCGACGAGAAAATCGACAGTATAAGGACCCCGAAAGTGACGATGAAACAGACGTCAACCATCTTCAAAAGGTCGCGGAAAACTGGAACGACCATGAACAAACTTCGGACATTGACTCCTTTGAGTCAGACGGGGAGGATTCTGATGACTCATTCGGGACGAACGAGTCTTAAGGGGGGGGGGTAATGTTATGGTTTATTCATTTTTCTTCGTTTTACTCAGTGTGATTACTCATATGCAATCCCTGCAGATCATTTCCCACAGTACTATTATTAGCACATCCACTTGTATTTAAGTAGAGCCTCAGCTGGTCTGAACCCCAGCTTTGGCTAAGGTTTAATCTACCTAACATCGAACTCTGTTCTTCGTGACTATCTGTCCCATCGACTTTCGTCGCCTTTGACTTGCTAGAGTATCGTCTACCGAAGTGCGAGTAGCGATCCTAGTACAATCTAAGTCGATTAGAGTTAGTGGCTAACATAAGGGTCATAAAGAGTTAGGAGGCGGGGAGATTAGATATGGAAGGAATGTATGAGCTTCATCGCTCTGTCAAGATAATCTGTGTCGAGTGTCACACTAAGCGCAGGATCCTCGATATGTGGTGGATAGGATTCAAGCCATTGAGCTACTGTCAAACCCTCGATATACTCGAAGAGCAGGGCAAGCGCTATTTCACCATTCTGTATCGTTAACTATCCATGAACATTAGACCTACTGAAAATATCACTTAGAAGCAAAAGCTCGCCATTTGCCCAGGGTTCGGATACTCGACAGTCACAGTTCGAAGGGAAACGGACTACTGAACGATCTTTAATACGACTTTCTGCCACTTAGACTTGGGGCCACCACTCTGATCCGGTCTGAAGTAGGGTCTTGAGGTCTAGAGAAACGTGATGTGATGGATACACTCAACGTGTAGCTAGGATGCAGAGGATTTTTAGAAGCCAAGGCACGGAACCGCTCAAGATCAGCACAATATTTAGAGAGTTTTCCAATAGAATTCGGAAGAGAGCACAGAGGATTGGATCAGAACGAGTGGTGATGGAAATATTTGGTCGCGGTTATTCAGTGCACTAGAAACGAGATGTAAGGCACTTGCGAGCCCCTTTGCCTTGTATTGAAGATGATCTGCATCTAAAGTCGACTCCAGAGCGGGTCCCTGTTTCATTGTTGCTGTCGCTGTCTCCATCCGAGTCTTCTTCCGGACTAACGTGTTCATCGTGACTCTTCAACCACTCATCCATCGTCAACCCCTCAACATACTCCATAATCAAAACTCAGGTGACTTCGCCATTTGGCATAGTGAGCTGTAAACCATCCAATCACCAACAGAGAAACGCGAGCTAATATGGAACATTGTGCAATCCGAAATAATATGGTACAACGGTTCCTTGAAGCGGCAAGAGTGTCCGGTAGACAAGGTCTTCCATCTTGGTGAGTTCTCGAGGGGAGATACATCCCGCAAGGGATCTAGGCTCGGGGATGGGGAGGAGCGAAAGCTCGAGAATCTTCAGGATGACTTGGCCTAGAGATTCATTGCTATTCTCATCCTTCCGAGTTACTCATCCCATACACACAAGCGAGCAAGGGATACACCTCATAAGGCCAGTTGTGTATACAATTCTGTGAGGCCTGCAGGCCTGATAAGTATACACATGTATGAGAGCCTGGATCCAATCTAAATCCGCATTTTCTCAAATATTGGGCTCATTTCCCATCAGGATGGGCTAGAATCTTCCGTGGGGCCTTTCATAAAAATCTATAATTAGCCTGTAAAGTCAGCCCATCAATATCTGGCCGAAATCGGCTGGATGCGGCCAAATGATGGCATCATAGGGGCTATTTTCCGGTCAGAATAGGATTTAGGCTGGTTTCTGGGTGCTCGGTGGGTCAGGGAATGGCACTGGAATATTAATAAACATAAATAACATAAAAGCGGACCTACTGATGAGGTATGGGGGCTCTGGAGAGCATGTAATATAGGTATTTTCACAAAAATGGCTACAATATTTGCTTTTTGGGGGGTTTTTAGGGTGATACATGCATTGGATCGACTGGGGGACTTCACCAATGAATTTCCTGACCTTGAAAACCCCCAAACGATCCCTGTATAGCACTTGTGGCACATTTTATTACTAGGATTAGATGAGCATATTGGATTTTTAGGGTGCAGCATGCTTTGGATTTCTCTGAAAACTATACCAGTCGATTTGTACACTATGAAAACCTTAGAATACATTGTCTTCTATAATATTTGACCTGTATAATACTGTAAAAAAGTGGGGATTGGGGTGCACATATGGTTTATTTTGTTTTCTGTGCTTCGGATGAATCTGGTATTATCACCAATAGATTCCTTGACATTTAAAACCCTAAAACGACTATAGGAACCTTTTATTGGGCTCCATAAACGATGGTAATAACAATATCACAGTTTAGGAGGAGCACATATGGAAAATCACTTTTCTGTACCTCGGAATACTTCAGAACTTCTACCAGTTTACTCCTTGACCTCAAAACCCCTCGTATAACACAAGGATTCGAAGAAAACCTACAAAAATACATGTTAAAAAAGAGTAATAGGGGATGGAGGAGATATACCTTGTATTATGCATTTCTAGTGGTTGGAGAAGGTATTCCTGCTATATGAGAGACAATATATGCTGTATAATTATTTGTACAAATTCCTACATTTATCCGAAATGTATTGGAAGAGATATAAGCAAATCATTATGCAAATGATGAGGAGCACATCCCCAATTTCGATATTCTGATCATTCTATAGCTTGGGGAATGTCAGAATCGGATTCCTTGACCGAGAAAATGGTAGGATTATCCATCATCCATGGTCATTTCATCAAGAAAACATCTAGTGGTAAGAACAAATCAGACTGCAGCAATTGTCAAGGAAAGTCCATATTGTACTTCGGAGTGTTGACACTTGACTTCCCATGGATGATTGGTGATCTTACCATTTTCTCGGTCAAGGAATCCGATTCTGACATTCCCCAAGCTATAGAATGATCAGAATATCGAAATTGGGGATGTGCTCCTCATCATTTGCATAATGATTTGCTTATATCTCTTCCAATACATTTCGGATAAATGTAGGAATTTGTACAAATAATTATACAGCATATATCGTCTCTCATATAGCAGGAATACCTTCTCCAACCACTAGAAATGCATAATACAAGGTATATCTCCTCCATCCCCTATTACTCTTTTTTAACATGTATTTTTGTAGGTTTTCTTCGAATCCTTGTGTTATACGAGGGGTTTTGAGGTCAAGGAGTAAACTGGTAGAAGTTCTGAAGTATTCCGAGGTACAGAAAAGTGATTTTCCATATGTGCTCCTCCTAAACTGTGATATTGTTATTACCATCGTTTATGGAGCCCAATAAAAGGTTCCTATAGTCGTTTTAGGGTTTTAAATGTCAAGGAATCTATTGGTGATAATACCAGATTCATCCGAAGCACAGAAAACAAAATAAACCATATGTGCACCCCAATCCCCACTTTTTTACAGTATTATACAGGTCAAATATTATAGAAGACAATGTATTCTAAGGTTTTCATAGTGTACAAATCGACTGGTATAGTTTTCAGAGAAATCCAAAGCATGCTGCACCCTAAAAATCCAATATGCTCATCTAATCCTAGTAATAAAATGTGCCACAAGTGCTATACAGGGATCGTTTGGGGGTTTTCAAGGTCAGGAAATTCATTGGTGAAGTCCCCCAGTCGATCCAATGCATGTATCACCCTAAAAACCCCCCAAAAAGCAAATATTGTAGCCATTTTTGTGAAAATACCTATATTACATGCTCTCCAGAGCCCCCATACCTCATCAGTAGGTCCGCTTTTATGTTATTTATGTTTATTAATATTCCAGTGCCATTCCCTGACCCACCGAGCACCCAGAAACCAGCCTAAATCCTATTCTGACCGGAAAATAGCCCCTATGATGCCATCATTTGGCCGCATCCAGCCGATTTCGGCCAGATATTGATGGGCTGACTTTACAGGCTAATTATAGATTTTTATGAAAGGCCCCACGGAAGATTCTAGCCCATCCTGATGGGAAATGAGCCCAATATTTGAGAAAATGCGGATTTAGATTGGATCCAGGCTCTCATACATGTGTATACTTATCAGGCCTGCAGGCCTCACAGAATTGTATACAATTTAATTCCTGTGCTTACAGGGCAATTGTACACAATATTGGCTATATGGCCTCAGGGATATCCAGATCGCTGAAATTCTGGATGAACGACGTGATCGTGATGTTATACGTCCCGGAAACACATGCAAAAAGAGGGAGATCCCGAGCCTCAGGTGAGTCAGATTTCCGGAATGCGGCAGGAAACGTGACAGTGAAGACGTAGTGAATGTTCAGCGACCGGTCTCGTACACCCTCGCGGAGCGCGTACAACTCACGAGATTTCGCGCGGAGGATCTTGCTGTCGTTGACATCAAAGTCCCAGCCGAAACGGGGATGATAGGAGGTGGGCTCGAGAGGTTCGTCGGAGGGTGGCTGAGGCATCAGTTCGAGATGTGATGAATTGCTTTGAGGCGGAGATTGAACAGGCGTAATTGTTCTACTCATTCGTCCTTGAACAGTGCCTAATGGCACTACGAGGCATGACCCAGCGTAAAACCATACATCGTGATCTGAAATCTCCTACGTCCTCCAACTAGTCGTATATACCGACTTTGCTTCCTCTGCACCCCAGCAGAATCATCGAAGCTCATAAAAACCGCTATCGATCTGTGTCCCTGCTCACGGGATGATAGATGATCTTATTATTTGCGCTGAACAACGGGAATGGGCACGCTCGAACTTCCACGACAGACAATCGGTAGTCAAGCTCAGAGTGAAACAGACTCTTTGGTCCTCGTGAACCCGAGTCTTTTTCTTTTTTGTTGGATGGTTCTCTTCACGAAGAGGGAGTCGACGCTATGCATATGCGGCACTGAGAGGGGAAGCACAGAATGATGGACGCTGAACAGGATGTGCTTGAGTTGTAATCGCCGGAATACGACGTGCATAGACACGACAAGTACAGGGGTGCTAGCCCACCCTGCCGGTGAACGAGTGAGAAATGGGCCCGTCCCACCGGTTCTTTTGTCTGGCCGGGGGTTTCTTTAGCTAGGGACGTTGTTGAATAAAGAATGCTGAGAACGTCCACAGTGAAGGTAGGAAGAACGAAGACAGTATGTTATTAGGTATAAATCTACGAATCATGAAAGGGTGGTAAGGGTAAATAGTAACATGAACTGATACTAAAACCAGCCATCTTCGTGGACGTAGTAGACGATCTACAAAGCACGATTAGTACTTCAGAATAGTAGGATACAATCAAAGAAACGCGTACTGGGGGTCATACGAGTGCAATCACCATCTTCCCGGAACGTCGAACGTCATCCTTACCCTGCTCTTGAGAGGCCCGCAGCTCGCAGCTCTCCTTCCTGGAACCCGGCTTAACAATGAAATCGTCATCTTCACTATCATCAAGGACAAAAAAACTCGCTCAGTTCCCGTGAACCTCCGCTCCTTCAATGGAACGAGTTTCTTCGGAAGAGGTGGCGGCAAATGTGGAACACTGGGATGAACCCTTTTCATAAACAGATCTGCCGTAAAAAGATACGACGAATCGAGCGGGGGAAAGTCGGTATTGGACGGCCCCACTCGACTCCATTCGGAAAGACGACGTGTTCAAGAGCAAGACACGCAGTAACCAGATGAACCGCGTGTGCACATTCGCTCATTACTGGTTACCATCAAATGCTGGAGGAACTGATCGTCGAAGACATAGAGCGCGTTCTGGCTCATTTCGGGAGAGGGAAACTCTCGTCGAGGGCTTCTTCCATTGGTTTAACCAGTGCCAGTCCCGGTCTACACATTACCAGCACACGGAGAAACTTGAAGTGAGGAACAATCCAGACCTGCATACCTCGCCGCTCTTGCCCTCTACTTCGAGTTCCCCAATGTCGGGACATACAATGACCCGTTGCTTCGGAGGGAGGGAGGGATTCGAGCGTGGAGGTAGGCCGAAAACCCGCACATATCGTCGTAGAAATGGTGATAGACACGATGATTAGAGGTTGAGAGATCGCGAGGAAGGTTACCAGGTCCGGTGGGAAGTGCAGAATGGGCAGATTAGGGAGCAGGAGTGATTGTTGGATACGTGAAAGAATCGTGAGTCCGTGTCAGAGCAGGCAGGAGCGGAGATTGCGGAGGTATGGGAAAGGGTGTTAGCCGACTAGGTGCGGTGGGGCACCGTGACAGAGAGAAGCAATGTACGTATCAGAGTGGCAGGAAGTGGCCGTAGATGGTGGCGAGTCATCGTCATAATCTTCAATGACGAATGGAAACCGCAATAAGACGATATGGCAGAGATCAAATGCAGAGTAGTTGCCGCGCGATGTGGAGATCAAAGGAGAGGGAGTGGAGGTTGTCCGTGCGAGCGAGGACACGTGGTATAAGGTACATCCGGGCCTGGGGTGATGGCCATACAGGGACGCGCAGGGTGTGTGTGAGTGATGTGAGGTCTCGTCGTGTGATGAGGAATACCTATAGCGCGTCGGGGTTCTGCATACCGGTCATGTGGAGGTTGCCGTATAACACGGGCCTGGGCGGGCTGAGAGAAAGTCACGAGAGAGCAGAGTGAGTGCGCGCGCCGATGTGAGCAGGAGGAACGAGAGGATCACAGTCAAGCACTTCTACTGGTAGAGGCGGAGTGCCGTATAATGGTTTTGGCAGCGGTACGCTGGGAGAAAAGGGAGCTGAACACAATATGCATGCTCCCTCGATCGACGGCCCGAGTCCAGAAGACCTCCGAATATCATCCATCACGACTCGCTCGATGACGCCGATACCTTGCTCTCCCTCTTCCACTTCTAACACCGACTCTTTCCACCCGTTCCACCACGCGTTGTGACGGCTCGAAAATCGTCGACATCTTTATCATTAGCCAGCATCCTGTTGCAGCGTTGCGAATGGAGGAACATGCTCGACGTCTTCGAGACCTTGCAACCACTGGAAAAAGCGAAGTTTATCTCATCTGGCCATCGACGAGAAAGGCGCCAACGGACGTACCAAATCCTAGAACTCGCGGCGGCCGCGTAAGAGATGAGATGAACGAGCAAGCCAGGAACGATCAGGCATCAGCGCTTCTTTCCGTCCCGTCCTTCAAACTGAGTGGTGTTGGGACCATCGCACAATCAGAGAGATGGCAGGATGAGAGAAACCACGCCAAGTGCCCTGCCCTAAAGTCTAAAACAGTTACGTGATCGGCCCGATCTCGCCGATGTGCGCTCCTTCCCTTGCTCTTTCTTACCGCACAGCCTAGGTACGTCCTTTCCTCTTTTGCGTGTTCCTTCCAGTTTATCAGTCTCTACAGGTAGTCAAATGACAATTTTACCTTCCCTCTCTGCTGTTTCCACGAAGCGGATCAACGTTCAACAAGAACGCAACCCAAGCAAGAGTTGCCTATCAAACTGCCGGCTATGCATCAATGCACAGACTTTGCCATATGGACTGCCAGTAATCTTATTCCAACTTTGGTTAGCTTTTCTTTCTGCGCCAACACGGGGGATTTTCTTATGGAAATATTGTAGCCCGATGCAATGAGAACACTGTACTGATGGACCAGCCCGGATAAATACGCCTCGCCATTATCCGGGATGGAGCCTAACCTTTTTGAGTAAAGGACACAGGAGGGGAGATGTTGACTTTGTTAGGTGCGTCGCGTATTGCGACCATAGGGCAATTTCTAACAAGAAACGGGTAGCAATACTCGGCGCGGAATAAAGCATCACTGGACGCTCCCAAACCTAGCTTTTTTAAATTGTCTGGTCAAACCAAATCGGTATTTCAAGCTAGGTACAGCGGACGATAAATTACAAAGTCCATAAGAGTAGCCACTTACAATTCCCAGCCAAAATAAAAACAAGCAACACGCGACTGTAAAGTGCTGTTTCGATCGGGAGGTTTCGAACCGTCCTGTTGTTGGCTAAAGTCCGTTCTCAACCAGTAAGTAAAATTTCAACACTGCAGTAATTCAGTCCTCGTCATGTTGGAAGCATTAATTTTAAGCATGATAGGTACAATATAGCCCCGAAAGACTACTGCTCGCACGAAGTGATGCCGACGTTCACAAGGTCCAAGGACACGGGGAGCTGAGTGTGATGCACCAGTCCGATGGCTTTCCTGCTCCGAGCACGTGGTCGCGACAATCGTGGAGATCTCACTGTACACGCTATGAGGTTCAGCGAACATTGGAAGGCCAAGGCAAAAACGGAGCTGGACGTTGAGGCCTGCGTAAAGCAGGCAGGAGAATTGAAGCTCCGCTTTGTAGTTCCGACGCGCCGCGGGTCTGCGAGTCTGCGGGGTACGGTGTCCGGGGTACAGCCACCGTGATTGAGGGTCCGACCTGGGAGCTGCTTTCTTCCTTTCCTACCTTCACTACGCTCCCATTTCATCGGTCGATCTCACGGTTCCCAATGGGTATCTCTCGCCTCTGTGATTATCTTCTGTCGAATATATTCCAAGGACTCAGGCGTGACGCAGAGTGCCTCAATCAGTACCAGCGTTGTCGCAATAGTAGCAGAAACCAATTGATGCCAGTTAAGATGGCTGAGGAATTCAGCATAGGTGAGCCTGAGAAACTTTACCTCGTCCGTTATTACTAATGTAACTCGTGTAGTCTAGTAGTTCATTACACGAGCACACTTTCGCCGCCTACGATCCCGTACGATAATGTCATCATTCCCCGTCGACTTATAGATTATATCCCGTGTATCGATTAAAACCTGCGACGTTTTCAAATGCTCTGCACGCACTGTGCACAACTATGACTAAAGAACCAAGAATTGAGATGTCCGTACAAAAGGATTTACGATCCCACACCGCGTGGATTACTCTGTGTTCCGTTAATTGGCCTCTAAGAATTCTGGTGGAAAGATAGGGCTGCTCTCTGCATCCACCTGCGTAATCGGTTGGAGTTACTATTCACCTCTTCGTGGGTCCTACATGATTCCTTTTTTTCTTTCTGGATCTAATCCGTTTCATTACAGTTTGAATGAAGAATGAAGTGTCGCTACTTGAATTTCATCGTACCCGTGCATTCATTGTTAAATCGGGAGTCCATGAGGACCCACGTGTCAAAGTTCCACAGATGGTCGCAGCTGGTATTACTGGGTCTTTATCCGACCTGGAGACGTCAGTGCCGTTTCTTCGGTATGCCCGTTTTTCTTCATTCTCGTCGATCTGTATCGTTTATCTCTGTTAACATCAAAGATTGACTCAGACGAATGATTCTGCTACGAACGTCTATGCCGAAGGTTGCCTGCGAAATCGAAACACGGAGAACTCGATGACCAACACGCATCGTTACCATGGACGAGAGGGAAAACATCACTGCGAGTTCTGTGAGCCTTTGATAACATAGGTATGTTCATTATCTGACGTCGTCTTGATATTACTGAATGTGCAGCAAATTGTCAACGTGCGAATGTTTTGACCACCAAGTTCACGCCCTGGTTCAGCTTCAAGTCTCGGCTCGAGTGTGTCAATGTCGGCGGCGATTGGTCAGCACCGCTCGGAACTATACGAGTACTTTCGTTGGCAGGAGGAAGGTACATCTGCTTCAGCGCCTTTCTCAGCTCAGACATTTCCTTCCGCATGTTCTACGACTTACGATGCATGTGTTTACAAAGTCAAAAGGTTTGCTACGTGTCAATGACTTTTCCTGTGTATTACACGACGACGATTGACTTGACAGTACCCGTTTTCCTCTGCTTTCAATGCAATGTCTTCGAACATACGTGCAACGCTTTCACGATTTCCCGTGTGGATGTAAATATGCAAGGAATCAAAGCTCCACTTGCTAGCTTGGGAGCACCAGCCTTCTTTGTTCTACGCGGTAGGTACTCCCATCCCTCCCGATTGGTTTATGATTTTTTGATATTTAGTTAGCGGTACTTTTCCTTGTCTTACGTCAGCAAGGCCCTTCACAGATGAATTGTTGTGGTCCGCCAACACTGTTCCATGCGCAGCGAGCCTGGTTTGGCGGCGGCAAACTTGCCGAGGGCACGGCTGCAAAATGTCGCCTCTAACTCAATGAAAATGGCTTATGGCACGGAGAAGTGTCTGAAGCAATCCCTGAGAAAGTCACCAAAATTTACAAGCGTTTAGCTGATGTCTGCCCCTCCCAATAACCAAAGTCGAGGTACCTGAAGGAGATAATCAACCGTGCATGGTATCATTACTGTTCTCAGCGTCATTTCTATATAGACTGACTATCACTCCGTATCATAGCCTCGTCATAATAATGTACAGTTTCCAGCTTGACTTGGCTTTCCTGGTTATCTGAATTGGCGCGATTGCGGGGTTTATTTAACGTTGGTAACAATGCGATCGAACGTCTGTATATCATAATGAAACGCGGGCCAGTAATGTCATGAGAACATTCTGATAAACTAACGTGCTTCGAGCGGCAAAGTTGACTAGCGCCGTCTCCAACAATTTGGCTGCTCCGCGGAGATCGCCAGAAGCTGAAAACTGGAGGGCCTGTTCCTTATCGTATGGTCCATCAATTTTGATCGAGAAGCGCATACACTGTGGCGAGTCATGTTAATGCTCGAGACTGGTCTGCAGTTCAATGCCATGTGCGGCGGGTTTGTCATTGCACCGGGGGATTATATGGCCGGTGAGAGATAGTTCTATTCGTGGATGTTCATAACTTGGAAGACCGGTCCGTGTCTCTGCTTTTTCGTAGTTCTCAATACGGACATTTCCTTAAGTGACCTACTACTATGCTGCTCACGATCGGTTGTTCCACGACAAGCTCGTAGTATAAGATAAGGTAGTGATGACTAGAACGTGTAGGAATACTTTGAATGTAAGAACGCAAGAGCCTATCACGAGAATAAGGAACAGGGAGCCATCATATCTCGAGTGAAGTAGCTGTACAATTAGTTAGTCACAGCAGAATGTTCAAGGACGACCGGTTCAGGACATACAGAATAAATATACGAGAAAATGACCAAAAGGATCCTCAGATAAGTATTTCAGTTATATGGAAAGCGGCGATAGTGATAGGAGACATTGGTTGGAAATTACGCGGCACGAAACAGAGTGACTTCGGACAAAAGCAGCGATAGCGATAGAAAAGGATGATCACAAATTGGGAGAAAGTTCGCGGCGCAGGGGCGCGCGGAGCAAGAATGGCGTTTAGTATGAGACCTGAGGACAAGGGGCTGGTAAGCGATAGAAAACTAGAGAATGGAAAGAGAAATACACGGATTTATATCCAGGCCGTTTACTTGAATGGGCATCCTGGTGCATGGTCACCCCTCCATCCGCAGTGGCAGCATTGTGGCTCATTGGGTCTGCGGTACATGAACATTGGCGCCCCCGACGATGGCGACTGCGAAGTTATTGGACACTTTACGATCGCATGGATAGTAGTCCTTGCTGGAGGGCGTCGAGGAGAATGACGACGAAATGCACATGATGAATTGTGAAATAAGAGGATAAGAGGGCGGTACTGGTTTAGATGTAAGGCAGGGATTGACTGAGGATCGTTTGGGAGAAAGAGGTCTGCCTTATATCAGGTCCTAAGAAGGTATCCATATTTAGTACTGGTATCAAAGAAATATAATGTGTCGCGCCGCACAGAAGATATCGGGCTTGGCTAAACGAGATCTCTGACTAACCGATGGCGGCGCGAAAAGTTGTAAGCAGAGGGTCATATTCCATTCTAGCTAGTAAAGTGCTTGAGCCGTTCCAGAAAAAGACATCGAGTTCCCGCGTCAAGGGCGCACAAGCCTGACATAATCTTCCTACCGTAAGAAAGACATGTCTTCAATGTCATTGATCTGGGCAGCAACGAGGATACTTCCAGAGCATTGGATCCAAGAATACCAAGAGGTCTTGCAGGGGTTGCGGTGTATGAAACAAATGAACCAGAACTAGAGGGGAAAAGCCAAGAATATCTGTAGGCGGTTGGTTGCCATATACGTCACAGTTTATCAGTCGTGTAGTAGCGTTCGTGAAAGGCCTGGTGTCGGGTGTGACGTTAACATTATGAGCCAGAAGTTAACCGTCTGCAACCAACCAACAAGCAATACGAAGCCAGGAATAGAAAAGAGAAGAAAAGCCAAAGCAACCCTGATATTACAAATTCAAGGTCCGTGGGAATCGTTGCACGCGATTTCTCCCTATCAATGAGCACCGCCACTACGTTCTCATCAATTTTAAGACGACCTAATCTTGAATTAACTCAAGCTTCTCCTGCGATATATATGGGATCTGCGAGGATATGAATAAATTGAATCGAAAGCGCTGGTATTCACTAGGAGCACGGGTCCGACATTACTTTCCCTAATGCTTCTTTGCAATCACGCAGTTCGGGTTCTAATTCCGAGAAGACTTGGAAAGTATAGACGTAGTAACACATTCCGACTTCGTTGAGACTTGCATCTGATAGGGCGATGAATGTGGCTGACTCAGGGTTTGGTTTGGGCCGACATTGTCATCATGATTCACTAACGGTTCCGGCCCTTACTCTCTCTGCCAGAATCTTCCCACATTCAAACCGTCGCGACTCAGTAACGGCACGGCCTTTCGTACCTTCTTTTGAGGTATCAGTCTATTTTCGGATTTTCAACTTACTGGTATGATTCGTCAACGGTACTGGTCCCCCGAAAATTGGTATAAGACATGCTTCTGATATGCATCTCCGGTAGTAGCACGAACTTCAATTCAGTAGCTGACGGCCAATTGATGGTATAGGACACGAGCTCAACGACATTCAATTGAAGGCTGCACATAGACATAATATAAGGCGAGTAGTCGGAACTTAGCTGTCATTTTTTACGTCTCTAGTAACGACAACAGTGCTTCGTGTTGTCCTTGCCTTTGACCACCCAAAAGAATGTTTTTGTGCATACAGGGTCGTGACCTTCCCGGAAAGAATTCGCACTTAAACCATGAAGCCCCACGGGGGTGATCATGGAATACTGGGAGTAACGAGGTTAAGTGACCGCATTCGTACTCGAATCATTTCTTGGCGGAGAATCGTTCCGGCACGTGGTAACTGTCAGGTCAGCATCCTATCCCTGAAGATCATATAAACACGTTGCCTTGACCCAAACCTACACGGTGTAATACGGCGGGTAACACACTGAGGCATATTTGCCTTGCACGGAGATCCTCACGTTATCAAATGACCCTGAGAATGATTGAAATAATAACTCATTTCCCCGCGTTTAACCACTTCGTTTTCCAGCTTCAGTAACTCACAGGTGTCTGGATCCCATTTAGATTTCTAGGTTTTAGAATGTATATATGCATGCCTCAGGCGAGACTCTGGTTCTCGATCAGTTCTCGCTTGGTATTTAAATTTCCTGGGAAATGCACATCTTTCCTTCGCCTCAGAATCGCCTCTCACGAGATCCGAGATTGTTCGATATTACGCGTAAGGCATATGTAATTTGAAAAACTCATCTCTGATTCTGATTGCAAGCCTGAAGGCTGACATATTTAGAGGGCTGCGTTGAATAGAATCTTATTGCGGTCCTCAAACCTCCGGTAGAGTCATCTATAGCATCAAATGTACCTGGAGTACCCGTCAAAACTCAACGCCGTCTTCCAATATAGTCTGGTCTCTCCTGATTTTCATTACCGAGAATCGTATGATAGATTTCTACAAATGCTTACTCGATTATAGAAAGAACTGAGTTGATGAAACACGATCCTATCATGTCCATGAAATCAATTTAGTAGGTAGCATCTGCGTGAGGATGAAGCTACCTTCATTCTTGTCTATTATCAAGCGTAGTAAGTAGTCTCCCTTACCAAGACTTTAAATGTCGACAGGAGAGCAACCGATATCTGAAATGGAGAGTGCAGGTAAAGCCCAATCGTTTGAAGCTTCATCCCTTACAAACAACTGCCGACCGAGTAAGGCACAGTATGAGACGTTATCTTTTCCGGCCTGTTTTATTACTCAAATCAATATTATCCAAGTCTTCCTTCGCTTATGAATCTATAGAGTCTGCGGGTTAAATGCCGCGGAGCCGCGGGGGTATCGCACCCAAGAACCTGACGAGATGAAGAGTAGATGCCAGAAGCCACCAGAGACGGGAATATAGCAGCTACGTTCCGTAATGCCCTGCGTATTCTAAACAATTCACAACTTCGGTGTGTAAACTGTCCAATACGCTTATAGCGTGCAGTCCTAATGTTCGCTGGTTCACTCTGAGGTTTGAAAAGTACAAGAGAGTATTACAATGCGTAAGGACATGCAGATGAAGAATCGTCAGTCTGACTATCGTTCTGACCCACTTGTATGACTCAGACAATAGTGATCATTGGGCATGCACCGCTCAAATCTATCATCTATGAACCCTGCCAACCGGCACTGTGGCAACAATGTCAATAGGGGCGGTCAGAGTCGCGATTCTGAGGCGATTCTGACCATGATTCTGAAGACGATTATGGTTCCATAATCGTGGGAGAATCGCGAGGAACTCTGACCACCCTTGGCTCTTCGACGATTCTGACCACGATTCTGATGTCGGTTATGTAAGGCGGCTTCTAAGCTTTTGACGTCAAGGGTTGACAGGGACAATCGAAACCATGATCGCCGTGACTGAGAATCGCGAGAATCGTCGAATCGCCTCCAAAGAGGCGATTCAACGATTCTGCACGATTCACGATTCTCCCACGATTCTGTCAACAAAATCGCATCCATAATCGTTGCCATAATCGTGCCATAATCGTGGTCAGAATCGCGACTCTGACCACCCCTAATGGAATGATGATTCTCCTAGCCATGATTGAGAGACGTAAGAGCATACACGCAAGCTGCTTTTTTGATATGAGATTCGGATGTCCGGGCAAAGGACGGGAGTCGGGTATATAAAATAGTATGGCCAAAAGAGGGTGTTTCCGAAGTCTGCGTCAAATACATATTGACATGACATTTTGAGTTTATGAAGCTGGGCTTTTCTGAGCTACCTGAATACATAACTCGAACTATACGGGAATCAGATCCGCTCCTCGCACAAATGCTAATCATGTGTGTAAAACCCAAGCCAAAGTGCTGAGTCGAAGTATCCCCCAATGAGCGAGCTTCAACGCATCAAGCAAGCGTCAACATTTGGTACTTACCTTCATTCTAATTTTTCACCGGATAAGGCCACTATTATTAATAAATGCCTCTAACGACAGCTTGCTACTTTTTAAAAATTGCTCCTAGTCCTCAGTCCCTCTCATTAATAATTTCCGCTCCTCCTCAGGGGAGGGCTCCTGCTTATTCAGCCTTTGTGTAGCATCAAATCCCGCTGCCCGCCTCTCGCGTACTTTTTGCTGAAAGGTAACGATCGATCTTTCTTCAGATCTATCTCATCTCTGTACCTTGAAGTTTGTACCTCATGATTCTTGCGCGCGCGTTGTCCTCGTAGGCATGGTCCGGTTCCTCCGCGATCACGTGTACCATATCCGCGCCGTAGCTACACCCGCGACTATCACCAGCGATTCCCCATTCCCTCTCTTGGACCTAGCGATACGGTGCCACCATCATCGAATGAGAATGGTCCGCTGTGTCCTTCTTCACCTGGAATCTCTGTCATCGCTTTCGTCGTCGTCTACGTTACCAATCCGCAACCAATCCTCAACAGAACTCCATATTCACTCACAGTATGTCTTCATCCGCTGCCGTATGTCGGCTTGACGAAGAGCATAGGCACGTGCACCGCCCGCTGCGCCTGGAAGGGCATGCTGACTTCTGTTGCGCCAAATACCGGTGTTGTAATTGTGCGAGTGTAAAACTCTCTGCATCTCCTCTCGAAGGAGAAACGACATTCTTCGTCCCACCACTGCATGCGAGCTCTTAATTTGCACCATTCAATTCGCAGCGCTAATTCGTTGGTCAGGAAACTGCTAAATTTCAAGCGCTGTAATGCTATTGACTCTCCCAAAGTTTCCTTGCTACTGGCATCTCTCCTCTTCCTCGGCTTAAGACCAGATATCGGCACAGCATCCTCGATTCTCAGAATCCTGTACCTGCTCTTCCATTCCTTCATTTCCAGAGGCCCCGCCAGTCGCCGGAGTGCTTCGCACACCCGATTATATGGCGCTATACTCCAGGCCTTATCTACATGGCAGCCGTCGAACAGGTGGTTTGATGCGGTCCCAATTTTCTGGCCATGCCCATAAATGCCCGTGTGATCGATCACGTAAGTCTCCAGGATGATTTTCCGCCTCACGATGCCCATCGGCTCCGTCGCCTGAGCACATCGAACTTCCCATTTGTAATGCAGTAGTCGCTTATCGCACACACAATCTTGCGTTATGGATCTGCCGAGATCCGGAGATGCGAGCACGAGGCGAGGAGTGGCGATCCTTCAAGTGAGGTAAGATCGATTAGAAATGTTGTACGTCGTTACTAGGGAATATAATGGATTCAGGCGAGGGTTCGTGAGGAGACCTGAGTGGTCCGGTTTGCGAAATAAAGGGATCAGTAAGCGGGAGGCAATTACTGAGGGAAGTAGCCGGTAAGCGCGGAGCAATTACCGATATAGAAGGCCTGTAAGCGCGAAGCTATTACGGGCCGTGGGTGAAGGCAAGCGCTAAGCGTAACCTTCGTGTTGGTGTCAGAAAGCGCTAGGCGTAGCTGAGGGTTCACGCAGTGAAGGTGTCCTGAAAGTGGTAGATTGGTAAAAGCTTTTTTAATACAATGTTACCTACGAGTTTATATACTAAGGAGAGGTTCGAGTCATTATTATTCTATAATGTTCCATGATATTCTAGTATCAATAGGAAGAATAGAGAAAGTAACAGAAAGTACGAGCGAGTCAGTATTAAGACCGAGAAGGCCGAGTACGGGCATATGTTGACTCATGCACCGAATCAACGGATACCCAATATCCATAACAATTCTCCACCTGCGGTGCGATCCTGTTCATCGTGGATAGAGCGAGCCTCAGGCATGTAGACCTACTGAACCATGATTCAATCCGTCCTCACGAACCTCTACTCCTTCAACGGAACCACTTTCTTTGGAGGTATCGGCAAAGGAGGAACACCAGGATTAACCCTCTTCACGAACAGATTGTCCGTAACGAGACACGGAGACGATCTCGACTTGGGGACAGTCGGTAGCGAAGGAGGTGGAAAACACCACTCTACTCCGTTTCGAAAGACGATGCGCTCGAGGGTAGGACACGCAGTAGTTAGACGAACCGCGCGTGCACATTCGCTCGCTACCATCGAGTGGCCGGAGTGACTTATGGTTGAGGACATCGAGTGTGTCCTAGGTCGTTTCGGGAGAGGGAACCTCTCGTCGAACTCTTCCTTCGCTGGTTTCACTTGTGCGATCCCCAGTTTACGCATAACCAGTACCCGGAGAGACTTAATGTGGGAAACGACGCCACCCCAATACGCCTCGCCGCCCTCTCCTTCGATCTCGAGTTCCTCAATGTTGGGGTATGTGACGACCTCGCTTCGGAGATTCTTTTCTTCTTTGCGTTTACCGACGGACTTGAAGACAAAGTGGAGACAGCGAACGGAGGGAGGGAGAGATTCGAGAGTGGATGTAGGACGAAACCCGCATATATTGGGGTGGAGATGGTTATAGACACGTCGATTAGAGGGCGAGAGGGTGCAAGGAGGATTATTAGGTGTGGCGGGGCATGCAGGGTTGTGAGATTAGGGAGAAGGGTAGCGACGGGATGCGTGAAAGGATCTTGAGTGGGTGTTGGAGTCGGTGGTAGCGGGGATAGCGGAGGCATCGGAAATAGAGACAGCCGACTAGCTGTGGTGGGGCGCGGAGAGAAGCTGTGTACGCATCCGAGTGGCGGGAAGTGGCGTAGACGGTGGTGACTCGTCACCATCGTCATCTTCAAGCAGGGACGGAAATCGCAATGAAACGACATTAGTTTGGCCATCCAACCACGTGAGAAGGTCTGCCTCGGCCTGCCCGGAGAGGTGGGTGTCGCCAAACTCGATATGCCGGAGACCAAAGGCGGAGTGATGTCGCACGATGTGAAGGTCAAAGGAGGGGAGAACGAGGGAGTGGGGGTTGTCCGTGCGGGCAAGGACGCGTGGTATGAGGTACATCCAGGCTTGCGGTGATGGCCATGCAGGGACGCGAAGAGAGTGTGTGAGCGATGTGAGGTCCCGTCGTGTGACGAGGAATACCCGCAGTGCGTCGGGGCTCTGCACACCGGTCATGTCGAGGTCGCCATATAACACGGCTTGGGCTGCAGCGAGGAAGTCGCACGAGAGCAGGGTGAGTGCAGGCATGGACGTGCGTGAGAGAAATGAAAGGATCGCAGTCAGCACCTCTACTGGAAGAAGTGGGGCTTACGCTGCACCTGGGGCGGGCAGTATGCTGGGAGAGGCGGGACCTAAACACGATACTCATGCTCCTTAATCGACAGCCTGGTTCCAGACAGCCTGCGAATATCATCCATCGATGACTCACTTGATGACGCCGAAACCTTAACCCCCCTCCTCTTCAGCCTGTGACACTGACTCTTCCACATGTTCCACCACCACTCGTGGTTTGCTAAAAAACAGTCGACATCCTTATCACTAGCCAGCATTCTGTTGCAGCGTTGCGAATGGAGAAACATGATCGACGTCTTCGACCACTGGGAAAAGCGAGGTTTATCTCATCTAGCCATCGTAGGGAAAGGCGCCAACGGACGTACCAAATTCTAGAACCAGTGGTGGCCGCGTAAGAGATGAGACAAGCGAATGAGCTAGCCAGGAACAGTCAGGGATCAGGGCTTCTTTTCATCCCGTTCTTCAAACTGAGGGTTGTTGGGACACAATCAGCGAGGATGAAACGAAGCACCCTGCTCTAAAGTCTAGAAAAGCTACGTGATCGGCCCGATCTCGCCGATGTTCTCCGTCCGCTGTCATCTTTCTAAATTCTGCCGTATTCTTTCGCGTCTCAAGCCTTTGTAGACGTTGTCCCTGTCTTCTGACGAGAGACAAGAAAACAACACCCTCTTATCCCTCAAAACCAGTTACCACTGAATTGCGGGCAACATGATATCCTTCCAGTTTGGTGTAATGGCACAGATGATGCATGTCTGAACGGAAAGGCTTCAAAGAGTAGACTGGTGTCCTTAATCTGTGAGGGATGAGTCAAAGTTCCATGAATGCCTTAGTAAGGGATCGAGAGCCTGGCATATCCCGCTCCAAGGCTCTTAATTCCATGTTATCATAGGCTCACAAGGCACGCTTGACCTTGAAGTGCTGTTTTTTTGGTAGGGCTGATATTCAGGGATACTCAAGGATACCGAATGGTGAAGTAGCGCGTGTACTCCTCCTCAAGTACAATAATATCTCAGTGGTTCGAGTCTTATCCGCCATACTCTGAATATCCAGCGCTTAGACGCCGGTTAGCTTTTTATGGAGAAGAATCTCGCAAGTTCTTTCTACTAAGTCTTATCTCCCCGCCTCCTCACTCTTTTCGAGTAGTACGTCTCAATGGTCCGGGGCTTCAACAAGATCAACGTGAAGGGTATCATTCACTTCCACGCCCAGACTGGAAATATGAGACACGTACCAGTACTACAACAGGGCGATGGCTATCCTTCCCGAACCTTGACTTTTAGGCATCACATTTGCGGAGACCTGCTCTTGTTCATCGGACGCAGTTTGAAACATCGTCGCTATCAATGCAGACGGAAGATTGTTCCACAGGTTCTGGGTTCTGTCTTTGCAACCTCAATTCCTTTAACGGAAGTTGTTTCTTTTTCTGAGGAGGTAATGCCAGAGGAGGAACGTTACGTCTCGTATGATTTTTTTCACGAACACGTCGTGGTTGGGACTCTAATCCTTCTGGAAAGAAAACATAGTCGAGAGTAGGAAACGACTTAGTTAGATGGACGTGTTGATCTCCCGTCGAGTTCTAGGTTGTCTATCTTGTATTCTGACATCCCCGCATTACACATTACAAGCATACTTCACGGCCCTCTCCCCCATCTCCGATTGTTCAATGCCGGGGCATACAACGACAGCAGTGCGGAGCCTTATAGAGGTATCGATTGGGGAACGGGGAGGGTGCAAGATTATGTTCAGATAGAGAGACCATGCAAAGTCGCCAGATTGGGGTGCGGAGTAACGGCTAAGTATGTGTGTGGAGGTATCTTCAGTCGGCGGCACCGGAGGCACGGGAGATATAGAGAGCCAACTCGGAGCAGAGAGGGCGGGTACGCGTCGGAGTGGAGGGAAGCAGGTGGACGGTGTTGAGTCATTGTCATTATCATTATCATTGAGCTAGGCTAGAAATCGGAGGGAGACGACATTGGTCTAGCCATCCAGTTATGTGTATTACTATCACAGCCTAAGCCTTCACGCAAAGCCGAGAGTCGACAAAATCGATACAATGCACACTGAAGGCTAAGCGATGGCAGACAATGGGTAGATCAAAGGGAGAGGATACAGACGGGAAAATGGTGTCCATATGAAAGAATACACTGGATATAAAATAGGCACGCGTCTGATATATCTTCCTTGGACAAAGAGAGTGTACTGACCGCGTATCAGATTTCTGTCGTTAGTTGAACGGAGAAACACACGATTTCCTTAGTAACTCAGGTCGACACTCGTAATTGTAACAAGGGTCGAAAAGTGAAAATCAACTTTAATTTCTATACTATGGAATCAGGCGTAGAAAAAACAAAAGAAATTCAGCATCCTCAACGCGAGCCTGGGAATTCGTACTGAGATAGCTACAACTGTGAAACTGGTCGACTCTATCCTCAAACCGTCTTTTCTGTTCAAACCGCCTTCTGAACCACGCTGTCAAGATGTGCACTGCGGAACGTAGTAGTCTGATTAAAGTACAGATGCCTTCACTATTCAGATTGTGGATCATCCTTGCTCAATATCTTTCTCCGTGAGACCCATTTCAAGCTTCCTAGAACCGAGTAGCATTTCTTCCACCTTCTCCATCGAAGTCCGTGATGAGTCTCCGACGACCCAGTGCAGGTGTAAGTTTTCCTCGATGGCTCGGAGAGTATTCAATCGACGGTAATCGGAAAGAGGCATATGGTTTACTTACCCGATGGACACCGCTGCTGTGATCGTTTGTGGCCCTAATACAGTCTGTAAGAACATTGACAACTTCTTTTAGATTCTTTTTCAGACGTTTCGCATCACCTGGAGGTATGACTTCGCGACTGTCGGAATAGTAGCTTTCCAGGAAGGAGTCCTCATCTATGTGCCAATCCGCGATGTTAAGCAATGTATTCCATTCATGGTGATCAGGAGCAATTAAAGCCAGTGCAGATAAGATTGGACGTCGCGGGATTCCATTGAGTGCGACGCTCATACAAATGGAGAGAATGACGGATGCTTGATGCAGGTCTTCGATATGTGATTGAAGTACCTCAGACTAAATACGTAGAGTGTGATGCCCCATGGCCGTCTCGTCAGTCGCCTCCGAAAGTAGGGTGATATAGCCCTGAAACCCTTCGATGGCCCATATATGAAGTGAGCCTCGCTGGGCGATATACTGCAAGCTTCGTTCCTCTCTAAAAGTTTCGTATGCATTGAAAATACCACCAGAGAATCCTCGACCCAACAGAAAACTAATTACCCCAAAGAGAGAGCCAAAGCGCTTATAGGGTACGCGATGGTTGCTGTACTGCTAATATTCATCGCTTTGGGCCAGGACGCGAAGGAGATTAGAAAATAGGGACCTCATGGCCCATTCAGTGAGCGGCACGACGCCGCCCAAGTCAGAACCTTGCTCTATAAACCAAGCCATACATGCAAGTGCGTGAGCACGACATGTCCAAACGAGGGGCCTGTACTGTGGCAAGCCTTTCTGAGAATGTGTAGAAGTCCCAACGAATAAATCAGATGTGATGTAAGAGAGTATCACCTCGAGTACTCCACGATGACAAAATGGAAAAGGTGAAGTGTCAGGATCGTGAATGCCCCTACTAATCGCATACCGCATACAATGCAACGATTAACAGTCGGTATTTGGAGATCGTAGAATTATTATGGAAGAAGCGACGCTGACTCGAATGAACGCCGGTCAAGTTTAACTCGGAGTGTTCCGAGTTGAGTACCAAGAGACGCATGATTGCGAGTAGAAGTGCCGGCCTTGGTCGACGTTCCACAGACTTCTGATACAAATCAAAGTTTTCAAAGAAGGAGAGAAGATTATCGAGAACTTCGTCAGGGAAACATTCAGCTGCGGTGTCCGCCAAAGTCATCCAGGATGATGCGGAAGAGAGCCGGTCTGGGAGAAATAGGGACGCGACTAAACTGGAATCGCTCGCGCGACTAAATAATCCCTGATCAACCGCACAAGTGAAGAGGATTTTCCATACAACAGGATGGTGAACATCATTATATGTTAACGCGTTCATAACGACTTGATTTTGCCAAGGCAGGCTTGCAGGCATCCGGATATGTGCAGCTTCGAGGCAAGTTAGCATTGCCGTTAAACCACAAAAGTAAATGTGCTTCTGTGAGAGATCCAGATCATAACTTCTGAACTGAGGGCGTAACGGAGGAAATCGAATCTCCAGCCGGAGGAGCTGCTCAATCTTCCAATCGATATCTGAAATATCCTTAGGAATCCACCGAGAACTCCCACCTCTGTTCCGGACCTGTTCCATGCAATCCAGCAACATCACTTCTTTATCGTCGCGTGTTTGATGCCAACACTCCAAAAATAAGGAAATTTCCGGAACGTTTCTGGTGAACAAAAACTAATTTCGGAAATCGTTCCACCGTATCTCCCTCGCCGAGATTTCTTTATACAGTAGTCCGTCCCGGGAAAAATCCCATACCCTTACTCGATATGGATAACCCCCGGATGTGGCCGGGGCCGAGTAGTTTCCGTAATTAGTTTTCGGACAAATGAAAGCGTCCGGAAATTTCCTTATATTTGGAGTGCAATGTGGTCCAAAAATGTGATCGGCTAACTCGTTGTAGTCAGCAGGCAATCCGGATAGAGCCCGGACTACGTGATGACGGATGGCCGATGATGACGATCTCACATACAGCCAAAGAAGAACCTGAAGATGCACGAATAACTGCGCCTAGTTCCTCCTCCTCGTTCATTAACTTGCTTCCTCTTGACTGTAATGTATCCACTGATCGCTCTTCAGAACTTCTGAAGCTACCCAGTACACCGCCACCGCCATAGCGACTTCTTCAGGCGCATGTGTTATCCCCGTCGGTGCCATTATCGGAGTCGCTATGTATCTGTTATATCCCTCACCACGAGCACCCTGCTGCTATACCTATTCATTCGAGACAGGAGGAAGCGAGCGCAAAACAACTCGGACACAGAATCCACTCCGCCACCCTCGGAGAAAAAGGGCGACCATGATGTAAAGCCAGAACGCGTCGCGCGGCCTACCTTGGCGCCGCATCCTCGGTCCGTCCGGAATTCGTCGATCTCGTTGGAAGCCAGATAGGCCGCTGCTTTACGGGACTTGAGGGAGCAAATCGGGTCCCTTCGGCGAAGCCTTGCAAGCGCCTTCAAGTCTGAATCCCGGGCGGAATTTGGTGAGAGGCTAGGTCGTGAGAAGAGCGACTCGCTGGGAAGCCAGTTCCGGTTGTGGGTAGATCGTGGTAACCAGGAAACGCTGCCACCAGAATACTTATCCCACCGGGCTTCTGTGGGTATAAGTGCGGGATGACGGCAGTGTAATTTATTGATATCTTTGTTTATGTTTCTGCATTCGCTGGATGGCGCGTGCGTGGTCTTGGATCAGTACGAGATTGTATACCAGCTGAACCGTGTACAGGAGACGCGTTTTTTACTATACAAATTCAATATTTTGACATGATGAGGGGATGCCGGGTGCCATGTGTGCAGGAATCAAACATATGCGATTTTGTCAGGAAAAGGCCAGTCTTTGATGTTTTTTTCTTCTTGCAATTAATGCGACGGCTAGAAGAGGTATAACACGGGAAATTTTTGTCTTTTGATTTTGTGGGAATTAAATGAAAGGATAGTAAAGAGGGCCAAATCCCGTCCCGCCTTGCTTGATGGTTCCCACATTCCGCTCTTTACCTTGATGGGATTTGTTTCTCGTCGAGCGTGCTTTCTTCGACATGGATTACGGGAAATCTTCATCTACCATCCGAAGGCAGAACTTTAGGTGGATGGTTCTCACAGGTGTGTGAATAAGCGACCTTATTTAAGTTCTCTGTGCGATGAGAAGCATTTCATTGAGTACCCCCAGTTCAAACCCGCGCCAGCGCCGCAACCTGACTAATGATTCTGGCTTCGTGATTCACGTTCAGCCATCGTGACTGCATCGTGTGATCCGATGTTTACCTGCGTGCTTATATTGGTCGAAGCATTGTCCACGGTGTCTACCTTATCTCTCTTTCGATTACCATGATGTCCTGGTTGCTCGATTTGCTTGCTTGTGTCCTTGCAGCTACTCTTGTTGTATTCATACGTTCCCATTATAGTTCAAGGTCGCTACCACCAGGACCGCCTGGCCATTGGTTATTCGGGAATGAGATTCCAAAAAAGCGGTGCATCGTTCGTAGCGTGTTTTGCTATAATCGGCTTATTCTCGCAGGGCGTTCTTGAAGTATGATGAATGGACGAGGGTGTACGGGCCTGTTTTCTCTCTGACTCGGTTTGGAAAGGTATATATCGTCGTTGGCAGATACGATGTATGTTCGTATTTTATGCTGAAAAACTATGAGACTGATATTCGAATGTAGGCGGCTATGGAAATAATGGAGAAGGGCAGTATCCAGACATCGGACAGACCAAGGGCTATTGCTGCCTCTGAGACGTTCTCTGGAGGTCTGAGGTCTATCCTGCTGAATGATACACCGAGATGGAGAGCTTTGAATAGGTTGGCCACCTACCATGGTGAACACAAAAATGAGTTTAATGTAACGTTTGTAGGGCTTTCCATGCACACTTAAAGACCAATAAGGCAGCGGCATATGAACCTATACAACTCCGTCACGCGAAGAAACTGATTGTTAATATCCTTGACGATCCGAAGAGGTTTACAGAGTACACAAAGATGTATGGACTTCTTTCGTTCCTGGGTATACATCGAGCTCATCCAATTAACCAGATATGCAGCATCTGTGATTCTTGCCCTGACCTATGGGAAAATGACACCGACGACATACAATGATCCTGATCTTCAACAAATGATTCTGGAGGCAAACCGGCTTCGAATGACAAATAGCCCGGGAGCCTACCTCGTGGATACGTTTCCCGTTCTTCGATGGGTTCCAGGGTATCTTTCCGAACTTAAGAAGTGGCATCAAGATTCGCTTGCTTTGTGTCGTCGGTGTTTAGGGTATGTTCAGACAAGGATGGTGGGTGCATTGAACACTGTTTTTTATTGGAAGATACTTATGTGCTTGTCCAGGATGCTGGAGAAGAAGTACCCGCTTGTTTTGGGAAGGATCTCTTGCATAATAAGAAGATGTCGTTTGACCAAGCTGCGTATCATGCTGGTGGGATGTTTGCGGCAGGATCGAATACGGTTCGTTTTCCTTTTGCCCGTTTTCTGGTGACTGCTGAAAACTCTAGACCGAGTCTGCAATAATATTCGTTATCATGGCAGCTGCTTGTTTTCCTCATGCTGCAAAAGCTGTACAGAGAGAAATCGATGAGGTTGTTCCTAGCAATCGATGTTAGTAATTCGGTCTCTTCAGGTACATTCTTACTAAATACGGAATGGGTAGGTCCGACGTTTGAGGATAGGGAGCGCCTCCCGCAAGTTATGGCGTTTGTTTTTGAGTGTTTTAGATGGTGAGTATGTTTTTCTCGAAGGTGACATGCGGCTGCTTATATAAGCTTCAAAAAGGCGACCGTTGTTCCCAAGTGGTTGGTCTTCCGTGGCTTATCTGCCGATGACGAGCTGCACGTATATTAGGAATTGCGCATGCCGCTTCTCAGGATTTCATCTGGGTTAGTGCTCTTTTAGTTCTATGGCTTCGTCTCACAAGCATGCTTCAAAAATAGCAAGGCTATGTGATTCCCAAAGGAGCTACTATTATCGCATCGCCTTGGTATGTCTGTATTCCTGTAACTTTGAACGCCCCTTGTTCAAATTGATCATAGGTCCATATTCCGTACTTCTGATGTCTTTCCGAACCCCGAAGTGTTTGATCCTCAAAGGTGGATCCTTGACGGTAAATTGAGGGGCGACATCAGGCAATTCGTTTTTGGATTTGGTCAGAGGCAAGATTTCTTGTGTGTCTAAGGCTTTCCGAATTGCTGATGTGGATGTCTGCAGAGTTTGTCCGGGATCACGTGTTGCGAATAGGTGAATGTCCTTTATTTCTATTTTCTTCCGGGTGTTTATTTTATTGATGGCGAAAAGGTCGCTGTTCATTAATACGGCACTTCTTTTATGGGCTTTTGATATTGTTGCGACTGAGAAGATTGACATGATGGCGTTTGCTGATGAACCGGGAATGCGTCCTGGAAGTTTTGGGGTACGCTTTGATCTGCGGCTGGGGAAAGAGAAAGAGGTTTGGGTTAGGTCGTTGATGGTCGACTGAGCGAATGGAACATCAAAGATGGAGATTCGGATCCAAAGCATTGGAGAAAATAAGGCAAATATTCATACTACTTATGACATCAAGAACCACCCGTTAAAAGCCTAGTAATAGATTATTCAGTGTAGCGGTAAGACTATTACTCCTTGCCATTGTAAAGGATTTTTAGCAGAGGAATCCAAGCCAGGTATGGGGCCAAACAACGCTCCACATGTTGTCATCACGGGCATAGTTGCATCATCGACGTGCTTGATGTGCTTGACGCCATGGGCCTGTGCGCTCCCGCCTTCAAGCGCCTTGCTGTTAAATTGGGCCCAAATTCTCCGCTGATTTTTTGATGTGCTGAGCTTCTTTTGATTTTTTTTATCAACGCGGACGTACGAGCTCAGTGATTTTTGACAGTTTTTGATGTACGGAAGTTATTTCTGTCCACCTTTATGTCGCTGTCACCTGTTGTCCTCCCTCCTCCGAAGATGATCAGGTTCGCATGTTTTCCTTGATATGTCGTCCCTTTTTCGGTGTCAGCCCCTCCATATGTTTTTTTTAATGATATTTTTCCACCGCTCCGACATTTCTTCAATGTCATTTTCTATCATTTCTAACATGCTTTTTTTTGGGCCTGCCGCAAAACGAATATAATCGAATCTGCTGTACAAGATCTACATGCACCGTAGCTCTATCAACAGGGTTACCTTTTCTTCAGCCCGTAAATACGCTGGATTGGAATTTTTTTTACACCACTGGGGTTCGAACTAAAACACCGTCGATGATGATATACAGCGTGCAGTGGTACGACCTAGGCCGCAGAGCCATTGTTGTAAGTGGTAATAAATACAATATATCCGATTATTGGGCTGAAAAAAATGCCCGTCGTCGTGCCGTGCATGCGGGGTGTAGGCGCTGGGGGCGGGGTCGTCGGTAGTGTCGATACCATCGCTGTTGAAAGATGAGGCTGCCTGAGAATCTGGGGTGATAGCCCGCAGGTGGAGCACCAAAAAGGCAGCAAGGCGAGGTCGACGGCTGTTTGACAGTGATGAGGGGCCAATCCAGCAACATAGACTATGCTACTGCATTCTCAGTCATTGAAAACGGGGGTTGTGAGGTCATTACGAAAGCGGCGGGGCTGTAAGGGGTGATACGAGGAAAAAGAGATGAGCATCGTGATGCGGAGCGAGCAGGCAGCGAGGACGGTGGTGAGGGTAGATATAGACAACATAGTTGTGTTCCCCCACTCAAAAAATGGGAGATGCATGAGCTTGGGGACTGTATGCGGGCTGCATGGCATGGTAGGGGTCACCCCTTCGTGTCCATTCTACGTAAAAATCCCTATAACTATAGTGGAACCACTTTTGTAATAATCCCTATAACTATAGGCCTGTCAAATTCATGTATCCGCTAGAAAGCGAAGTTATACGTAGCCATGAATTTTCACATGCAATCCATTTCTTGGTCTCTCCCCACCACGTGCCCAACCAATTCCCGCCTCGGGTTTGCCGCTCTTGCATTCCCTATTTACGGGTATCAGTAATAAAATATTTAGTATTCATAATTAAAGCATTGTAAAACAAACAAATATATATAAAATACTATATAATACAAAAATAAATTAACATATAGGCAGCATGGGCTAGGGATGAGCTAGGGAGCGATTTAGGGATCGATGGCACTAATGAACGTCATGGCGGGCTCGTGAGAGAAAATGGAGACCACCATCGGATCCCCCATGTCTTGGAGGACATTTGACGCCCAAACGGACGTCAGTGTTGCTGCCGTCGTTGGACGTCGGCGGCCCGATCTCCATCCTGCCCTCCTGCCCTCCCCCTTCCTCCCCAGTATGCTGCCCAGTCTCCCTCTACATCCCTAGCCTAAGATCCACCCTAACCCTCGTCGTGCTCGAAGTCTCCTGGCTTTTCCGTCGTCGTTGTCATTGTGGTTGTCACTGTTACAGGTGCCGTCCCGCTGCATGATGAGGTCCGATATGGAAACCCTAGTGATATCCTGTGTCGTCATCGTGCCGCGCTTGCGTGTCCAATGATGATCGAGGTCGATGCGCGTGTGGGGGGCATGGGATGGGTCGTGGCAGAATGTGGGTCGTATCGGGGCAATGGCAGGGGTGCATGGGTCACGTCGTCAACGTACAGTGTTGCGGTCATATCTGGCAGTGCTGCCTCGGGCGAGGGCTTATGCGTGGGGTGGGGATGAAATGATCACTACCCGGGGATCTTGGGGCTGCCGGATACGCCAAAAAGACCTAAATTTGACATGTCAGTATAAAAAACAATTCAAACGTACCATATACCCATGACAATGGGCAAACCAGATGAGTGAGAGGGCAGGAAAGGAAGTGGACGTGGTGGAGAGGAACAGAAAACGGTGCTGCACAGCCACTCGACCACGGTACGGTTGTGCGGTCCGGGGTGATCGACCGAGCGGAATGCATCATCGGGATGCTTCCACTGCTCGATGTACACTCTCCGATGCCCCAAAGTGTATCGGAATCTTGTATTATAGGTATAAGGATTGTGTATATATAATTTTTAATGCAACAGGATACCCTCATCTCATGATAATCCTCAATTTACATTGGTTGCTCCACATTTTAGGGCACTTGTAAGCAAATATCAGTTCTATATATCTGTGCACCATCTCAATAGGTATGTTTTTTGTTGAAAATGCAAGGTTATGTCTAGTATAAGTCAAAATAATGGTCCGATCCACCCTGATCTGCTTATAGTCTCACCATTATACCGTTTCATGCATAAGAAGTGAAAATGGAATCAGACAAAAGTTCACAAGCTCGTTTTGTGTACTACGAGTGTTCATAATATATTCACTTCAGGGCAGATCCATATATGCATTTGTATCATTGATAATTCACACAAGAAGTCTTTTTCTCATTTGTTATATCATTATTTAGATGCACATTGTGCTGCATACTTTTGTAAAAGTTGAATTCAACAATTGTCTCACCATTATTCACATTTATTGGTCGAATAAACATGAATTAAAGGCTAATTTATTGGCCTCAAATGTAAAATCATGAAATGTAGATATGACTATCATATTTTCGAGGTACAGAAAGCCCTAGGAGTACGGGACTGCAAGGGTATTCTATCCTACGCCCCTAATTGGGGTGCATCCGGCAAATTCCGACTATGGTGAGAGTGGCATTTTCCTGTTTGCGTATCAGTTGAATGACAGTATTTGCACTCTGTTAAGCATTTATATATCACATAAATGTATTCTAATTAAACCGAGCCTAAATAATCTGTGTGCAATGCAGAATTTTACCAAGCTTTCAAACCCAACAGAGCTGCTACTGCATTGGGAATGATATTTTCCCACAGTTTTATATGTCCGAGTACGCACGGACGCATCCAGCCAAAATAGGCTGCGCGTGGGTCGGGAGGCAATAGTAAATCATTAAATATTATTTTTCTGGGCTGTGATTTTTTTTTCGGGCCCAAGCAATGAACACCGATCCAGTGCCCGTGGACCCTAACTTGGCAGCCATATGGCAACAGTTTCTGGACCTAGCTAGGGCTGGCGAGACTGCTACAAGGGATACATATAATTAGGAATCAAAAAGTGATGGCATCCCTACAAGATACGTATCATTTGACATTACTATAGTTATAGGGAATTTTTGTAGCGAATGGACACTATAGCCTCTAGGGGTCCATGTTGGACTAGGAGGGGGTGGGCAGTAGCGGGCGCTAGGGCGGTCCTACAGCCATGATTATGGGCACATCCGAGACGCTGTACATTTGTCCATCGATGCCCCAATGTGCGCAGCAGTGTTTGTCGTTGTCGGTTGTCCACATCCCGAACATCGTGCCGCGGTCCCTCCTAATACTTTCCTGCCCTTTTCCGCAACTCTGCATCATCGACCGACCTCCCCATCCTATTCCTACACTCCAGCATAGCTCTGCACCATCGTGGATCCCCTCCAGTCCCTCTCGTGGCTGTCTTCATCCAGTCTGTCATCGTCGCTGCTCCGCTGATTTTGCATTGAAACGTTCCCACAGCTGCAGATGGGGGGCGATAGTGAATACTCCTGCTTTCTGGTGGTCGTTTTCATGTGCAAATCCCATGTACCACGGCGAGTGGTGCCGATGTGGACGCTGGGGTCGTTGCATGATCGAGATGGAATCGAGGCTGGCTTTTTCTGCCATGGCGCGTGTCGGTGGGCATAATCGTCGCTATTGATGATGGAGAGTGTGTCGTCAGTCGTTTGGGGCTGCATAATGTGCGGCCTTGTGAGAAGGCTTACGCGTGGGGTGGGAGGGGCAGTATGGTCACTATCCGGGACTTTTGGGGCCACCGGATGCATAAAAGGTATCTAAAATGAAGAGTAAGCAGCACACTAATAATCACATACCATTTTACATCTGTGAAAGGCTTTTCAGCGAGCAAATGGGTTATCGTCCATGGTGTTGGCTGCTCGCGAGACCGTATGGGTGGGGGATGTGGATGCAGTGGGCCGTGGCAGTGTCCCGGGCAACATTACATAAGTTCGCATGCCAAAAAAAAAACATTCGCTGGCTAGGTAGATGGTCCCCTACAATGAGCAAGCGTCGACATCACAGGTCTACTGGCTAGGCCAAATATACGATTCCTAAAATTCATGCCTGAATTCGGGCTTCGAAATTACACGGAATACCAGGAAAACATATCCTGACATATAAAACCGGAGGAGGGAATGATTTGACAGATGTGAAATATGATCAGACCGAAAATAGAACTCACATCAAGTTCTAGGCAGGTCATGATGGGCACATTGGAACACGATATTGAGCAAGGATGATTTGGAATCCTGGCGGTGTTTTGAAGAACGAAGATTACATGCAACTGGGTTTAAATCCTCGAATCAAGAAAGGAAAGTAAGGACAATTATTGATAAGAATATATACATAAAGGGCAGTGGAAACCGATAGCCGTGAAATGAAATGTACATAAATTATGACACAATGTTAGTATGATTCCCGAATAGCAAAGTGCGAACAGACAGACACATACCGGGTTTTGTCCTTACGAAGCTCTGCTCCTTCAAGGGAACGAAGTTCTCCTTCTGAGGGTATCGGCACAGGAAGAATATTATGTTCGATATTCTTCACAAAGAGATCGTTTGCGGCGAGACATGATGAGGATCTCAAGCAGGGGAGAGTCGGTAGCGAAGGAGGCAGACGACGTCACTCTATTCCTTTGGGAAAGACGACGCACTCACAGGGAGGGCGCATATTGGCTAGACATGGCTACGCATGCAGGCTTGCTCACCACTATCGAATGGCCGGAAGAACTGATCGTAGAAGACGTCAAACGCATTCTGGCTCGGTTCGAGAGAGAGGACTGTCCATCGAGCTCTTTTTTTGCTGCCTTTACTTGTACCATTCCCGGTTGTTATATATCGAGCACTCCCAGCGGAATGACGCTATACCAGCATGATTCACCGCCCTCGCCTTCTATAACCAGCTCCTCAATGTTTTGGGCATACGAAGACCCCGCCCCGGAGGCTCTTTTCTTTCGTGCACTTACTGACAGACATGAACACGAAGCGTAGAAGGCGGAGAGACGAAGGAAGGGACTCGTGTATGGATGTAGGACAAAATCCAGTATATGGTCAAGCGGAAAGGGTGATGCAGAGGTACGGATGGTACGAGGAGGATTGTCGGTGCGGCGGACGGTGTAGGTTTGATAATAGAGTGAGCACAGAGAGAGCGCAGGCACATGCAGGAATGCCGGGTAATAGACGGTGATGATCCATCGTCGTCGTCGAACAGAGACAGAAATCGGAGGGAAAAAACGCTGGTGTGGCCATCCAGCGACGCATATAACTTAGCTAACCTACTTCTCCTCATTTGTGGAGAAACGAGTGCTGACCCACATTTGGTACAGTGCGCACCAAAAGCTGAGTGATGGCAACAACATGTAGATAGAAATCGAAGGCTGCAGAGATGGAGACGGTGTCTTCAGACTGATGAGGTTCCTTCATATATGACGGTAGTTACCCATAATGACTTAAGGATCCCGCACGTCAAAGTCACAGTCTACGTCGCGCAGAGAAAATGACGCAAACCCGGGACACGAGGAGAAATGATGTGACAACAGTGAGAACTTCTACTTGTAGGACTGTATTTCGCACAGGACGATAGGTGCGGAAAGGAGGAACCTGGAGATACGCACTGATTAGTGTATGTTTCTCATTGCTTCTTATCCCGATGAGTGAGGAACAATCCATGTTATGGATATTGGGTATCTGTTGATTCGGTGCATGAGTCAACATATACCGGTACTCGGCCTTCTCGGTCTTAATACTGGCTTGCTCGTACTTTCTCTTGTTTTCTCTTACTTTCTACATTCTTCTTACTAATGCTAGAATGTTATGGAGCATTGTATAATAATAATGACTCGAACCTTTCCTTAGTATTTAAACTGGTAGATAACATTGTATTAGAAAGACTTGATCAATCTACTACTTCCAGTACCCTCACACTGCGTGAACCCTCAGTTACGCCTAGCGCTTGCTAAACAACCCATTGGATATGCCTAGCGCTTTCCAATACCAACCCGAAGGTTACGCTTAGCGCTTGCCTTCACCCTCGGCCCGTAATAGCTTCGCGCTTACAGGCCTTCTATATCGGTAATTGCTCCGCGCTTACCGGCTACTTCCCTCAGTAATTGCTTCGCGCTTGCTGATTTCCTTTATTTTGCAAACTGGACCGCTCAGGTCTCCTCACGAACCCTCGCCGGAATCCATTATCTTCTCTAACGACGTACATCATTCCTAATTAATCTTACCTCACTTCGATCACTACTCCTCGCCTCGTGCTCGCATCTCCGGATTTCGGCAGATCCATAACAATCCAACACTACTGCCTCTCTACCTCGGGTTCTTGCTCGGTGAGGTAACAGACGAAGATCCCATTTCGTTGGAAAAGGACATGGCTTCGGCTTTGCCTCTTCGTCCTTCAACTTTGACGCGCGTGGCCGTGTACGTATTTGCTCCAGCTAATCTCGCCTAAAATTCAGATTTGGAGCACGGTTGGAAGGAAGGGGAGGATTCGCATGTAAGAAAAGCGTTCCCGAATAATTTGGCAACGAGAAGTAGAAACGAACTTCTTCTCAACTGAGCGCGATATCTATGCCAGCCGTGGAAAAATAAACCCTGGGTTGGGTTTTGTCGACAGGTATATAAACAGAGGATCATCTAACGTCGATCCAAGTAGAGAATTGCCGTGGTTGGTGGAGAGAGAGATGGGAAGGGGGTATATGTCGACTGCAAAGGAAAACCAGAGCGGGGTTGTATTAGCGAGAGGAGTAGGATATGTATCCGTGCAACGTTGTGGGTTTTTTGACTGATGGGTAGAACGGGGCCCAAATTTTCTCGGTATAGGAAGGGGAGGGAGGGGAGGGGGATCCTGATTCTTGAGACGAGAGACGAGAGATTATCATTATTTCGGCAGCGGGGACCGAGGGCGATATTTACGAGTTAGTCTCCCGAACTGAACGGAACATATTTGATGGATGGATGGGAGGGAGGGGTAGGAGGAATGGAGAAACGGGGGAGACGGTGAGGCACTTAGAAACGGGATCTGGCGATGTTGGGATGGATATGGGTGCTGGTGAGAGAAGTGTATTTTCCAAAGGGTGAAGAACAATATACCTTGGGATATGACGCATCTCGCGGAACACATCAGAGGGAAGGAGAATCGTTGCCGCTGTGGCCTTTCCTGAGTCTATGATGGGCAGGGTACTCAGCCGAAAGGGAGGGTCGACAACTTGGATGATCGTGTGAAGAGAGATGCACGATAGGGAAGGTCCGTGAGAATGAGAGCAGAAATCGTGCATAGTGGTTCACAAGGCTATTTTTACAAGATGATACAGTGTAACCGTGACCACCGAAGTAACCGAAAGTCCAGAATACCGGCTGTCGTAAAAGGGTGAGGTTATCAAAGATATGATCAGAAGGACAGAAAACATAGGTCATTGAGGGGACGCCAGATACGCCGCAATATTTACATGAATTGAGGATCGGGGGACAGAGAGCAAGTTGTAGACGGGGGAAAGAAATCAAGAAGACAACTCCGATTCGTAGGGCAGCGCTTTGCACCGGGGGCCGTGGAAATTAAATTTCGGAAGCATCCGTGGAGTAAATGAAATTGACGTCATCACGCATGCAACGGCATCAATTGCCGTCAAGGGCAGCCAAAAACTCTAGATTTCTGATTTCCCTTTCTCTCCCACTCTTTTTTTTTTCATGCACGACGACGACGACGTTCCTCCAACGGCGACACACTGCCACGACGATGACGCCAGTTAAAGCTGGAGGACGGTTGATGAAGAGGATGTCGACTATTTTTAGCAAGCCGTCGTCGCAACGTGTGGAACGGGTGGAGGAGTCGGTGTCAGAGGCTGAAGAAGGAGGCGGAAGTAAGGTTTCGGCGTCATCGTGTCACTCGTCGATGGATGATATTCGGAGGCCTTCTGGACTCGGGCCGTCGATCGAGGACCATACTAAGCATGCGTATCACGTCCAGGTTCCGCCCCTCCCACTAAGGCTTTGACTTTTCTACCATCGACCGATATTACTCCACACGACTGCGTCGTTCTCTCCTTTATCTAGCTATCTGGCTACAGTTGTGACTTCAAATAACCCATACACTAGACGTGTATGGAAATTCGACAATTAAGTGCGTTCTCTTCTCTCGTTGAAATTTAGTACAACGTGGCTCTAGGAACAGCACACGACGCAAGGGCACGGTGCTTCTTTTTTGGTAGTGCGAATTGTTAAACGTGTGATCCATCATGACCTCGTGTAACCCTCTTTCTACTACCGCCACCTCCAGGAGTCATCAAATAACTTTAACGAAGGTACAGCTATCCGATTTCTGTTGTCTTTTGCCCTGTAACTCATTTTCTGAAACTCGCAGATGTCGTCAACGACTAATCCTCCCGATGCCTGTCCTACATGTGCTTGCTTCACGGAAACAACGTTTTCAGGCCACGAACGTTCACCTCGTGTCTCAAAGCTGTTGAGATGCAACGATCCTCCGTCTGACGGAGAACTCTCCGATTTCCAGAGCACCGTCAGGAGCGGCCCTGGGCATCTCGCAGACCTTGACCAGAAGATAGTGCATGCCAAGGAACACCTTACTACGCTAATTCACGAGCGTAGCGTTCTTGAAGCAAAAATCGATGATGCTCGAACACTATCTTCTCCTATACGAAGATTGTCATCTGACGTTCTCCGCGCCATTGCTCTCGAGACCATCCCTTCCTCACACGAGGTCATGAATTCCACCTTGCAGCGATTCGACAGCTGCAATAGTCTCGATAGCAGGGAATCGCCCTGGACGTTGGCGCAGGTCTCTCATAGGTGGAGGTCAACCATTGTGAACGCACCGGAGGTGTGGTCATCCATGTCACTAGTGATCAAACACGATGACAAACCCACAATAGTCGTCCGTCAGATGTTTATGACTGGACTCCGACTTGAGAGATCTAAATCTTTCCCTCTCACTGTGTCGCTTTCAAGTTCTCCAGATGCAGATATTTCTAACCATCCCTTGCTCTTTCTCATTTCCACGCGCTGTTCCTTAATAAGAAACCTTCGCATCGGCGCTTCCCTCATATCTTATCCGGTGTTCTCATGGTGGCGAGGACGTTTTGATCAGCTCTATAAACTCAGTCTTACATCGCCGCCTCTGCCTAATCGGGGGCAACTGTCATCGGGAGGTGTAGAGTCTGCCATTGACGTTTTCGAATATGCACCGAAGTTGAAAACTGTCGGCCTGTGGATCAGCGATGGCCTTCATTTTTCTTTCAGATTCCCATGGACTCGGATTACTCACCTTGGCATTCAAATTTTTGATCAGCAAGATATCGATATCCTTCGACAATTGAACAATCTGAACCATCTCCATATTGCATATGGAAAGGGTGTATTCGCAGTCCCTGCAGATCATAGAGCCATCTCTCTCCCGGATCTTACCTTGTTGACCCTCACGTATCGATATAGAAGGCCAACACCTTCCCTTCCCTTACACCCCGAAAATGACCAGATATTCTCTTTGCTTTCTATCCCCAATCTCACTGATCTGAGTCTCATCTACCGTAGAGGATTCAGCGTTTCCCCCGCCATACCGGCGTCCAACACGATTACAACGCTAAAACTCGAGTTTAGCGACGAAGGTGACGACTACCAGGCTCTAACCATACTGTTCCAATCCCTCACCAATCTACGCCACCTTACTATATCGTCTCCCTATGACATTCCAACATTCATTATAGTATTAATGCTGGTACCCCTGCTTCATCTACGAACCCTCGACTTCCGCCAATTGACCATCACTTGTGAATACGCCATGTTCGTTCAGATGATCAGGGCTCGCAGGAAAGGGAATGACCTGAGTATAGACCAATTGGAGAGCGTGTACCTTCGTTCTCCCCTTACCCTCAGCGACCCCTACACTAGTATGTGGCAGGATCTAATTGACGAAGGGTTGAAGGTCGTGTACGGGAAGTGACAGGAACCTCTGCGCTTTGAACGTCCGGAGATATGAATCATTGCATTCTCTATGTAATGTACCCTTTAAAATTTGGGGTGTATAATAGGATGGCCGTAATCACATAACTGTATCGCGCTCTGTTTTTACTTACTATTCCATTGGAAAGACGACTCGCTCGAGTGCAGGACACGTTTTGGCTAAACAGGCTACGTGTGTACGCTTTGCTCATCACCATTGAATGGCTGGAGAAATTGATCATAGAAGGCGTTGAACGCGTTCTGGTTCGCTTCGTGAGAGAGAACTGCTCATCGAGCCTTTCATTCGCTGTCTTTTACCGGTTCTCGTATGACGAACACTCGGAGGGACTTGAAGTGCGGAACGACGATGGCACTGCGGGGTGTCTTTTCTTCTGTGCGCTTATTGACAGACATGGAACACGAGAGAAGGATGGGTGGAAACAGGGACTCGACTGTGGAAATTGGACGGAAATATGCGTAGGTTGGGCGCAAACGGTAATAGCCACAGGATATCTTTCGTGAGGCTAGCGCGTTAACGTTAGGATCGGGCACTAGAAATTCAGCGTGGTCACCTGCGTGGTACCACGCGTGCGTGGCGCGTGGCCACGCACGCCACGCAAGTCATTAGTTGAACTTGAGTTGAACTTGCCTTGACAGTACATATATACTGTGTGATGATAAGAATACTTCGCTAAACATATCCTTTTATCTATTTCTCATTCATTGGTAAATTGTCTGCAACAAATAGACCTTTGTTCGAACATATTTCAAACCAATTAGAGTTTTTAAACCTTCAAATCTCGATTTCTAGGTACTATTGTATCTTCCATGAGTGTATTTAGGATTATAAGAAAGTTAAATATCAAAAATTAGGTACCCTCTCATTTTGCCAGCTTGAAGTTATTAATCCAAAGATGTCGCGACACTATGAACATCAATTCAACGTTGCCTTCGTATCAATGGTTCCTTGATTGCTCCAATACCACCAAACTGATCATTTAATTTCCACAAGAACGATCTTTCCTTAAGTACGGATATACCTTGGACCACGCAACCAACCACGCTTGCGTACCACGCAGCCACGCAGCCACGCAGCCACACCACGCAGGCTGACCACGCACAGCCACGCTGACTAACCACGCAACCACGCAGGCACCACGCAGGCTTCGCATAGAGACCACGCCGGCCCATATAAGGTTACCCTCAGAAAGTGCATCCTTTGTATAATTGCCTCTTAATTGGCTTGTTTCTTCGGTGTCATTCACATCAAATATAGAAATCCATATTCCTTCTCATGTTGTCCTCTTCACTGTAAACCCCACATTGTGTACCTTATTACTTATAGCTTAGCAGACCACCTCTAAGGCCTTTTTATACTGTTAGGATACTCGTAAAATTATTTACTTCAGCTACAATACTTTTGATGTTCTTAAACTTCGCAATCCAGTTCGAAATTTTCATGATATTGACCATATTTTGAAGTGTTTCGATATCCCACCAAAGCTGTCATATTTAAATCTTACAGGCATTGACAATCCAGCTGATTCTACGCAAGGATTGACAGAAAAGAACGGAACGCGTCGACTCTCGAGTCGCGTTTGATGGACTTGATCAACTTTTGATGGGAGTCCGGCAATTTGTCAACCACGCTGACGACCACGCAACCACGCACCACGCAGCCACGCAGCCACGCAGGCTACCACGCAGAATTCTTCTTGCCCGTTAGGATCCGAAAGATCCCGCATGTCGATTTTGCCATAAAATACGCCCTGAAAAGTGCAAAGTGACAAAGAAACAGTAAACGTCCTAGCGACAACATACGTGGAAGAACTGAGGTATGAGAGTCACCGCATCCACTGGAGTCTGGAAATGGCGGAATGTGACGCAGCTCTGACACCAACTCTTCTGCACCTCATGCCTGGATTTTCTTCGACTACGCGTCACTGTTGTTTGACCCCGTTGTATCAAATATCTGGCATGTCAAGGGTATAGTGCAAAACTGTCTACGTGACACAGATAAATCCGTGAGAGAGGAGCGCAAAAGCACCGTAGGAGAAATGATGCGATGTCAGTGAAAACCTTTACTGGCAGAGCTGTATTCGTACAGTTGTTTGGCCGGTGATAGGTGCAGAAACTTGGCGAAACCTGAGCACAGGACCTCAATGCACCGACTACTGTATGTTTCCTGCTGCTTCTTTTTCGCACCTTCTACACACATTGTAACGGACATCCGAAGAGACTGGAAGTGAGGAACAATTCCATGCCACTGCCCTTTCCTTTCTTGCTTAGGTTCCTCCTGCCATCTACCGCCAGGAGATCCAGATTGAGAGTGCTGAAACTGCGAAGATTGGCGGTTCTTGGAAAGAAACGGGATATATAACAGGCAAAGACCCCCGTTTTCATTTGAAAAGGAAGGAAGGAAGGAAGGGTACCTGATGCACATGTGGCAGGCGGCCCGACCCGCCTTCGGGTTTCCTTCCGACTTCAACTGTGGTGCCCGCGTTTCTCTCCAACTAACCCCCACCCCCCCTCCGCTCCCATAAAAATTCGGATTTGGAGCCCTGACCTCGCATCTTCATTTTTCCTGCCATTCATACGACCACTATTGATTTTATTCTGATAGAGTCAACAGCGAGGATTTGACTTCTGATGGGCATGTATGTTATCCCTGATTCATGAATGTTGGGCGAGTGTGCCCTTGAAACCATGGATATACCGCTGGGTGACAAGGTCTAATTGAGGTATCCTCGACAAACGCTGAACGTGTCTACATTATAATGGAGGGATTTTCTTCTCAGACATGATTTCCGGAGACTGGAGCCCTGTTTTTATATCAGTCAAGTACATGCGTGCGAGGTGGGGAACCTTGTAGACGACTCCTTATTGAAAGGGAATTCTTCCCGTGGTTCGAGAGGCCAGGAAAAAAAAAAGTGGACGTGGATCGAGCGTGCTTGATTAGTTTTTTTTTTTGCCTTGTCGCAGTGTGGTGGTGGCGACAATTTGTGTTTGGACTACTTGAATTAACTCCTCTCGATCTGGAGAAGAGGGATCAGCCCACCCTCATTGGCGTTCTGGGTATTGAGTATTCAGGGAGGAGGGGAGGAGCCTCAAATATTCTTACTTCAGACGAGACGAGAGATTGCTGTGGGAGTGCCCGCGAAATCTATAGACACATAGCGTATAGATAAAGCTACACGCGGGCGATTTTATATCCACTGAATACGTCCGTACTTGTCCACACCACAGTAAAAATTTATTTCGGAGAACAGCTTAGTGTGAAAGAGGATTACATTACTCGCTGGCAAAGCACGACTATAGCGATGTCTACCTGAGAGATATGCGCCTCGGAAGGAAGGGGAGAACCGCGCTCGAATAACTGGGCAACGCTTGAAATATCCATCAGAGTCGAATGTCGAAAGAAGTATATACATAGAGACGGCCTCTTCTTCTTAACTCCCGAGTTGTTCAGGGACGGAATGAAAAGAAAGTCCCCATGCCCGCCGTAAAAAATAAACTCTAGGCTTCGTCGACAGTAATATTCGAGGAAATCCAAACAGCTGGGAAGCAGAGCTGCGTATAGATCCGTCTAACATCGGAACCCGTCTGTGAATTTACCGTGATGGTGGAAGAGTGGATGTGTTTAAGAGATGAGAGGGGGTGTATTGCGACTGCAGAGGAAAACAATTGTCCATGGCGCCCATATATGGACCACGAGGCCGAGTTTGAAGTACCGGGGTCGTTTCGCAGGGGTATTAGTGAGAGAAATTGGATATACTTTATATGTATCCTTGCGATGACTTGTAGGTCTTTGCCTTCTGTTCGCGACTAGGGATAATTCCGTTGAGTACCTGATGACATGTAGAGCTGGATCCAGCTTGTCTTTAGCATTTTCGGGATTAGTATCCATTATCCAGGAAGGTGTCCTGATTCTTGTTTGGAGAGATTATCATATTATTGCGGGGAGACGGAGCGCGATATCGACAGGGAACTGTGGTTAAGTAGACAAGTCTCCCTAAACTGAACCAAACCGAATTTGGTGGATGGATGAGAGCATCCTGTTTAAAAAAGTGAGGAACAATCCAACCTGGGCAACAGACGGAAGATCCCGTTTCGTTGGAACGGGAATCCTTCAACTGTGATGCTCTGCCTAGGCCTAGAAATACAGAGTTGGAGCATGGTCGGAAGGAAGGAGGAGAACTCGTGCACCCATCGAGAAGTAGAGATGGGGGGCTCCTTCTCAACTGAGCGCGATATCCATGCCCAGCGTGAGAATAAACCCTCTGCTTCGTCGACAGTTTTATAAACCGTAGTGTATCCGTTGGATGACTTGTAGGTTTTTTGGCGATTGAGGACGATACCCGATGATAGGTAGAGTCTATTTTCCGTATAGGCAGAGGGAGGGGGGTCCTGATGCTTGAGATGAGAGACAAGAGATTATCATTATTTCAGCGAGAACCCTAGTTAGTCGCCCCCGAACGGAACTGAACCTGTTTGATGGATGGATGGATGGGCCCAGCGTCTGTTTAGTCGGGGTGGGAGGAATGTAGAGACGGGGAGATGGACGGGTACCTCCTAGCAACGGCATCTGGCGGTGTTGGGATGGGTGCTGGTGAGAGAGATGTATTTGCGAATGATGAAGAACAATATACCATGGGATATGATGCGTTTCGCGGAACACATCAGAGGGAAGGAGATTGGTTGCCGCTGGGGCCTTTCTTGAGTCTATGGCGGGTGGGGAACTCATCCTGGATGATCCTGTGAAGAGAGATGCACGATAGGGAAGACCACTCAAGTCCGTGAGAATGAGAAAACAGTGGTTTACAAGGCTATTTTTACAAGACAGCACGGTTTTGGTATAGACAGGCTCGTAACCGTAACCACCGAAGTAACCGAAAGTCCAGAATACCGGCTGTCATAAAAGGGTGAGGTTATCAAAGATGAGATCAGAAGAAGAGGAAATGTAGGTCGTTGAGGGGGATGACGCGATATTTACATGCATTGAGCCAAGGGAAAGAGAGCAAGTCGCAGAGAGAATTGAAGACTCCGAGTACTTTGCGGCGGGGGCCGTGGAAATTAAATTTCGGAAGGATCCGCGGAATAAATGAAAGTGACGTCATGAGGCATGCGATCTGTATCAACGGCATCAATTGTCGTCAAGGGCAGCCAAAACTCTAGATTTTCCTTTCTCCCACTGTCTTTTTTTCATGCAGGGTCTCAGAGACCACCATGTTCCTCCAGCGTCGACACACTGCCACGACGATAACACCAGTCAAAGCTGGAGGACGGTTGATGAAAAGGATGTCGACTATTTTTAGCAAGCCTTCGTCGCAACGAATGGTGGAACGAGTTGGAGTTGTGGAAGAGTCGGCGTCAGAAGTTGAGGAAGAGGTCAAAGTGTCCGTGTCGTCGAGTGAGTCATCGATGGATGATATTCGTAGGCCGTCTGGGCTCGGGCCGTCGATTGAGGAGCATGCAAAGGTTATGCATGCGTATCGTGTTCAGGTCCCGCCTCTCCCTGCATACCGCCCGCCAAAACCACTGTATGATACCCCGCCTTTGCCAGTGGAGGTGCTGTCTGCGATACTCTCGTTCCTCCCGCGCACGTCGGTACCCGCACTCGCCCTACTCTCTCGTGACTTCCTCTCTGCAGCCCAGGCTGTGTTATACGGCAACCTGGACATGGCAGGAGTGCAGAACCCCGACGCACTGTGGGTATTCCTCGTCACACGACGAGACCTCACATCGCTCACACACTCTCTTCACGTCCCTGCATGGCCATCACCGCAAGCTCGGATGTACCTCATACCACGCGTCCTCGCCCGCATGGACAATCTCCACTCCCTCGTTCTCCCTTCCTTCGATCTCCACATCGTGCGACACCACTCTGCGTTTGGTCTGCGTCATATAGAGTTTGGCAACACCCACCTCTCCGGGCAGGCCGAGGCAGACCTTCTCACGTGGTTGGATGGCCAGACTAATGTCATCTCGCTCCGGTTTCCGTCCCTGCTTGAGGATGGCGATGACTCGCCACCATCTACGCCACTTCCCACCACTCCGACGCGTACACGGCTTCTTTCCGCGCCCACCACACCTAGTCGGCTGTCTCTATTTCCCATGCCTCCGCTATCCCCGCTACCACCAACTCCAACTCCGACTCAGGATACATTCACGCATCCAGCGGCCACTCTTCTTCCTAATCTTACCACGCTGCATGCCCCGCCCCATCTTATCATGCTCCTCGCACCCTCTCGTCCTCTAATCGACGTGTCTATAACTATCTCCACCCCAATATATGCAGGTTTTCGTCCTACCTCCACCCTCGAGTCCCTCCCTCCCTCCGTCCGCCGTCTCCGCTTCGTGTTCAAGTCCGTGGGTAAACGCACAGAAGAAAAGACACTCCGTAGTGCTGTCGTTGTATGCCCTAACATTGAAGAACTCGAGATCGAAGGCGAGGGTGGCGAGGTGTGTTGGGGTAACGTCGTTCCCCACTTTAAGGCTCTCCGGGTACTGGTAATGCGTAAACCGGGGATCGCACAAGTGAAAACGGCGAAGGAAGAGCTCGATGAGAGGTTCCCTCTTCCAAAACGAGCCAGAACACGCTCAACGTCCTCGACTATCAGTCACTCTGGCCACTCGATGGTAGTGAGCGAGCGTGCACGCGCAGCCCGGCTAGCTACCGCTTGTCCCACCCTCGAACGCGTCGTATTTCCAAACGGAGTAGAGTGGCGGCGTCCGCCTCCTTCGCTACCGACTCTCCCCCGCTCGAGATCCTCGCCGTGTCTCGTCACAGACGATCTGTTTGTGAAGAGGGTTAATCCAGGCGTTCCTCCTCTGCCGCCCCCTCCGAAGAAAGTGGTTCCGTTGAAGGAGCAGAGGTTTGCGAGGACGGAACCGGTGGAACGGGGGTTTTGTCCTTGATGACAGTGAGGATGATGATTTGTTCTTCAAACCCAGTCCGAGGAAGGAGAGTAGCTCGCTGCAAGGATGTCGCGAACAAGTCGAGGTTGATGTTCAAGGTGCTAGGAAGATGGTCATGGCGCTTGTATAGCACTTCGTGCGTACTCGTTCCTTCCTCCCGCTATTCAAGAATTATGCTAATACCTCCTCATAGCTCATCTATCGTTACCCTCAAGGCTATCGCCTATTCATGTACATATACTTATCCCTATCTATCCTTACCTTCCTTCCCTTATTCGCGGATTTATACCCCAATTACCGTGCTATATTCATTCTTCGCCACTTCGCTGTAAACGCCTTTATTCGAGACCATCCCTGATGAACTAGCCATTCCGAAAAACCAGAGATTATGCCGCAACCCAAAAACCCGAATTGTGCCCTAACCAACTGTGACCGCGAATTCCGACTTTCCTACTCGTTCGTGCTTCTCAACGTCGACTCCCTGAGGAGGCCGTATGTGAGCGAACGCGAGGATATGGTGGGCGTGAAATTGAAAGAAAAACCCCCTCCATTGCCCTTGGTATTGAAACGGGGGGAACTTGCCCTCCACGATGGTTCGCGGATTCGTCAGTGCTTGGTGGCGTGGTATTCCAAAAAGAAAAGAAAAAAAGGCAGCTAAGACACAAGTTCAGGCCCAGGTCCCGCCTTTACGCGAATATTCGTTCTCTCCCACGACGCGCGCTAACGGGCGGGTGGGTGGGTGGGTAGTTCCTCACCACACAGACACGTCTGCCTTCTCCACATTTTTCGAGCACGGCACGCTGACCACTTCTATCTCGCCGCTCGCTAGGGTTTGGTAAATGACCTTTTCTCCTTCGTTACTACTTACCTTTTTTTCATCGCAAGTATGTATCCTCATAAATCATGGATTTATACCCAGTGTTCACCTCGACCGTAAAGGGTATCCTTCTTCCTGGCGAGTCAAAAGCTTAGTATGGAAGGTACATATGCTTCTACGCTAAAACGGACCTGGCACCCAAATTCATCTCCACGTTCGATCTCGAACTTGAGGGTGTGCTGGAACTGCGATGGCGTAGAGGATGTCTCTCTCTTTTTCTTTTTGTTCCCGTCTAATTGCAAGGCTGTCATTTTCATAAGTGCCAAGATAACTGCGGCGAAATTTGGTTGGCTAACTCGGCTGTGTCCTTTGTAAGCTAAGAGAGAGGCACTGTTTAATATAGATACAAGTCAAAGTTCTCCGATCCAAAAACCAATGAAATCCTTTGCGCCTCGGGCACTAAAACGAATATGAACGTTTGTCGAGAAGAACAAAACCGGATCTTCAGCCTCGGCCAAAGAATCATCACCAGGCGTGAATCTGAATTGCTGTCCCTAAGGAGGAGTCAACGGTGGTGAATTGAAACTAGGTTTCACGGTGCCAATACGTACGTACGTGCATCGCGTTTAGATACGGGGAATGAAGTAAGCCTAATATTTTAAGTTGATGGCAGGGGGAGATGAGAGACGGGGGCAGGTCAATGGGGAGTGGACGAGCCACGATGAGAACGAGGACACTCCCATGCATGCACTGTGGAGTGAGTTGGATTCTAAATGAAGGGACGAGTAGCAAGCCCTGATATCACGGCACAGCTGGGCCCCATTAAATGACGTTCGATGGGAATGCAACTTCCACGCGTAGAGAAGGCGATGATGAAATCGGAAAGTGCTGTCACTGACAATACGGTCTATATAGTAAAGGGGAAGGGGAGATTAGATATCCTTGTATCTGGGGAAGAGGCAAATTCGATAATATATTTTTTTTCGGGTGCATTGTGAGACTGAAACTGTAACTTGTAAGACGTAAGAAGAACCATGGCGCGAAGAAATGACTTGAATAACTATGGAAAGTTCTTCCGTTGAAGGAACAGACGTGGTTGAGTGGTGTTTTGACCTTGATGATACGATTTATTCTTCATCGAACCGAGTCGGAGGAATGAGGGCAGCTCGGTGCAAGAAGTCAAGGTTCTAGGAAGATGGGTCATGGCACTGGTATAGCGTTCGGTATGTTGCCGTTTCTTGCATGATCCATCTCGTTATTTAAGCATCACGCTAGTAGTGTCTCGTAGCTTATCTATGGTTACTCTGAAAGCCATTGTCAATATACTTATCGCTATTTAATATTACCACCCTTTTATACCCAATTAGTATGCTGTCTCCGTTCTTCATTCCTTCACCATAGACTTGTTCAGCATTCTTCATTCTCCCCGCTTCCTTGCGGCAAGCCAAAAGAGAGGAAAGTACTAGCAGAAGGATATACAAACTATGCGACTTTGGTAAAAGGTTCGAAGACCCACCGAATGAGAATCGGCGAGCAGAAGGGAAAAGCGCACCTGGCTGTTTTCGCTCCATATTCAGCTGTGCGGTGATATCTCGCTTGTATTCAGATAGGATGAATGCCGTCGACCGTGTGTGTGTGTGTGTGTGTGTTGGAATTACTGTACTGGCAGGCATTTCTGTAATAAATCGATAAACACTGGAAGCGCATCGGCCATCGTTCGATTCTCCGAAATGCCGGCTCCAAGGTGATGAGACATAGTCCTAGTATGTTATATGTTCCCTAATGAGGCAGAGTAGTCCCTCGTCATGCGAGGATCTGTTCTTGACGGCAAGTCGTAAACTACACGTCTGTTATATCCGAAGTGATGGTCATACTAGAGCAATATCACCCCCCCTTCCTCCTTCCCTCCCGCGAGAACCTTTTCTCGTATGTCCTAAACCTGGACGTAGCTCGTTGCTCCCACATCCTACCTAGACCGCCGAGGCTACGTATCCGGTGAGTGAGAAACTTTCTCGTGCAAGTTTTTAATCATGGATCTCAAGCGTAGCCTTTAATAATTAATAGATTCGAAATCACCCGTGAACTTGGGGCCATTGATATGCCATATTATCTCTCCAGTCGTGTTATGAACACGATTTATAAATACAATTCACTACATAATATTTACCGACCTAGTACTATTATTCATTTGAACATCGAGATTCTCCTTTGCGCGATGCAAAGAAGAACTGCTCTCCATCGGAATACTGATGTGCTGAAGAATAAATATCAGATCAACAAGGGACAGCGATACAATGTCTACATACTGTGGCTTCAGTACCAGAGTTGTGACATGTGAGCGCCGGGGCATTTGGTTCTGACGATGCATCCTTCATCCGAGATTTCCGGGAGTTTAACCTAGGAATGCTCGGTTTCCAATGAGGGTGAACGACAAGTCAACACGTACATGGCAAGTAGTGAGTTGATATAAACTGCGACATGTTAGATTAGTCATGAATGCCAATAAAAATATTGAAGGCCCACGTTTTGGAAGGATTAAAGCAATGCCATAGAAAATAAGAGTATTCGGCCACACCAGGTACTGTAGTTCAAAGTCAGATTGTCAAACGATATCATATGATAATCTTCCGTACCGTGATTAGAATTAGTAAAGAGCATGCGCTTTCTGTTTGTGAGTTTCCGTGTAATTTAGAATCCAAAGAGTCATGTGTACCTTGTAGCCAAACCTGAAATCACACCGAGCCGCATCATACCGAGAACCATGTCGGATGTTCTACAATAGCTTAATGTAATAATGCATCAACAGTACGAAATACTTACTTGGAGAAGCCGGACACCTGCCTGCTTTTGTGCAAGTAGTAGCACATAGACAATGCAATGATGAAATCAGAAACCATTGGGATCGAGTGAACGATGTATACTGATCCCTGGAGGATACTTCAGGTGACATGTGCATTCATGCTCATATTCATATGCGGCGTACCTTCAACCTTGGTAACGCCTGGAAAGTGGATACAGAGTACCTATTCAGAATGATATAAGCCTTCGCAACAAACTCACAGAGGAAAGTGGTTTTGTTACATATTTTGGACAAAATCTAATTATCTCGCGTGAGAGAAATACGACTGAATGGTGAGTGATAGCTTACAAATTCCGTTTCCTGGATACATTGTGAATCAAACTAGAGAGGCCGGAGATGTGATCGCTCACCGACAGCTACTGTGAATGTAAGAACCTGCCAGTGTATTGTTAGGAACAGATATATTCGTGCCGATGGACAGTGCACACCACAATCCAAGGGAGAATTCGATGGAAATAGCGGCCAACTATAAAGGGTTGGAGATATGTTTGTCATAAAAAATGGGGAAAACACGAACGTTTCCAGATCCGAATAATGTATATACTGTGTGATACATCAGCGAATATGTGTGGGGCCAAGTTGGAAACATACCCTTGGACACCTATGATGATGAGGATCTGGGAATGCAGATCTCAGATTCGGATCATATCAGAAAGATATATGACAAACAGCGGTCAGTAAGTGAAGCTAACGATATAGCATGGTGATTAGGCGCTACTCTGACAAAGGAACCAAGATGTACATTAAGGCTCCTGGTTCAGGAAATTCAGTAAGGTTCACAGAACGTTCCTAGAATTTGATCCCTTACATACCAAACGATATGATGCAGCCCATCATAGTTCCCGAACAAGTCGATTAAATAATGATACATGGCATGGGTATTCAGCACAACATGAAGCGCATCAAGGATCCTGGGTAACCATCATGGAAATCGTGTCTTGAAATGGACTCGTACGTACCACAGTATGCCGACCTGATGAATGAGGTAAATAAATCCAAATTTTGTCGGATATCTGACTTATGGAGTATCGAAGTATCCACCAGTCGTCAGGATATTTCTTGTAATACCTGGCGACTTGTGTAGTCGTTATTCCGAAAAAGCTGTTACGGTAGTTAGTAAAGAGAAAGGCGAGGACAAATCATACTTGCATGGCGGCTATCGTTGCACAGATGTAAGCTACCCCGAAAGTCATTCCCAATGATGGAGCAGCGACTGAGAGTTGCGATGACATTGTAGGGTACGAGAGCGAAGACAGGAGAGATAGAGCCAAGAATTTGGGAGAGCCAATCTCTTTATATCGCCCGCAGAGAGACATTGATGGAACAACAAAACAGTCTTCTCTGCGACCTTGATGACGGATATCTATTGGACACAGCACATGGAAAAGGTACAGGGTTTCATCACCAACGTAGAATGAATCATGCAATATCAAGCATAACGTTACCGGACGTCCGATTGGCGACAATATCACGCTTGTCTGTTCATCTCATTTGCATTCATCAATATAGACATCTCTCGGGACTGGCATCGAGTCGGGTTCAGATTAGCACCTGATTATCTGGACTTAACAGCAGGCTCAGATGATATTCATCTCGATGCTTACCCCAAATCTCGTGTTACTCGGTCCGAATTGGGGTATATTCATTAAAGTCCCTGCAGTTTTGAGTTTCTAGGTCAGAGACAATCCCGAGCACCGACAAACCAAGCGTGGAAGCCATTTATCAGGATCCTACGTGGTAGCAAATCAAAATGATGCACAGAAACCGCAAAAAAGGTGATGTATGCTCTTCTTCCTCCTTTAGATTTGTAGGATTCCGGGACGAGTATCCTCGCAATGTTATATTACATGAATATATGTTCCTCGCCGAGCCATTTCAGTGAGGAGGTAATTCAATGATGTCGAACCAGAAGCGCGCTTCTTTCAAATGCACACCTGGTCTAAAAATAGATGTGAGAATTGTTTCGGATAGAACCCCTTAATTCAGACGCTCAAAGCTAAACATAAATACATGCTTTCACCTGTTGCTCTAGCTGGTTGGTGGGTAGCGCTGTCCTAATCAGCACAACAATAGATCTTCTTTTCTACTATACCTGACGATAATCAAAGGCAATACCGGTGGTTTCGAGGCGTCGGGTCGGATAATTACCCTCCATCTGCGGGAACTAGACTGGTGCAGGTTTATCCCAACTCCTCTCATTAATATGGAGGCTCGTTCCCAAGATCATTTGGGAAGCGCTGAGAACTGAGGTGTTCCGAAGAACGAGGTCATGGCCCTGTACGTACCATCGACGGATGATCTTCCTTCCTATTCTCGCAAAAGCAATTCTCTAGCCCCAATCTTTCATTCATGTACATATTTTCATCGCTATTTACTCATTGCTACTACATATCCCTCTGTATGAGATAAGCGCTAGCTTCGAGAACCCAAATTGTTAGGATGTGGACCTTGTCGCTACATGCACGCAAAGAAATGAAATGATACAAATCAGATACAGGCTCTTCCCCCTTCATTGTATCTGCATGATTCCGAGACAAGCATCCCCGCGATGTTTACATGTATGTCCCTTGCCAAGTTGTTTCAGACTGAAGAGGTAACTCGGTGATCATTCGAACCAGAAGGGCGTGCTAGCATGGTAAACACAAGATTCGCTTCGAAAACAATGTGAGCATCGTTTCCTTGGAATCCCTCGATCTAGACGCTCGATGATGGACTAAAAATATAGGTTGTCACTTGTTGCTCTAGACGATTGCCAGCGGTGCATAAGATGTTGTAGTCAGGATACAAAAATAGACCATCTCTTCTATGATACCTGATGATAATCCACAGCAATACCGGTGGTTTCAAGGCGCTAGAATGTCACCTTGCCACATCCCAAATGAGATATCTGCCGAAAGTCGAGCACTTGCCCTCGATCTGCGGGAGCTAGACCAATGCATATTTCGTAAAGAGACGAATGATTTTCCTCAGGTATAAGCCGAACGAATAATGCATACTCACCTACTGAAAGATAATATCAGGTCTGTTAGTAGGTAAATGGTCGAATGAATTGGTACGGCGCAATTCGCCATTCTGAAATTTGAAGAAAATATCCTGTCAGAAAAAAGGAAGATTAGACGTACGGATAGTAGATGAAAGCAAGAAAGAACAAGGAGGCGACGAAATACGACATTGAGGTCAATACTCCAATGCCTGAGTGCGAAGTTGTAGGCGGGGTTAGCCGGAGATACTTGCATTCGAAATACAAATACCTACACGCCGTATATTTTGTTGATTTTAAATATGGAGGAATGTGAAACTGCTCCGAAACGAGAATAGACGCGGGGGGTATGGACCTGGTGGCGGAAAGTCAGGAATCGCCTGTAATCGGGCCGGTCCGGTAGTCACGTGTATCAGGCGCCCTTCCTTTTGAAATTCAAATTTTGGTCTCGAAACGGGAACTTCGTCTGTTACCTCCTCGCCGCTCGATGCAAAGCTATTAGTGGAGTCGCGTTTCTCTCAAACACAGTGGTTACCAATGTCTGCAGACTCATCTCACTGGGTCCTGATGTGTAGATGTCCGGAAGAACTCGAGGTAGAAGTCAGGGGTAGCGAAGAATGCTGTGGTGTGGCACTGTTCCTCGTTTCCGGACCGCCTAGGCATTGGTTATAGTGCATTGATGAGGTATGAAGAAGAAGAAAAAAGTAGGAAAACACTCACTAATCGGTTGATCAGTGCTCAGCAGGTTGACGTATTGCATTCAGGTCCTGCCTCTCCCCGCCTACTGCCCCCCAAAACCACTGTACAAAATGCTGCTTTTCCGTTGGAGGCCTTATTTCGATTGTCCCACGAACCTCGGGTATCGCATTCGCACTGCTCTCCTACCACTTTCTCCGCACTGTGCAGACAATCTTGTACTCTGACCTTGACATGTGGAACGTTCGGTGACAAGACACCAAATCATCGCAGCGAGTAGTGGAGCAAGTTAGAGGCGCAGAACAGCCGGTGTCGGAACTGCGTCACGCTCCGCTTTTGCTAGTGGAGGTGGCGCGAATACCGCTATCTTGCGACTTACTCTGTATTGAGCAGGCCGTGTTGTATGGCAACCTCAACCTGCAGAATGTTTGGGATCGTAACATCGTGGATATTCTTTGTCACATAGAAGAACCTCACACTGATTCCCTGCATGGCCATCACCGTAGACGAGTGCCTATCATATACCCCGCGTATTCGCTCGCATGGACCTCTGCTTTTTATCTCTCCCTTCTCTGATCTCTACATCGTGCGCCATCACTCTGCCTTCGGTCTTTATCATATCGAGTCTACAAACACTTGTCCCTCCGGGCACGCCGAGGGTGATCTTCTCACGGGGCTCGATGGCCAGAGAAAATCCGTCTCACTGCGTTTCTTTCACTATCCAATGACGACGATGGCTCACCAACATCGACACCACTTCATACTGCCACTACGTGTACCCGCCTCCCACTCTGAGCCCGCTAAGCCAAGGCGAATCTCTCTTTCTCCAGTACCACCGCTACCACTGACTTCAATATTGACTCAAGACGCGTTCATTCTTACAGCCGTTACTATGCTTCCTAATCTCACTAGTTCGCACGCCCCACCACACTTGATAATCCTCCTCGCGTCCTCTCGTCTTCTGGTTGACGTGTCTATCACCGTTTCCACCTTAAATTATGCTGAACCCCATGTTACGGCCACCCTCGAATCCCTCCCTGCATCCGTTCTTCGTTTCAGCTTTGTTTTTAAGTTTGGGTAAAGGCACGAGACACTCCGCTGTGTTATCGTTGCCTGTTGGTAATGCATAAGCCGGGGATTGCTTCAATGAAAAAAGGGAAGCAGAAGCTCGATGAAAGGCCCGCTCTCACGAAACAAGCCAAAACATGGTCGACGTCATCAACCATCAGTTACTTACGCCACTCGATGGTTTTCGATGGTTTTAAGTGAGCATGCACGTGCAGCTCCTTTAGCGAACCTGTGTCCTGCCCTGGAACGCGTCGTCTCTCCCAATGGAGTGGAGTAGCACGGTCCATCACTCACCACCGACTCTTCCCTATTCTTGATCCTTACCATGTCTCACCGCCAACAATCTGTTCGTAAAGGAGATCGATGGTATCGTTCCTCTTGTATCGGAGCAGGTCGAAGTTCTGGAAAAAATGCTGATGGTACAGGCGTAGTGCTGGTGCATATCAATTTCTCTGTTCTTGCTATTCAGTATGTTGACAACGCCTTGTAGATTATTTACTGCCATCTTAGCAAAGCCTACGTTCTGTTCTACCCACCGTCACGTTCACAAGCATCTCTTCGTATATCTGCGTTTTTATTGACATTCATCAATCTCAGACTGCTCCTGCAGATCTCGATGTCCACATCGTGTAGAGCGCCACCATTCTACTTTTGGTCTACCGCAAGGCCTGAAGCAACTCTACGTTACCATCTCCGGTTGTATCTCCGCTTTCCGTCTCTTTGCAATGACGATGATAATTCGCCCTTGCTGACGTCACTTCCCGCCACTGCCATGCATCGTCGCATCTTACTCATCTTAAAGTCCGTGGTAAACGAAAGGACGAGAAGATGCTTCGCAATGCCATCATCGTCTACCCTGACATCTTCAATTGAAGAATCTAAGGTAGTGGGTCAGGGCGGTGGAGTGATAGTACACGTGGCTCATCTAGCAATCGTGTGCTCCGCCTTTAAACATGCCATGTTCCAATGGCATAGATTGACACCGCCCGCATCCTTCCCTCTCAATACACTCTCCCTCTCGATCCTCATCCTGTCTCACCGCCGAAGATTTCTTAGTGAAGAAGATCGATTTCGGCATCCTCACTGCGCCACCACCTGCTCAGAGGAAACTCGTTCCCCCAAAGGAGCAATTTTCTGTCTGGCCTGACGGCTACAGTGACAACGACCTGTTCTTTAAACTGAGTCTAAGTCGGTCTCTGCTAAGGTTGAGGCTCGAGGTATTGGGAAGATGTCGATGATGCTGGTATAGCATCCAGTATTTATCCATTTCTTCCGTATTACTTTTAGGGATCATGCTGACAATTCCTCGTAGTTCGTCTATTGCTACCATCACAGCTGGTTTATTGCTTGTTCATGTATATCTTCTCACCGCTATTTATCATTACTGGTGGATTTATACCTATAGCATGCTATCTTCCTTCTTTGTTGCTTTCTAGGGTGCGGGGTGTCGTTTCGAGATCGGATCGGAACAGGATTGCCCGTGTTCGCTCCCCCGCGGTTAGTTCTTGCGCTAAGTTGTAATTTCGCCTATACTCGACCATGGAATGTTCACCAGCAAAGGAGGAATGCAACTGGTCCGGCGAGGGCTGACGTCGCATGGTAGACCGCGTGTGTTGGAATGCCTATACTGGCAGCCTTAGAATGATTTCAGATGACCCGATGCTTCCATCCGACTCGGCGCCCGTCGTTCATGCATCGTGTTGACCTCTTGCTGGGAATTTGTTATGGTCGCCGTACGGTCGGTGCGTTTATCCAATGCGTGTCCTACCATTATGGAACATGTGGGGTTCTGCTCCGTCTCTCGATCTCTGCGTCCCCGTTCATGTTACGCTCATTCATGTATTTTTATCACTATTCTTCGACTCTTTATTATCGCTTCAGAGCTTACTTTGTTTCAAGAACATCCGTGCTGGTCCAGCCAGCAAAGAGGTCTAAAGGCTTTTTTCTCACGCGACTCTGACAAGCGCTGGTGATATCTACTACACAATTCGGGATGTATTGGAGTTACTGGTGGCTGTACGAGCCGTCAGGAATCAACTGGCTCCGAACCCGTTACGTACCGTACCCGCAGTTTTCTTTTCTTTACCGTTTACCATCATGTCAACATACATAGGTTAAATGAGTTGCTCTTTTCGTTCCCTCCCGTGCTCGAACTTCAACAATTCTATAGACAAGCAACTTACGTGAAGATCCAAAAAATTCGTGAAGGCCGAAAGAATGGGTCAGAAAGCATGATCGACATGGAAATCTATCGTACAGACTCCGGACCACGTCCTGCGTCATTGTCGCTCAAAATCTTTGTCCTCAGGCTGCATGTCCTCATCGAAGTCTCCGAGTCCTTTCTTCCCCTTTTGCGATCCGCATACGTGGTGAAATTTCCGCCACCAGTTGTTGTAACTGAGTGTCTTCGACGGCTATGAGAAATCTGTCAGCCCATGACAGATTGGAGAATTTATATTGTCTACATACCCAATTGACGCCGCTCTTTCCATCTCGTTCTGCCTCAAGACACTTGGCCAGAATACATACAGTCTCTTTCAATTCCTTCTTGTAACAGATTTCATCCTTTAACCCGTCAGACTCCGAGGGAGTGCGATCGTAGGTCTCAGGGTTCAAAGTGTCTATGATTTCTGGCCAGTTTTGGTGATTTGGAGCAATCGATGCCAGGGAGGATAAGATGGAGCGTGACTGGATACGGTTGCGCGCGATACTTGCACAAATTCCATGAATGACGATAGATTGATGAAGATTGTCAATGTGACGTTGAAGGAAGCTCTCTGATTGAATATCTCGGTACTTTCCTGTTTTTTTAGTAGCTTCCGAGATCCCTGTGATATACCTCTGCAGTCCTTCGATAAGCCATAATTGGAGTTGACGTTTCTGTGTTATATGCATCAACACTCCTTGCTCTAGAAATGCATCGTACGCATCGGCGATTCCCCCAGAGAAGCCTTGACCTAACAGAAAGTCCACTGCCCGAAATGGAGAGGCATATCCTTGACCATAATGGAGCTGGTAGCCGGACGGGAACCGGTCAAGATCATCCGAATTGAAATCTTGAAGGACGATTCCAATGATACTGGAAAAGAAGGCCTTCGTGTCCCATTCTGCAAGTGGTACACTGATTCCAAGGGCGGGTTCCCGATTCAGAACTGAAATCATGCATGAAAGAGCGTGATCATAGCAGGTCCAAATGAGCCTTGTGACCTCAAACCTGATACCGGACGGGTGGATGCCGAAATCTCCAGTGAATAAATTGGATGTGATGAAAGAGACTATCACCTTACATGGCCCGTCATGGAGGAATGGTGAAGGTGAGTTGTCAGGGTCATGAAGATCTCTCTTCACTGCCTGTAGTACGACCTCCAAGAGCCGGTATTTGGAGATGAAGGTTGAATAATCACCAGGGCTTTGCCCCAGAGTGCCAAAAAGGCTTGCTGGTGGAGAGTTCTCCGAGTCAAGCACAAAGAACTGTATAATGGCGAGCAGAAGTCTTGGTCGATGGTCCATTGCGTCTTTATATGAATCGAATTCCGCAAAGAATGAGAGAAGAGTATTGATACAGTGGTCCGGAAAATCTTTTGCTGCAACGTCTGCAAAAGTACAACTGTACGACGTAGAAACATCAGTTTCAGACATATATAGGCATGCCACCAAGTTTGCACACATCTCGAGTGTGAAATTAGGGTTGTCATGCCTCTCGAATAGCTTATGAAAAACGGTGGCATTTTCACCCAATATTAAGCTCTGCCAGACACACGGATGGTGAAAGCTGAGGTCCGCTAAAGCATTCATGGCGACTTCATTTCGTGAAGCAAGGTGCATAGGCTTCCTAATGTGGGTATCTTCCATAGAAGACAGAGTCAATGACAAGTTATCAGAGATATCCTTGGTTGAGAAATCCAGATCATGTTCACCAAAGAATCCGGCTGGGAACTTCCGGCGTAAATGAGGGAACAAAACCTCCAGTCGGAGGAGCGGCTCAATCGTGCGGTCGATGTTGGGAATATTTTTTGGGATCCACCGGGTAGATCCATCAAGTTGGGTGAGCTCCATACAATCCCCCAACATTTGCTCTTTCTCATCTCCTATTTCTGGCCAGTATTCCGTGAAAAGATCACGAGCATATAATACTTGCTTTATAGGCAATCCAGCAAGAGCTTGGATGACCAGACGACGCATGGCAGAGGTTGATGCTCTCGTGTAGAGCCAAAGAAGTTGATCCACCTCGCCTTTTGCAGATGATATTTCTGCACCGTACATCTCAAAATCTTGCAATGTTTTGAGTCCAGGACGAAACTCGATTTGCAGTGATGAAATTGACTTCAGTACCGCAACGAATTGTTGAAGGATCCACGTGGTGATGACATATGCAACCAAAGATAGGGGTGTTTTATATGCACAGTCCGGGTATATTATTGGGAGGGTGTTTGTCACAACATAGACGATAAAGGTTATGATGGATATGATTCCTACCACAATTGAGGTTTTCTGCTGCTGAGGTAGGAGAGATAGCACAAGGCCGATGAAAAATAAGAAGAGGGAAAGATGCAGCATGAGTGGTAGGAGGCGAATAAAGGCGCCGACACGCCAACTGACAAGACCATCATAACGTAAATGCCGAGTACGAGAGCGAACTTGGGGGTTTCCGGCGACAGAGGACTGATAATGATAATACCACTCATCGACAAGAATTGCAAATAGCGCAGTTGCAAGACTGAGAGTAAGACTCGTGAACCATAGTCCGTTTATCCATAAATCCGATGTTTTCGGAGTAAAGGGAGCCATGGGGTCAGTGCCTGATGTGGTGATACGGTCAAGGGAAGTGCCGTTGGCAATGGCGCGCTGAATATTGATTTGATCGAACGTCAAATATGCCGACAACTGCTGATAGTCTGGCTGTAGATTTGCAAAGGATTGGGCAATGAACGCGCTGACAATTGCAGAGAAGAGTCCTGCCTACAAAATCCAGAATTGAAGTTATAGATCATGAAATGACTGAATCAGCTTACAAAAACGAAGAGAACATTGACTTCTCCCCTCTGGTTTTCCATGATATCCATATCATATTTCCAGCCTTCAGCCAGACAGGTCCCCCAAATGCGGGATGTTGGATCTACTTCCTCAAAGGGTTGGCCTGGTATAGTCCATGGGGAATCATCTATAATGACTTATGAGAACAGATGTAATCACTTCAAGAAGTCTGCGTACTGATTTTAATGCCTGTTGCATCTCGAGTTTTGGAGCGACTACTGGATAGCATGAAAAGTGTTCGCAGGGAGCAAAAGGGGGGTGGGGGCGTTAGAATGAGACGAATGGTATAAATCAGATTTTGATGTTCCTGTATATGGTAACAGGCGGTAAGAAGGTACCATTTATATATACGTGTACCTAAGAATAGATAACCAGGCATGTTCGGTACCGTGTAATATATTTCTACTTGCCTGTAACCCCTTTGCTCAATTGTTACGTGCCGCCGTATTCGGATACGAGCCTTCGTCGCCACAGCACGTGGCAAGCTTGTCATGTTTGGGCTTTGGACCCGGCCGTTCCTTATTGGGACCTTGTGTGCCGGTACCAACACCAACACCAACAACCAACAGCATGGTCGCGGACCATATTATTGTGAGCTTTAACAGGTATTGTCTGGTTTTATAGCAGCTGTGAGAATCCTACCAGACGGTCATTAGCGAGTTGTACGGTCCAGCGTCGTCTCGCTTTGACGGTTTGTGCGAGATCAGGATCTTCAAATCAGAAAATCGCGCCATGAGCTCAATCCCAGTCAGCCTCGGGTATCGATACGTGATCCCGATGATGCGTTGCTGCAGTCGGAGTACTGAAGACACCGAGCGGCTAACAAAGAAGAATTCTCCATGTGGCTGGGCATCTACAAGATGAGGTGATTAGTATCGATTAAGACAGCTTGAATGTTGCACACTCTGACCTCGATTTCAGCATTACTATTGTATTGCGTAAGTCAGCGTCGGTCTCCCTGTGTTACCATTCTTCACCTCTCTTAGCTCTGCAGGGAGGAATTCCCGCTTGTGATGAGAACCGGCGGTGATGGAAACGATTATGTGGGTGTTAAGGATTAGGGTATTTGAGCTAATACACGAAGTAATGATTACTCGAGGAAAACCCGAGTTGTGAGCGAAGATGTCCGAAAGCCAAGTTCCAACCGCCAAGGGGGATCCCTTCCCTAGTTACTGCAGGCTTTTCATTGGACCTCTCATATTTGTCGGACTTCCCATTAGACATTTCATATACGGACACACTTCTTTCTACTACACAACTTTGGACACTTTTTTCTTTGATTTCTCTGCTTATGTACTGTATTTACTGGCTCAGACACACGACGCGCCGAAGTCGATGTTTTTAGGGCCCTGGAGACGTTTTCGGGGGGCTGCTTTTGGCTACCATCAGAGTCCTAAGCGAGCGACGCAATTAGATGTATTTTATCTATGAAAATTCTTTCTCTCCGTAGCGATCCAATTTTTTGGGTCCTGAGCAGAGGATCATACGTGGAAGTTAAGATCTTCCTTTGCACCATCCAAGAACCGAGAATCTTGAATTGGAATGCTGACGGTCTGATCGAATAGCATGACTATTAATTAGTCTGGAAGGACGCGGTGAGGACATACCACGTCCTCAGTCTGAACCCCAGAATCACTAGGCATGAATCTTATCGCTGTTATTACCGAAGATTCACTTTTTGTGCACGTTTGACGTTCCCCCCGTGAGTTCAACCTAGATAAAATCAGCATCCAAACGTATTGAATATGTGAGCGGATACATGCATAGCAAGTAGCGAGTTGATATAGACTGCAAAACCAAATTAGATCGGTCGCGAATGAGATACAATGTGGCCAAACATTTTGGTAGAACGAAATCGAGAGCAAGGAAGATGAGAGATTCTGGCCAGATGAGATACTAAGATGAGGATCAGATATCTGGAGAGGACCAAGTTGGAAGCCGATGTACCATGAGGAGAATAAGTACTTCGCAAGGGCTGGGCGTTTATCAGGTCCCGTGTGAGTATTAACCAAAGTGAAATTTTACCCTGTCGCTAGTCCAGATATCACAACGAGTTGCATTAAACCGAGAAGCATCGCAGACGTGCTAGCATCGTTAACTGAGTAAGTTTCAAGTTGGATAAACATAAAATTTCTGTCACCTGGAGAAAGGGGAAACCTGTCTGCATTTGTGTAGGTAATAGCACATAGCAAAGGCGATAATGAAATCGGAAATTGCTGTAACCGAAAATACGGCGTATATCGCTCCCTGAAATGTATTTCAGGCTATTCTAATAAAATGGCCATCCGTCACATACCCTAATGCTCGATGTCGACGAGAAAACGGATAATTGGTACCTATCGAGTGTCAGTTAATATAGGCTGCAAAAATAAATATTTTTACACGTCATAAACTGAAACTGCAGGACACGTTGTAAGCACGAGAAGACCAGGGCGCTAGCAAATGTCTTACAAACTACAGTGCCTGCATTGACCACAAATCAGTCAATACGAGGCGGCCTCTACGGACAGAAGCACTAACCCAAAGCTGCCGCTACGTTCAAAATCTTTGCTTCGATCATTAGGTGTAGCTTTCCCCGGATGATGGAAGGCACCCACTACGAACCACGGAAGTATTCGATGGAAGTGGCGGCCGACTTGAAGGTGTTAAATACGGTCGTGTAATGATCTTCAGGGAAAGAAAACGCACGCTTCCAGAGCCGAACTACATATACACTGTATATCACGGCAGTGAATAATGCATAGTGGATAGTGGACTTGTTACAGAGCAATTTGAAACGTACGCTTGGACTCCGATGATTATAGCTTTCTGTAGCAGACATAAATCAGTATGGGGAGGTAAGACAGTCAGGGAGACGAACGCTGATCAATATTTGAAGCTAAAAGCGAGGCGAGTGTTACGCGATTCTTGCCGATGACAAAACTGAAGACAAAATACCTTGAAACTCCTGTTTCAATAAATCAGCAAGACTCATAGAAAGTCCCTTGAATTGCGATGTACCACACAATATGAGACAGTCCAAGGTAGTTCCCAAACAGGTCGACGAGGTAGTAGTATAAGGCATGCGTGCTGAAAGCAACATGAAGAGCGTCGAGAAACCTGGGGGGAACACAATTTCTCAGCACAAACACGATATTAACAAGGAGGACTTCGACATACCAAAGTATTGCGACCTGATTTACGAAGATAAGCTGACTAAATTTGATGTTACATGAACTTTAACGTACTGAGTATCGGTATATCCACCCATCATCTGGGTATCTCTGGTAATAGATGACCGTTTGTAGATTCGTTACTCCGAATAAGCTGTCTAAAGTGTTGGTACAACTAATAATGAGATTGAGTCGACCTACATGGCTGCTATCGTTGTAGAAATGTAGACCGCGCCGAAGGTCATCCCCAAGGATGGGACAGCATCGGACGACATTGCTAGATAAGAGGTGAAAGGAGGCAGAAACGCTCGAGGTCGAAGGTCGCTTGCTTTAAAGCGCTCGCAGATACAGTCCTGAAACAGTCACAAAGTTAGAATAGGTCCCTGAAATTGATGGAGAGAACGTAACATTTTCTACATTCTCAATACACTGAAAGAATGTGTATGAGAGACACGTACCGATTCGATTGCTGTTTTCCCAGTTAGATGCTAAGAACAGTATATTTTGCGTTGAAAGAATAGATTCTGGAAGGGAGAATCTGAAGACGGGCATCTACAGTCAAGGGACGAGTAGCGGTTCTGCTCTACAGATTATGACGAAAATGTGCGCGCACGGACATAGAGTCTATCTTTACATTCGACGCTAATGACCAACAGAGTACCTACCGTTTCAAGGGGCTGGATCCTCCGAGTCGGACCTATCGTCACCTATCTGATTCAGCTAAAGAATCAATGGTATATGTGCCTTGAATGCAGGCGGAACTCCAATACTGGCAAATGTTGAAACTCGAAATGGGTACAAAGACCCATCGATGGTTGAAGCTAACTTCACTACAGTGATGCCAATGCGAAGTTAGGCCCTATTGTGGTGCCGTTCTGACAGATCCGATGGTGTCGGAAAGATATCGATGCGAAGGAATCGCAATAAATTCATCAGATTGGGGTGATGGTAGAAGAACGATATTCGTCGCCTGTGAAACACGTGGTACTGTCAGTCACGGACGAAGGCGGTCCGGCCTACCCGACTGCGATCTCAGCGGCCAATTTGTCACAACTAAGGTTGACCCAAAGTGTGGAGGGCCAAACGCTGGAAGTCATTATTTATTCTGATTTCTTTTGTATTTCCCAGCAAACAGTTTTATGAATACGATGCTAACCTACAACTTGAAGTTTCTGTCGCGACTCGCCTGGTTAAGGTACTCCGTTTCGGTATTCGTCTGTCTCCATCATTCGAACTTGTTGAGGAATAGAGTCTTCAGATTGTACCAAACTGACTTTCACAAACTTTGATGCATCGTGCCAGATGTGCCACTGCTTGATATTTTCTTATTGCTTGGATAGATCGTTACAAAAATATTTCAATCCCCACTGCTTCCACATCCGCATCGATATGCAAGGCTACTCTCTACCTGTAGTACGTTGTTCCAAGGAATTCTTGCCTCGGAGTCACAAAATTAGCTGCGTTCACTGATTTTGGACAAAGTTAATTTAAGACGCTTGTCACCTACTGCGGGAATAGCTTTTCTGTACTGAGTTTCTTGCGAACTGGTGCGCCGAAAATAAGGAAGGATTACTAACTGTCATTTTGAGTAGTAGTCGTAGAAAATTAGTAGGCGAATTGTGGACTCTTGCAACTACGGAAAAACCTTCCGAGCATCTCCAAGTGATTGAATTGTACATTGGTGTATCTCTTGCGATGTGCGCCCTTCTGAAGCATTAGCACAACCACTGAGCCGTACCATATTTTATCCGGCTCCAGAGAGCAAGTGAAACTGACGATTGTGTCGTTCACTGAATTGGGACATTCGACGCCCAGCTGCATTTGGTTCTTGCTGTACCAAAGCTCAAACGGTGGGTCGCTCCCTCGTCCGCCTACCCTTCGACACGCCAACTGCGTTGGAGGAAAGAAGTCGTTAAGCTGTGGTATACAGTCTAGTAGTTTCCCGTCGTTTCCATGTTGGAATATGAATGACAGGGCGACATTTTTGGGAGCAGAACCTTCGGCGTGAAATCAATGTTAGAGAATACGAGGACGAGGTGGATGTAGGTAGGGGCGCATACGATAATGATGAAATACGAGTCCGCGAATACGGTTGTTTCCAAGGTCCGGGCTAATAAGTTCGTTGGAAAGTCTGGGGTAATGATCCACGAATTTGTGATCGAAGCAGGGGTTCTGGAAGATATGATCTCGAAACTGAATGACCTCGTCTTGGTTCAATGAATGAGAGCAATTTCAATCATTACGCACCGTGCTGAGGCACTTCTCAGAGCACCAAAATTGACCGCAACAACATAGAGTGACTGGTTCGGAGGCGAGGTCCATTCTTTGACAGTTGTGGCAGAGAAACAGTGGAGACATGACTCGCAGATCTGTGTTCTTCGGAGGTAGTTAAGTGGAGCGTTCACAGAGGTACAGAGCGTGTGTGCGCGTGAATTCAGAAGTTTGGCCGGAGAAGACTGAGAAAAGAGCAGTTCAGATGCTCGTTGTAGTGGAGGGTTCGAGGTTGGTATCAATGTCGAACCCTGAATTTAAAATGTCCGCGAACGGTGTGCCACTGAATCAGAGAAAAGAACAACAACAAACTACAACTCGAGGTATGACGACAAACAAAAGAAAACAGCCTCCGAACAATGTTTCCTACCTCCCTCGCCTACAAATTTGGCCATCGACAGAAGCGGGGAAGATCAACGGGAAGGAGAAATCTCTGCCACGCTGACCACGCGAATTATGAATTTTCGCGCAGTGCAATAATACCATTCGGGGGTTCTGAAGGATGCAAGGGAAATGGACTCTTATAAGCACACAAAACGTGATGATGTACCCAGTGTAAAAATTCTGGGACCTTATCCACTGTATCAGCGCCATTTCAGCATCGTTGAGAAAATTCAAGTGGTACGTAAATCGTCAGTCTAGTGAGGCTCCCTAGCCAATTTATGGCTGGAGACAATAACAAAATACGCGCCATGGAGGCTGGAGTAGTTATTTTTTGAATCGTACACGTCTTTAGGCGACATTCGTGTCCTGGAATCGCTTTACAAGACACACCTTTGCCAGAGGAATTAATCTGGGTGGATCATAGAGATATGACAAATATATGGAGTGCGATTATTATGCATGATGCCGGAGGCGTGTGTTATGATATTGCCTGTGTGTCTTGATGGGTGTTGAAGCGCTGACTACTTGAAGTGAACCTCCGTTTCGGTGTATGCATTTGGTAACTGGTTAAATGGCACTGGTAGACACAATATTAAGAATATAGTTACGCTACATAAAATGGCGAGCAAAACAGTTACCAATGTTTTAACCGGGATCTCAGCAAGATTTCAGCCACCTGGATCCAATCTGGGTCCTCGCTTGATCCTCGCTGCAGCGTCACGATAGACCAAGAACTGGAAATTTTTGTTTTCAATCGTGAGTTTGGAGGATGCCGGAGAAGCATAAATGTGGCTGAAAAATATCTCTTACAGGCGACTGCCATCGTGGAATGGGACTGCACAGCCCCGTCGGCGAGGCGTTAGTGATGACGTCAGTATTGTCACGTGGTTGCTGCCTTCAGTGGCGGCCATATCTACTTTCGGAATTATGCACGTTAACCGGAACCACGATGTCGTGACGACTACTCCCCGTCGCGAGCACTGTTTCGTTCTACATCTTATGGAAAACAATTCGTAAACCACAGCCTTCGACGAGAACTCACGAAGCAGTGAAAGTCTTCCATCAGAACAAGCTGGCAACAACTCATGGTTCTTTTCACTTTTCGGCACCGTTACCTTTCCGACGCCGAGCTCATTCTCGCGATGCAGGGTCCGAAATAACACTATCGTTCGATCTGTGTCTCTCATAGGTAAAAACATGCCGTCCTGAGACGTGCTTTCTTGCTATTGGTGCTAGACTGCCTCTCTTCGCTTGCGTGTTTTTCACAGAGGATCGTAAGGCAGGTCATTATGCGCTCATATGCACGAATTCCATCCCATATGTGTCTGCCAAGCTAATTCATCTCTTAGTTCGTTTCAGACACATCAAAAGCAGGCATTGTTACGTCGGCGCTGCGGGCCTGAGGAAATCACTTAAGAGAGGACACCTCTGGGGTCATATCCTTCGCACGCGTTCACTCTCTCATCGAACACAACGATGTTTGCCAGGGCTCTCCTCTTTGTCGCCTTCATTACCTCAGGTCTTATTTCTGACGTTCAAGCCGAGTCGCACACGGTGAAGATGGTCAATAAGTCAGTACATTACCATCTTATGCTATCTTCGCCCTGTTGACCGTGGTGTATAGCTGCGGGACTGGAACTGTACGCGCCTTACGAGAACCCGCGGTCGCTAGCTGACATCCGGCCATCGTAGCCCACCCTAAGCCAGAATTTCAACGTCCTCTCGACCGGTGCCGATTACACTGTCACAGGTCCCTTCGAATCAGCTATTGCGTGAGCTAATTCTTAGCAGTACTGACGTATTCTCCATTCTCAATTCCTGAGGTATTAGATGGCTCGAAACTGATGACTGCGCATTCAACGGACGGTATTGTACACTCGTGGAAATAACTCTGAAAAATCCCACGGCACCCGGTGCAGGATCTAGCGTGGACCTTTCGATCATCGAGCCGTACGTCGTGACGAAGTTTACTTGTTTCACTGCCTGACAGAGCTGCCAGAAACAATGTGTTCAACGTACCAGCCTCATTCTCATACTTTAATGGCTGTGACGGCGAGGGAAAATCATGTATGTGCCTTGTGTTCATAATGTATGGTTCCGGAGTCCTGATCACTGTTCTCCATAGGCAACAGTTCTGATTGTACCGATGCGTTTCATAAGGCGACTGACTGGGAAGCCCTGGTACAGTGTGAGGTTGATGATGTTAGTGGTCCTTGTTTTCGTCTTCATTTCGAGTGCTGACTAAGAATTCTCCAGGTTGGGATTATCATTACTTTTTGCTAGATTTATCCTCTGGGTGGCGTCGCGAACAAGTTGGACTGGTCCATTTGTCACGAGCCTGTATTTTCGTATGGACTTCACCGGAACGTGTAATATTTATCATGGACATACATCTGATCTTCTACATCCCGCCTTCCCTCTGATTCCTTTTGTCACACATGTAGTGAACGCTGTTTTCTCAACAGATGGAATAATAACATTGCATTGCATGTAGTGGCGTGCTCCTCATTTATGGAACCAATCTTCCCGTTCTTCCTGATTTGAATCGTCCGTAGGTACAAATTTCTGCAGTTATCGTCTGCTATGCAAATGGACTTGAGAAGACTTTTCGGTCGAGGGCCCGTCATTGGTGCTAACTCCAGGCCTCTGGTCGCTACACCAACCCGGGTTCGCCCGTCATTTCAAGAGTAATGAACGCTAACGAATCCTTACGAACTGATCAAGTGAACACAATTGGTTAGATTCTGACGCCGAGCCCGTAGTCGCCTGTTTGCATCGAGGGTCAGATGCGAATCACGTGAATGACGTGCCATGAAAAGATCTCAGATCTGACCCACCTCGGTGCCGACGCGGATGCTGTGCAAGACGGCATGTCTCCCTTTCCTCCTCATTTCACTAGCCGTTTATTTTTGGACTAAGCACCTTGTAGCAATCATGGCGTTAGCGTTCCAGTGGGAAACCTTCTTCCACAACCTCTCTACGTGAGTTTCAGATCAGAGTTGCCCACAATTCACAATACAGCGTGGATAGAAAGACATAGACGCCAGTTATATGCTATATTTTGACCTAGAAGCCCTATATTCGTGCTAATCAATGACATTAATCAGCCTTGCACTCCCGTTTCATTAGGTAGCATGACGTCCCAAACGAACGTCTCCTGCTAACCTTTCAATGCTGTCAATTCTCTTGGTGTTTTTTTGCTTGTGCTTCCGACAGATATACCTCTGCCACAGTATTGTGGTTGGAGCCTTAACTCATCGTTACTCTTGTCCAGAGATCAGACCACGGTAATACGAAAGTTATTCGTTTTCCTTAGCCGATCTCGATCAGTCCCCAGAGCTCTCAGCTGGATCCGCAGCCTTATCCACTTCAGTAGCTTTATATTATAAATCATCGACCTCACTGGAGATCTATCCTACTATAAAAGAAGCCAGCTTCATGGCTCAACTCACTTCCAGCACTTTTGCCATGCTCAGCAAGGCACTCTTCTTTGTTTCTGTCTTTGTTGCGGCAGTTTATGCAGAATCTCATACCGTCAGGATGACGAACAGGTTAGAGAACTCATTCAGAAGCTTTATACGATTGACAGTCCTTCAGGTGCGGGAGCGGAACTGTAAGTTTCTACGTTGAGGTCATTTATATCGTATACGACGCGTTTCGGTATTCATAGCCAATGCTTACCGACCAAGGCGGAAAGATTCTCTCGACGGGGAGCTACACCTCCAATGGAGCGCTTATGGGAGCCAGGGCGTAAGCGAATTCTGACGTCTTTCTTGTTTTCGCTTCTCACTAGAACACTTTAGCTGGCTGCAAACAGGCGCATGCGGTGGAAGTGGAGCGGGGTGTACCATCGTAGAAATTACTTTAAGAAACCCACCGAGTCCCGGCGCAGGTTCTAGCGTCGATATTTCTATCATCCAGCCGTGAGTCTTCTTATTCTCATTCACGATATGCGTTGATCTTCTCTTAAAGAGGCAACATGTTCACTACCGCAGCTTCCTTCGCGTACTTCAACGGCTGCAATGGTCAAGGGAAATCTTGTCAGCGTTCTATTACTTGTTATGGTTGATGTATTAACTCGTGGACCTTGGCAGGTAACAATGCGGGCTGTTCTAGCTCAGATGCGTTCCATACCCCGACCGACTACGGTGCTCAAGTTCAGTGTGAGGCCAATGATGTGAGCATTCTCTTCCATGATTTTTGCAGGGGATACTGATATCAATCTTTCAAGGTCGGCCTCGACGTCTACTTTTGCTAGATACGTATCTGTCATATTCAATGCAGTTTTTTTCATGCATTCCAGTGCCGTAATCTGCTAGATGTTTCTTCCGTATCTATTGAAGTTCAACCAGCGTGACCGTATCATGCGTGTTTCGGTTGGCTATATTGGTCGAAGCATTGTCCATGGTGTTTACCTTGTCTCTCTTTCTGTTACCATGATGTCCTGGTGACTCGATTTGCTTGCTTGTGTCCTTGCAGCTACTCTTGTTGTATTTGTACGTTCCCATCATCGTTCAAGGTCGCTACCACCAGCTCCGCCTGGTCATTGGTTATTCGGGAATGAGAGCCCAAAAAAGCGGTCTGTCGCTCGTAGCGTGCTTTGCTATAATTGGTTTATTCTCGCAGGGCGTTCTTGAAGTACGATGAATGGACGAGGGTTTAAGGGCCTGTTTTTTCTCTGACTCGGTTTGGAAAGGTGTATATCGTCGTTGGCCGATACGATGTGTGTTCGTAATTTATGCTGAAAAACGGGCACGGTGAATTCTGCGTTATCCACATGCGTGGATGCGTTGCCTTGCGTTATCGCTCCTGCGTTTGCGGTTGCGTTGAAACGCAAGCGTTTCCTTAAAAGGCAGTTGCGTTAGTTGAAATGCGTTTGCGTTTGCGTGCGTGACATCATTGCGTTTCACCTGCAGACGCGTCGCGTCGTAACATAACCCAGGCCGTCATCTTGGGATGCCTATCCTTACCTTCAAAAATGTTATATACCCTGTTCCAATAATCATCGACTCCTCGGTGTCAGTCAGTAAGTAGTACAGCCACAATCACAGAGTGATCGGCCATCTAAATCAGAATCCACGCTCTACTGCCATGTCGCACGTCGCGCTACTCTCCCTTCCTTCTCTGATTACTGTGCACCTTTCAACTCTGGAGCCAATGCATCCATCTCTAGCTACGCCTTCAAGACCTTGAGTTTGACTCTCCAATGCAGAGCATTCGCTATCCGCATATCTCAACCATATCTCAGGTGCGACTACGATTTTCTTTCGCTACCAGGGCTTACGGATGCTTTCCGTCCCTTTGCCGGTAATCTCAATGTATCTTTGTTTGACATAGCATATCTGTCTTGGAGAACGGTATCTCGGTTATATTTTAATTTGTAAGTCATTGTATGCATTCCTTACAAGTCTCTCTGATTCCATTCACAGGTATGCAATGCCTTAGCACATCAATCAATCTATTTCACACTACGTTCACCACGGCGTGCGACACCAATATTCAATTTCCGCCTCCTTATTCAAATTAGGCTAAGAATCATGCCGCGGCAGGAGCCCGTCAACTTGATATCTTGCCACAAAATTTTCATGGGTATCCTCGTAAGTCTCATTGATGCACTTACAGCATGTCTGTCTAGTACTTTCGATTAACAGAAAAAAATCAGGCGTGCGATAGCGACCTGGCCGTTGGAAGTTGATTATGATCCTAAGGATATAGATCGCGAGGAGAAAAAATCCACCATTCCTGGCGCAACGGACGCAGGTCCAGCATTAGGAACAAACATCGATAGACTCGTTCCTATTTATAGTCGTAAAACTGGTACGTTCTGGTGTCCTGCATTTCCAGCAATGATACGATTCGTCGTGTTGCTTTTAACTAGACGCTGTCATAGGATATGTCAGTCAAGACGATGCACGACCAACAATTAACACATCACGGCAGGCAACTGAAGTACGACATGCCCCAACCAATCTCAGGACTGCTCCGGCGCCACCTCTTCAGCCGTATATGAATGGAAATTCTCTTCGCATTCAAAAGGCCTCTGCAGTCCTTCCAGCTTCGAATCCACCGAAACAGTCACATTATAACCCTTCTCTTTGATACCACAACCACAACATCCTGATCACGAAAGAAAAACGGAAAATTCACCTCACGACTTCACCCACTGGCTGGAGATTGATCTTTCCAATCCGGTGCCGTTTACCATTTATATTCCTCTGGAAAGCCAGCCAGCTGCAGAGGCCCGCAGAGGGATTGATGATGGTGTGGTGTTTACCGCTCTCTCGCATATACCACATGGCTGGGATGGCTGTCCATTAGGTTTCTTTGCCATGGACGTATCGCCTGAAGAATTCAAACAAACAAACAAGTTACAAGTGAATTCGGCTACACGCATCAACGGCGGCGATCCAGGTGGCTGTAAGACTGCGTCGACAATTCACTGCGGTGGTAAAATCAGCAACATATGGTGTCTCGATGTCATTTACTACGAAACCCTGACTGTAAAATGGTCTGCAATCGAAGAGCAATGATTCTCGCTTGTAGACACTAGAATACTGTACCGTTTCTTGTCACAGGAGCGGTAATGGAAATTATGGAATGCCTCGAAGGCACTGTTAAACCATTGTTATGAATATTGTTGTTGGAAGTACAGAGGAGAGTATGTGAGAGAGAGAATTAATTAGCCTCTCGAGGGAGAGGCATCGTACTTAAATACAAGTTGTACTACTTCTAGAATTTACTACGGATTACTATATGTGTCTACTATTGCGGTTAAATGTTCATGCCGCTTAGTCATGCCGAAGCTTCGAGTGCATTCTAGCACTAACTCGGGATTGCTATCCCAACAATTGTTCGTGAAGTTAAGATGATTTTAAGGTATTTCATAGTAAAATATATGCGAAATAAATCAATACAAGGCCACGGTAGGACGAAAAGCATGTTGCACAAGTTCAACTCCAGTGACACGCAAATGTGACGAGTATGTCACACTTGCGTTCAAACCTTGTAACGCATGCGTTTTTGTCTCTTGACGTGCGTGGGCTGCCTGTGCGTTTGCGTAAACATTTGAACGCTTGCGAGAATGTTCAAAACGCATGCGTAAATCAAGTTAACGCGTGCATTAATGATTCAGACGCAACCATCACGAAGGTAATGCATTGCGTTCATAGGATGGGACTTGCGTTAGACCTGCAGTCGGTTAGTTATGTATCCGGAGCACCTTGTATGTAAGTTATTTGATGTATGTTGCATCTTAAACAACTGAATTAGCTCTACTAAGTATATATAACATTGTTCTGACATACTATGCTCTTCCGAGAATTGAGATATATTCAAAGGACTCAAGAACATTAAATAACACTCACATTCGCAGACAATGGAACGCACACGACACTATATACATGCAATGATGGAAACGTAAATGAACCCACACGAAACGCAGATGAACGCAAACAAAACGCAAGCAAACGCAAGCACGCAGCACGCAAACGCAGAATTCTCCTCGCCCCTGAAAAACTATGAGACTGATGTTCGAATATAGGTGGCTGTGGAAATAATGGAGAAGGGTGGTATCCATACACCGGACAGACCAAGGGCTATCGCCGCCTCTGAGATATTCTCTGGAGGTCTGAGGTCTATTCTGCTGAATTATACACCAAGGTGGAGAACTTTGAGTAGGTTGGTCATCTACCGTGGCGAACACAAAACTGAGCTTAATGTAACGTTTATAGGGCATTCCGTGCGCACTTAAAGACCAATAAGGCAGCGGCATATGAACCTATACAGCTCCGTCACGTGAAGAAACTGATTCTTAATGTCCTTGACCAGCCGAAGAAGTTTACAGAGTACACAAAGATGCACGGACTTCCTTCTTTCCTGGGTATGCATCGAGCTCATCTACTACACCAGATATGCAGCATCTGTGATTCTTACTCTGACCTACGGGAAAACGACACCTACGACATTCGATGATCCTGATCTTCAACAAATGACTCGAGAGGCAAAACGGCTTCGAATGACAAATAGCCCAGGAGCTTACCTTGTGGATACGTTTCCCGTTCTTCGATGGGTTCCTGGGTATCTTGCGGAGCTTAAGAGGTGGCATCAAGATTCGCTTGCGTTATGTCGTAGGTGTTTGGGGTATGTTCGGACTAGGATGGTTGGTACATTTGACATCGGTTTTTACTAGAAGATATTTATGGTTTTGTCCAGGATGCTGGGGAAGAGGTACCGGCTTGTTTTGGGAAGGATATCTTGGATAATAAGAAGCTGTCGTTTGACCAAGCGGCGTATCATGCTGGTTCGATGTTTTGGGGCAGGATTGAATACGTTTCGTCTTCGTTCTTCCATTTTTTGCTGACTGCTGAAAATTGTAGACCGGGTCTGCAATAATCTTCGTTATCATGGCAGCTGCCTGCTTTCCTCATTCTGCGAAAGTTGTACAAAGAGAAATCGATGAAGTGATTCCTCGCGATCGATGTTGGTGATTCTGCCTCTTCAGGTACATTCTTATTAATTACGGAATGGGTAGGTCCGACGTTTGAGGATAGGGAGCGCCTCCCCCAGGTCATGGCGTTTGTCTTCGAATGTTTTAGGTGGTGAGTATGTTTTTCTCGAAGGTGATATGCAGCCGCTGATAGAAGCTTCGGAAAGGCGACCGTTGTTCCCAAGTGGTTGGTCTTCCGTGGTTTATCTGCGGATGACGAGCTGAACGTACATTAGGAATTGCACATGCCGCTTCTCCGGATTTTATTTGGGTTAGCACTCTTGTCTTTCTATGGCTTTGCCTCACAAACACGCTTCAAAATAGCAAGGCTATGTGATTCCCAAAGGTGCCACTATTATCGCATCGCCTTGGTATGTCTGTATTCCTGTAACTTTGAACGCCCTTTGCTAAAAAATGGTCACAGGTCCATATTCCGTACTCCTGATGTCTTTCCCAACCCCGAAGTGTTTGATCCTCAAAGATGGATCCTCGACGGTAAATTGAGGGACGATATCAAGCAATCTGTTTTTGGATTTGGTCGGAGGCAAGATTTCTTGTGCGTCTGGGCCTTGAGGAATTGCTGATGTGGATGTCTGCAGAGTTTGTCCGGGATCACGCGTTGCGAATAGGTGAATGTCCTCTATCTCTATTTACTATGGGGTGTTAATTTTATTGATGACGAAAAGGTCGCTGTTCATTAATACGGCGCTTCTTTTATGGGCTTTTAATATTGTTGCCAATGAGAAGATTGACTCGATGGCGTTTGCTGATGAACTGGGGATGCATCCTGGAAGTTTTGGGGTACGCTTTGATCTGCGGCTGGGGAAAGAGAAAGAGGCTTGGGTCAGGTCGTTGATGGTCGACTGAATGACGGAAAATCAAGGATGGAAATACAGAACCATAGCTTTGGAGGAGACGAGGCAAATATTCATATTCATGATGATATCAAAGATGAAGTTCAACGGGATTTTCTAGATTCTAGGAATGCGCATCCCTCACGTCGAGCAAACTGAAATGCCAAAAATGACCCCCAGCCTCGTCGTTCATCGACAAAACCAAGCTGTGCGAAGTAGGACGCTCAAGAGAATCACCAACCATAAACTCATAGATAGTTCCCACGGAACATGTACTGAAGGCTGACTGGAGCACAACGCATGTCTTTTCAGGCATTTATCTGAGTAGGCCGGTACTAATTATATTCAATACAGTTTTCATGCATTCCAGTGCCGTAAACTGTTAGATGCTTCTTCCGTATCTATTGAAGTTCAGCCAGCGTGACCGTGCCATGCGGGTTTCGGTTGGCTATATTGGTCGAAGCATTGTCCACGGTGTCTGCCGTGTCTCTCTTTCGGTTGCCACGATGTCCTGGCTGCTCGATTTGTTTGCTTGCATCCTTGCAGCTTCTCTTGCTGTATTCATACGCTCATATTATCGGTCTAAGTTGCTACCACCAGGTCTGCCTGGTCATTGGCTATTCGGGAATGAGATCCCCACTAAGCGGTGTGCTGTTCGTCGCCTTACTTGCCACCATCAGCTTATTTGCGAAGAGCTTTTTTGAAGTACGAAGAATGGACAAAGGAGTTTGGCCCGGTTTATTCGCTGACTAGGTTTGGAAAGGTGTACATCGTCGTTGGTCGATATGACGTGGGTTAGTTGTCTGTTCTCGATTACTGAGGCTGACATTCGATTGTAGGCCGCTATGGAAATAATGGAGAAGGGTGGATCACAGACGTCGGACAGACCAAGGTCTATTGCCGGATCTGAGACGTTTTCTGGAGGTCTAAGGTCGATTATGCTGAATGATACGCCGAGGTGGAGAATCCTGTACAGGCTAGTTATCCATCTTGACGAGCACGAAGCTTACGCTAACGTATTATTCATTAGGGCTTTTCATTCACACTGGAAGACCGACAAGGCAGCGGCCTACGAGCCCCTACAGCTACATCATGCAAAGAAGCTGATTCTCAATATCCTTGATAATCCGGTGGGACTTACAATGCACGCAAATACGTATGTACTTTGTCAACCTCCGCTGAAGCTATATTAAAGCATGGCTAAATAGATATGCGGCATCTGTGATATTTACCCTGACATATGGGAAAACGACACCGACGACTCTTGATGATCCCGATTTGCAGGATATGGTTCGAGATTCACGACGTTTTCGCATGGTAATTCTCCCTGGGGCTTACCTCGTAGATACCATTCCGATTCTTCGATGGGTTCCTGGGTATCTTGCCGAGCTGAAGAGGTGGCATCAGGATTCGCTTGTGTTAATCCGTCGGTGTTTAGGTAGGATTCAAACGAGAATGGTTGGTGTATTAAACATTGATTTCTCCGGAAGGTTCTATTGATTTATTCTAGGACGCTGAGGAAGACGTCCCGGCTTGTTTTAGAAAAGATCTCTTAAATAATAAGAAGATGACCTTCGACCAGGCTGCATATTTTGCGGGGGCAATGTTTGGTGCTGGATCGAATACGGTTCGATTTCTTGCTCTTGTTTTGTTGGTTGCTACAGAAGTGTTTAGACTGCGGCCCATCCGTCTGTAAATCATTACGGAAAGTCACCCACTCAGAAACTCCGGCAGAAGCGCTTGATCTTTCCTATCTCCTTCCATCTATCCCTTATCTCGTTGAGATATGTCTACCTTGGATCTTCCCGACGACTGCTTTTACCGCTCAGTACCCTGAACTTCTTCTGATCATAGTACGGACCTCCAGCTTCCTCGTCGAACCTAGCAAAAATGAAGAATAATCACTCTTACACTACAGCTAGTATATCCTACTTCCTAAACTTTTCCGGTCCTATCTTAGACGTACCTATCGCGTTGCCTGCCTTGATTGTGGCATTATCGTCCACAATAGAGTAGCCAAGGATCTTCTCCTCCTTTCCAGCGCTTTTCAGATAAGAAGGAGCGTTTTTTCTATCCAGACACTTGGAAACGACAATGGCGCCGTCCTTGGACTCGAAGCCTGACCACAAAGACGATGTCGAGTCAAACGTCCCCGACGTTGCTTATGATCCCAATGAAGAGCCTAGTCATAACATCGAGGATTATTACAGGTTCGACCCCAAGGTGGAGCAGAGGGTCGTTCGGAAGCTCGATGCGAGGCTTATGCCACTTATCTTCTGCCTGTACATCTTCAACGCCATCGACCGGTCGAATTTGGGTGAGTAGTTGTTGGGTACACGATGTGTCAATTCGCTGATGTGTAATGTCTACCAGGCAATGCAAAGACGGACGGACTGGAGACCGACCTACACTTCCATGGGAATGACTATTCGATAATGCTTTCAGTGTTCTGTGCGTGACTCTTTTCGGGCTGTACGTTAATCTATCGTCTGACTGAACTTTTTTTAGACATATCATTCTGTACCCACACTGTCCCGACGATCGCACTCTCAAAGAAAATCGGCGCCAAAGTGGCGCTCCCGCTCTACATGTTCACTTTTGGCGGAATGTGTATGATTAGCGCTGCGTACGTCACCTCGAGAGACTTTGGTTGACGTCTCTCATTCATCGTTTAGGGTCAAGAACTTTGCTGGCTTTCTGGTGGTGCGGCTATTCCTCGGTGCAGCAGAAGCCGGGTTTGCTGTGACCATCATCTGGTATCTGACTACTTTTTACACGTATGTTTCTCTTTTCGTCCCTCTCGTGCATATCTAATACATTACTAGGCGTGGTGAGCTTGGAAAGCGTGTTGCCGTGTTCTACTCAGCTTCTGCTTTTGCGGGCGGATTCTCTGGGCTGATCGCATACGGGGTGTTTCAGCCGAATATCCGTCTTCATGGTTGGCAGGTACGTGAATATATTTTCCTGATTCGAAAACCCCTTACCTATCTTTCTTAATAGCTACTCTTCCTCGTCGAAGGCGCTGCAACTGTCTTCTTCTCGATCTTGGCAATGTACGCTACCTCCTCCATTTTCCTGGTGCATTCTTGACATGTTCACAGATTCATCCTGGCGAATATCGACTCGAAGCCCTTTTTCTCGTCAGAGGAAAAGCATGTTGCACGGACACGTATTCTCCGTGACTCGTCTGCAGTCATTAACGAAAACTTCACCTCTCAAGCTTTCTTCGCTCCCCTCAAAGACTGGAAGCTCTACGTTTGGGCGTTAATAGCCATCTGTTATGGAGTAGCTTCTGTCTCGACTGCGACTTTCCTCCCTCAGATCATTGGACGAATGGGAAAGAGCAAGTTGACGACGAATCTGCTCACGGTACGAACTGTCCTTGTCCATTTTATCATTAGGGATGTGCTGAGCGAGTGTCACATATATAGGTCGCACCCAACTTTGTCGGTGGTTTTGCTGTGCTACTCACAGCAGCCTCATCGGATTATTTCCGAGAGCGGTCGTTGCATATTGCTGGTGCGATGACTATAACGATGATTGGCTTCATCGTCCGTGCGTTCATCTTCCCTTCTCATATTATACGGCCTATTTATGGGCGTTTAGTTGATGTTGTTGATGTATCGAATACTGGTATCCAGTACTTCGGTTCCTTCCTATTGTGTCTTGGAGCGTTCACGCCTTCGGCAATTTTCCACGTGTGGCATAATTGCAAGTAAGTAAAGGTTATTTAGGTTGTGGGTGTCAACTGATCAGGTTACCTCTGCAGCGATACATCTGAAGTCGGACGTGGTTTCCGTACGGCACTTATGGCATTCTTTGTAAACTGTACGTCTCTCTCTTTACAACATAACTCTTCATCGGCGCCTAATCCGTGTACTTAGCTTCTGGTCTGATTGCTTCCAAAATCTTCACGGCGAAAGAACAGCCCTACTACAAGGGCAAGAAGAATTCGACGTGGTCGCCTGCGTGGTTGCGTGGTTGCGTGGTGCGTGGCTGCGTGGTTGACAAATTACGGGACTTCGATCAAAAGTTGATCAAGTCCATCAAACGCGACTTGAGTCGACGCGTTCCGTTCTTTTCTGTTAGTACTTGCATAGAATCAGCTGGATTGTGAATTCCTGAATGTTTAAATATGACAGCTTTAGTGTGATATTGAAATGCTTCAAAATATGGTCAATATCATGAAAATATCATTCAAACTGGATTGCTAAGTTTAAGAACATCAAAAGTATTGTAGCTGAAGTAAATAATTTTATGAGTATCCTAACAGTATAAAAAGGCCTTAGAGGTGATCTGCCAAGCTAGAAGCAATAAGGTACACAATGTGGGGTTCCCAGTTGAGTGGACATGATGAGAAGAATATGGAGTTCTACACTTGATATGAACAACACCAAAGAAACAAGCGAATTAAGAGGCAATTATACAAATGATACACTTTCTGAGGGCAAACTTATATGGGTTAGCGTGGTGCCTGCGAGGTGCCTGCGTGGTCTGCGTGGTTGTGTGGTTTGTCAGCGTGGCGGTGCGTGGTCAGCCTGCGTGGTGTGCCTGCGTGCCTGCGTGCCTGCGTGGTACGCCAGCGTGGTTACTTGCATGGTCAAGGTATATTAGTACATAAGGAACGAAAATTCTAGGGAGAATTAAATGACCAATTTGGTTAGTATTAGAGCATTCAAGGAGTAATTGACGTGATGTCAACGTTGAATTAATGTTCATAGTGTCATAACATCTTTGGATTAACGACTTGATGCAGGGAAAATGAGAGAGTAGCCAAGTTTTGATATTTATCCTTCTCATAATCATAGATACATGCATTGAAGATGCAATGGCACCTACAAATCCGAGATTTGAAGGTTTAAAACCTTTAATGGGCAACAATTGAGCATTGAAACATTTTCGAACAAAGGTCTGTTTCTTGCAGACAATTTACCAATGAATAAGAAATACATACAAGTATATGTTTAATGAAGCATTCTTATCATTGCGCAGTATATATGTACAGTCAAGGCAAGTTCAACTCAAGTTCAACTACGGACTTTGCGTGGCCCGCGTGGCCACGCACCACGCACGCGTGGTACCACGCAGGTGACCATGCTGAATTTCTAGTGCCCCTACTACAACACTGCCCTCGTAGTCAACTTTAGCTTCCTCGCTGTGGGCATAAGCCTCATTCTCAGCTTGCATACATATATGATGCTTGACAATAGTCAGAGGAACAAGGCTCAGGGTGTGAACTGGTCGAGCAAAGACGTACCGACGGCGGCACTCGCTGTCTGCGTGGCGAGCCCCGAGTTTAGGCATTTCATTTAACGAAGGACGTCAGTTGTCTTTAATTACATTAGGAGTATGATGCTATTTTACGTCTTTGATGGCACGTAGTACGAATTTACGACCACTGTGGGTATTTTACATGTAGTGATGAAAATGTACAAGGTCAATAAAGTACATTATTTGATAAACTATCTACAAGCATAAGGTAAATCGAAGCAAGAAGAAAAGACAAGGACAAGCTTTAGTGGTTAACGGTGACAGTAACCTTTCGCCCAGGGATACCTAAAGGATGAGAATTATCATCCTCCGTGACAACAGTGATCCTACCCGAGCAAGGGCCCTCCGGCAATTTGGACTTCGAAGAAACAACCCAAGAACTCAAGTCGCTTGCCCTCCGCTTCAACGGCTTCTGCTCCTTCGACTGGCACTTGCACTTGAAGATACGCCTATAGGTACCAGGAAGATGTGTCCCGTTGAAAACATTCTCGAACCGGCTAAAATGATGCTGTCAGACCGCGCTCGCACCAGCAAGACGAACAACATACTCGAACTTGAGCTCAGCAAAGGACAGGAGATCTTTCGACACAAGCTTGGTACGTTTCTGATCATTGATGGATGCGATGGAAATGATGGAATGGCAGGCGTTCACGAGCTTTGGCTGGGCTTTGATTAGCTTGTAGAAGTCGGGCAAGGTGAATTTTGCATTTGCGTTTGTCACGCTTGCGTTTGCGTGTGCGAACTTGACAAAGATGCGTTCGTGCGTAATAATACTTTTATGTACTTTAGCTATAAAATAAATGGAATGTAACAGTCTAACCTACTCGTAAAAGATCTCAGCACCGTACTTTGATGGCAACAGGGTCTCATCCCATAGAAGGACAGTCTCCCCGACTAAGTGTGAACCCACCTGATTACTCATGTGGATATTTCCCTCCGGAAAACACGTCTCGAGGGCTTCCAGGGATATTGGACTACGTTAGAGGTATGAAAATAGGATGAGCAATATAAACAGATCAGAGGAAAGAGAACCAGTTCAAGGGGTCTCAGCTAAATCTTGGAAGGTTTCCGCAAATTATAGTGAGATATATATAGCAGGAATCCATTAGAGACTCTCTTAATCTTGGAGAATGTAGCAGAGCACATATGAAGTGCAACGGGGGAAGCCATCACAGTTCAACTCGAGTTCAACGCAGCCTAACGCAAACGTGACACGCCGTCACAACCATCGTCACATTTGCGTTCTCGTTTGCCTTTTGTCTCGAACGCATGTGTTTATTACAACGACGCTCGCGTTCAATTTATTAACGCATGCGTGACTTATTTTTGAGTTGCGTAAGCGAGTTGCGTCGATTCGAGAGGTGCACACAAGTTTTTCGGTTTACCAAAAGTCCAAAAAATGCAAGGGTTCACACTATTTCAATGCGAAATGATACTGAAGTAAGAGTATTATGTTCTAATACATATACCAACTAAAATCCACGCCTTTATGACTTTCCAAGATAGTCTCACACTGTTTCTAAGTCATAGAAAGCTGCCAATACAGGTCCAGGAAATACATCAAAAGTAGGTAAGTACGCCATGTAAATACACATGATAGTATTATTCTTGAATGTAGAGTAGCTCTTAGCAATTCACGCATGTGAACGCATCGAAGGAACGCAAACGCATCCGAGTTGAACGCATTCAAACGCAGTTGAACGCACGCACGCAAGGGTCGAACGCAGAATTCTCCTCGCCCGTAGAAGTCGGATGCTGTTTGGACAACGAATGTTCCATTAGCTCCTTTCTGGAAAGAAAAAAAAAAGTAAATAAGCAGCCACGAGAGAAGCAAGCAGAGCACGTACAGGGGCAACCCGGGTGTCCTGCACTGACTCCGTTACTTGCACTTCCCATAAGATCTGTCTGACTCTTTTCTTCTTCGCGTTCGCATCCAAAACAACATCCTCAGTCTTCCTTTTTATCCCAACAACTTCCCTAATAGCCATTATTTGCTTCTTTCGTTCGGTGGCGCATCTTCCCTGGTATTCCCGTTTCTTGGTTAGACATGGCTCGCATGATTTATAGAGTGCATCGTTGGGCATTGGCTTTTTGCATGAGGCACAGAATCGACTGCTGGCAGAGATTTGGGGAGCACCCAGCATCTCAATATCCATGATGGTGGTGATAAAAGAGTGAGCTCGTGCGGTGTCGTGGAAAAAAACGGTAACGGACGCGCCTGTAACGGCACGTGATTGTGACGCGTTGATCAACATCCATGCCGGCCCGGGGAAGCGAAACTGCCTCACCCTCTTTCAAACGTCGATGAATCAAAGCTTCAAGAGCAACGAGAATGGACCAGAATCTTTCTGCTCATATTTTTTCTGCCATTGCCACCAGTTGGATTCTGTAGATATGATGATCTGCTGAACCTCACAACCAGAAATGCAAAATATCGCCGAGGCATCTCGAAGTCTTTGGGTATCACCTCTCTGCCGCAATGATCTCTTCCTGTCTAATGAAGATATAAGTTTTTTGACTGATAATTCCTGTCTGGAGGGCCTCGCGAGGGGCCAGGTAAAGGCTATCAGTCACAAAAGTCAGACGACAGGTTCCTCAAGCAGACTGAGGTCTGCCTTGAGATCCTGGGGAATGATACCACAATCGGCAGCGAAATATGGCCTGTGGATCTTGTACCGCTGGCAGAAAAATGGGACGATACTTCCGTCTTTGTGCTCAAACCTACTCTCAAGAGACGATCTCTCGCCGCCGCCGACGAAGAAGATAATCAAATACTGTGCGAATTCAATGTTTGCTGCAAGTAACGTGGAACACATATTCCCAAAGGATCCATCGTGAGTCAAATGAATCATTGGCTTGTGACATACGAAATATAACACCGCATGCTAGGTCGTCGCCAATATATGGTAAGCAGACTTCGTATTACTAACCGATTCTCATGTTATGTATTTTTAAGGGCCATTCTACGTGATGAAAAACTCTATCCCAACCCTGACATGTTCAATCGGGAACACTTCATGAGCAAGGGTCAGAATCCTTCAAAGGATCCAAGGAATCATATCTTCAGTTTCGGAAGGTTTGCAGATAGTACACGGCCCTCTCTGTTCTGACTGCTTTCGTACTAGATGCTACCCCGGCGCAGATTTGGTTGAATCGTCCCTTTGGTTGCTCCTCGCCTCGATGATTGCGACTTTAGATAAGTATCAAAGAAATCTGGGGAGGACCCAGTGCAAATCTAGTATAGCAATTATTCCTTTCGCTGGTATGCCTATGGTCTTTGTTTGTTTGTCCGAACTGAAGCAAATCGATGGTGTAGGGTGCCAAATAGACTGGCTTGCGATATTAAACCGAGATCTGAGAAAGTAAAAGCCTTGATGGAAATTGAAATATAAAGTGGAGTGTCTCGAAGGTTCTAGTCGCTAGTTCACATGTCGTCCTTTTAAATTCCAAGATTTGCTAACCATTTCCCCAGTATATTATTAACTCCTCGGTATCGCTGTTGCTGACTGGATTCAAATTGAAATGGCTATCCATTTCGGAACATGTACCAAGTCGACCTCATTTCTTGTCTGGTCCAGGATCCCCTTGACTGAATTCACGGAGCTGAAGTACGGGCTCGACTCCAGATCCTTTTCGCGAATATCGGGTCCCCCCCCTGGTGCCTAGAACATTTGACGTGGCAATAAACGCGCTTGGCCCGAGCGCCAAAGAAGCGCTCATCTGACCCGACCAATATTCGGGGCACTTAGAATCCGATGCTCGGGAATTCCTATCTTGGACTTGGGGGTCGTTCTCTGGTCATGCGACAGATTAACAATAGTAGCGAAGTTCGCGCTGAGACCCACGGAAGCCTCGTCTCCCAAATCAAGCATGTCTTTGTTTCTATCGGTATGGGCGTAATAGCGTGCAAAAAATGTGATGAACGCAAGTTATATATTTTCCAGTTGCAAGTTACTTTTAAGTGCGCAAGTTCACGTTCCCCCCCGCAAGTTAAGTGTTTTCCTATAGTGATATACACATCATCAGTTGTTGCCATAGATCTCTAAATAAGATCTGGGGGGCAGGTTCGGAGCGAGACGAGATGGCTGGACCGGCCGACATCATTTCGGCGATTAGATATCACGAGTTTTCCTTTGTTTCCGTGGTGAGCCAAAATCCTTAGGCATTAAGCTTTGATTTCTTCTACCTTACCTATTTCTTTGTTGCTGTTTCACGCGATGGAGCCAGATTTTTATTTGTCTTCAATATTTTGATCTCTGAGTTTGATCCTCAGTAGCAAACTAGTACCCTCAATGATTCGAATTCAAGGCATGTATGAATGTCTCTTTTGAGATAATTGATTTCTGAACTGGAATTCCGTTCAACCTTGTCCAGACAGTTAACTCTGGATTCAATTGCTCTGCGATCCGATGATAAACCGAGATACGATAACAAATTTTCACGGAGTTGCAGGGTTCACCATACGGCCCGCTGAATGACGTAGGTACCGCATTTGTTCCCAAAAAGTTGACATAGGTACGGTGCATAGTCCATAATCAGTTGTCTGGACCACGGCGCGACAACAAATCACAGACTCCTTATAACAGTAAACTTGCTTCAAATGACCCTTAACTTGCGGAAAGATTTGAGCGAACTTGTGCACTAATAACCAAATTTCGGGTAGAAACACCTTACTTGCGCGTGCGTGAGTTTTTGCACGCTATTACGCCCATATATCGGCCTTCTCTCCCGCAGCAGGTGTCAATGTAAATTTACATGGTCGCTCGAAACCGGATTTTTGGCGGGTCATCATATTCTACACTTGAACATTTTCAATGTCATTCAACGGGTAGCGCAACTTTAGCTGTGCGATACACGCAGGCCTACAGGCGCTTTGTCACTGCCGAGCCATGATGTAGCGGAGTCATCGATCATCATGATCAGTCGAAGAATGATCAATAGCGCTCGCCGTTTCGTTATCATCATGACTCTCTGAACACAAGATGAACACTGATATCCCGGTATCAGTACCTACTGCAACCTGAGCACGGTAGACGTAAGATGATTTCTCAAATCCTTGATTATACCATTCCGTTCAGCATGCACTCTGACATCTAGCTGTCGTTGGTCACGGCCCAAAGCTGCTCTGGTTGCCTGTATGTGTCGGTGTACCAAGGCTAGTCGACTCCATAGAATCTGATTCTTGGTTTGCCATGGCTTGAAGTTGGATTTTAGGCGACAGACCATATCCTTGAAGGCGTCATTGTCGATATCGCTTCAAGCTGCGTGACCTCGGGTTCCTTGGCGTATTGCCCTCCCCCCAGCAGACTTTTCGGAATCGGAACTAGACAGAGACGGTGGGATTGCAGAGGATTCTCTACCTTTGATTCTTCAGCTCTTCCGCCGATTGACACGGGATGGGTGCCTCTGGAAGCTCACGATCGAGAGTTGCTGCAATGGTTTTTTGAAGTTTCTGAATTATAGAGATGGAGCAGGGTCTTTGAATATGTCTGGAATCAGTCATCTGGTTTTATATGACCGTCTGGAGGATAGGGCCGAGGGGAAAACCTCCAGAGGGTCGGTCCCCGGTATAATACCTGATCACGTGATGCATAAAATATTCGAATTTTGAAATTTTCTTCATCCTTTTTCGGGGATTTTTCAGGATATTCAAGTCATTTTGAGTCTTACCAAGCGTAAAATTAGTGCCAATTACCATGGAATTGGAGCTATTTGATTGCGTAGGCAGCTACAAGCTCTGAGAGCTGCCAATTTGATTGTTATATCAGGACTTAATGGCTTCACGTGATTGGGTATTATACATAACTAAACCCCCTCCGAGACCCCTTAGGTATAATACATGGTATAATACCTAGTATAATACTGTATAAAACCATTTTTGGTAAATAACCTAGGTTTTCCCCTCGGCCCTACTGGAGGATTCGAGTGGTAACGTGGTGTCCTTCTTACGTGATCGATTGGAGCTGGGTACGGTTGACGGCGTGTACAAGGATCCGATTTTGGAGACACTGGATCTTGTCGTGAGGGAGAGCGTGGAGGAAGAGTTCGACACTCTTGGAGAACTGGCATTGGCGGAACATATGGAAATTTTTTTACTAGTTCTTAGTATGATTTTCTCTTTTCAGGACACCTTTTAACGACCATGATTGGTAGAATACTTCCAGTACACGTGTTGATGCAGAGGGAGGATAACAATATCACATTAATGTTTTTGTCTCTTAGCACTGAGAACCAGATGTATCCGCAAAAAGCAACTAGAAATTGCATTGGCACTAATTATTAATTTCAACGCTACAAATTCGGACCAATGCTACGTGTACCGCACCCTCCCTTCACGCCACAGGTTTTCGGCAGCAGGGTACACGTATAGTCACGACCCACCTACCTCTGCCAAGAAGCTCGTGGCAAGCTGGAGACGAGACTTCCTGCTGTCAAGACCGCATCTACTGAGGAGCGCGCCTTCGTCAACAAAGTGTGTAATTCGATACGCCGAAAGAAACGCAGAAATGCGACGTCACTTTACAGGTCTGGGCATATGGTCAAGCAGAAGACCTGAGAACAGCGTAATTGTTAATCGCAATTTACAGATATAAAAACATAGGCTATAGTGAGTCAGAAGTGCCGTCTGTAAGCGAAAGATGTCGTCCACATAAAAAACCTGGACGGTAGGTATGATTGCGCAGAATGGTCTATCGAGATTCAATGGATCCGCTCTCCATGCCCTATCCTGTGGAGGTATGAGATGTAGGGTTGTATCAATGGAACGGGGAAACTGGCTCGGAGTAAAGGTTAGAAAACAGGCTGTAAGGCGTTGCACATCAAGCTAACTTAATTGAGGACGATTTCCTTGAGTATCTGCGCAAGATCATTGAAAGTGAATTCATGAGGCCGTGCTTCATCTTTAATTTGTGACGCATTCCGTCCATGACCATCGAACCTAAGAAATAAACTGAGCAGGGGCAACTCATACGACGGAGACAGCTCCAAGGATGGCAAAGCTCACCATCCTCAACAACTCCCTTAAATTTGATCCAGTCTTTGCACTAAGGGTTCGTATATCACCTAATGAGGTCCGCCATAGCCTTCCTGCTTTAGCCAAGTCAGCGTTTGGCTAAGTCCATACGCTGAACAAGTACCTCGAGTTTCGTGTCCACGTCTCTCGTATCAAGAGAGTAAATTGTTTTCAGAGACAGATGGGTCGGTGGTGCGCAAGGTCCAAGCCCGGTTCAGAGTCAAAGATATCTCAGCGTGGATGAATAGCAAACTTGGTCGTATGATGCCGGTACGTTTGTACGAGGGATTACTCCATTCCACGAGTCACATCAGTGAACAGCGCACAGGGCATGTGTAAACTTCTCGGACTCACCTGTAGTGAATTTCTCAATGAAGGAAGGAGCTAATGGTGTAGCTTGAAGCATTACGTGTCGCATCTGAGCGTTAGATATATACTTTTCCGGAGATATCCAGGGTAACGAGAGAAATGCATTGGGAGAGATGGACCCGTGAAGGGAGATCCCAGTGAACAGGAAGGCGCTCGTTAGTTTGCCATATTTTCAGGTGTGGTTCCGTTCATTTGTGAGCACAGGCGGTAAGTAAACCTCTGAAAGAAAAGACGAGGGAATTACGCATCTAAAGAGACCGTTCGTACCCAACAATTGTGAATTTGGTGGAAAGCGACAATATTTTGCAGCATAGCCGTCAAGAAGTACAGTAGAAAGAATTCTCGTGAGAAGGCAAGAAACAAATCCCAAGGAATAGAAATCAAAGCACATGAAGATTAAGAAAAAGTTGAGTGGAAGTATGTCTATATGTCATCTAAGGCTCTATAAGATTTTCTTTCTTCTTGCCTCTACTACCCCTGTGCGTGTAATTGCATCTAAGCCTGACGGGCACGCTTGTTCGGGCCCTCCTCACCCACCGTCGAGAAGTACTCCTTGGAACCCTTTGGATCGGCCTTCATGGTCTTGTCACCTTCGTGCCAGTTAGCGGGACAAACTTCTCCGTACTTGTCCTAGTGACAACGTGAGATGGAAGATCAAGATAGCAAGGGTTCAGATGACGTACGGTGAACTGGAAGGCTTTGATGAGACGAATGGTCTCATCGACGGATCGACCGACGGGAAGATCATTGACAGTGATTTGCCTGGCAACGAGACGATGATCAGCGACCAGTAAAAATGTTAGGTAAGAGTGGCGACGTACCTGAGGATACCCTTAGGGTCGACGATAAAGAGACCGCGGAGAGCGATGCCTTCCTCTTCGAGAAGGACACCATAATCGCGGGAGATGGACATATTTCGGTCGGCAATGAGGGGAAGCTTGAGGTCGGGTCCGAGTCCACCCTCCTTGCGGGGCTGGTTGGCCCAAGCAAAGTGGGAGTGCTGGGAGTCGGTGGAAACACCTAAATGACGCGAATGAAAAGCAGAATTTCGTCATGGACAAGATAAACGCACCGAGAACCTTCGTGTCAAGAGCCTTGAACTCGGCCAGGGCGTCGTTGAAAGCGAGGATTTCGGTAGGGCAGACAAAGGTGAAGTCCCTGGTTGTCGTCAGACTGGAGATGAAGATAATATGCGGCGATGATGTACGTACATAGGGTAGAAGAAGAGGACGACCCTAGGAACGATCAGTTATCGCCCCGGCAAAAAGTATTGAAAGGGACATACCATTGGCCGAGGTAATCCGTCAAAGAAATGTCCTCAAAGAGACCGTCAACGACGGCGGCAGCCTTGAAAGTGGGAGCGGGACGTTGAACGAGAGCAACCATGATGAGTAAAAAAAATAGTGATGATGGCGGTAAGAGAGGAAGAACGCTTTTTGACGTCTGGGTCGCGCTATTTAGTGTCATTTCTTGGGGATAATTTTACCCCAATCCACTCCAAATGAGGATATTTCATGTGTAAAAGCTGCGGGAAATCCCTACATCCGGGGAAATCATCCGAAAGATGGTCCGAAGAATGACAAAGAATGGTGACTAAGGGCTCGTGACTATACGTGACCGCGTCTTAGTGATAATCGCCCGTGACTGTTCTGGTCTACCAATACTCTGACGCGTCCTACAAGCATTTACGACAGCCTTTCCCAAAAGTGGATGGTATTTGTGGCGCCACTTCTTCTTCTGTATCTTATCATGATCAACAACATCCGCGGCGGCAACCCTTGACTGATTCTTCTTGAGCTCGTCATCATTCCGATACGGACCTTTTAAATCACCCCGGTTGTCAAACGCACGAATGCATAGTATTGACGCGTCAAAACCAATCTTTACCCCAGTGCAGGTAAATGCTGAAATTTTTCTTTTCTTATCAACTAATTGAGCGCGTCTGATATGCTCTGGAATGCCTTCGTCGCGACTCGGAACATGACCTATTGAATATCATTAATGGCATTCAATCAATGGGATGCGACTCCATGCCGTTTCCTTCCTAGATGATCCGTGTAGCTTGGCGGCCGATGACTCGCACTCTTAAAAGATTGCCTTGTACGTCCTGCCTGGCATTGTACCGGACCGATTTTACCGATGCAGTAAAGGCTGATAGTCAGATAAACAGCGTCTACTGGCACATTCCGGTTTCTGTTGCTAGTTGTTTTGTTACCCAAAATCAATCCTCATCCCATCATTGCGATCACAGCGGACTTGGGCTGTTTTGGATTCTCTAAAAAGTGATACCGTTCATCGAGCCTCAGGTCTCCGCCCGACATGATCCTTGTGGCGTTGTATATCGTGCCAACCTCTGAATCGTTGGACAGCCTCGAAGCGTTTGTCATGCTTCAACGACGGCAATATCCTGAGTACCCTTGTGAATCTTTTATCTCTTTCATCTCTATCCCTTCGACCTAGTCCATGCTGGGCTATCAGGTGTCGGATATCACATTCGGGGTGCTCTGTGGCTGAGCGTCAACGAGAACCAAAATCCTCATTGGAGTTGGGTCACTTTCTCCTTGCTTCGAAACATCAATTCAATTGTCCATTCATCAGGGTATACAAAACAGATAACCAACCTTTGATGATTCTGGCGCGTTTGCAGGGAGTTCCTGTTACATGACTGGATAATTACAGTTTATCCTAACAGTTTATCCGGCCGCTGCCATATTTGTTCCCTTGTTGGCTACGTAGTCAACCTTTCCCTTTACAGCAACGTCTTTTGTCTCTAGCGTTGTTCCACTCATATCGATAGAAAGTACTACGCCAGTCAGAAACTAAGTCTCTGACGCGATATCATCAATCGGTGCAAATGAACTGGACTAAAAAAAGCTCCTGACGCGTCCGTCACCGCACTAATGTGATGCCAAAACGTGTCCGACGAGGAAAATTTGAGTGGGTCGGGGGTCGAAACGCGTCTCAAAGAAAGGGTCTCTCCATAACGCTCCTTTCCCGAAAATGTACTAGCAGCTGGAGAGACTCTAAATGGCGTCTGTTTAGCAGTGAAGGAAAGGCTGAGAAGGTAAATAAATACAAGACGCAGGTTTGCATTACCGTAGAATCAAGCTAGTGATTTGGAGGAGAAAACAAAGCAAGTAAGCGTTGGTGACGGAATGTTCGCGCGTTCAAAAGCAAGAGTTGCGAGCAGACCAGAGTACACGCCGCGATGTGCATTTCTAGAGAAGAGCCACATGGTGTTAGCCACGTTTATGGTTCTCGTAGTGTCCCGATACCGTCTGGCACAGAGAACCATGATAGAAAAAAGGGACTATGGATCTAAAGGGCTAAGAGTTGGTTCGTCGTTCGAGCTTTGAATAAAACAAATCTGAAGAAGAAATTTTAGAAAGAAAGAACTGCTGTGGTATTGTGAGCGTGTCGACGGTAGCTGTGATTCACAAATATCCTTTGACGATGAAAACACGCGAAAATTTAGATGCCTGGCCAAAATCTGGTGAATGGACTCTGGTACTCGGTCTTCAGAATACTGGTCCAGAATCAGGCGGAGCGTTCATTTCCAAGAGTTCAAGTGTCGCGAGAAAGGTTCGAAGAAGCGTTACATGTTACTCACAATCCCCACAATATGCCACGAAAGTAAACAGGAATGATTTGTAAAGATCATATCCCGTACTTGCCATACCACCAGTCCTCCAAATACTCCTCCCTCAACGCCCGCATCTCCCTCTCCCTCGTCGGCTTATCATAAAACTCATGATCCGGATCCCACAATTCAGATCCCTCAAAATCGATCATCACGCTCTGCACATCAGCAGGATCGACAGCAAACCGCACTGGGCAGTCTTCCTTGTCGCAAAAAGGATTACCTCCACCGCGGAGGGGGGGCCGGATGATGAGGTTCCGCGGGGCCATGTCGCGCTGCTTGACGCCGCTCATGAGGATGTCGTAGAAGACGGTGACGGCTGCGTTGACAATGGAGGAGCGGTGGGTGGGACAAAGCTTCGTTACTGTGTCCTCAGAGTCTGGAGGCGAATCTGATGTTGGGGAGGGGACGAGGTAGCGGACGTCTTTTCCTGGGACGTATTCGAGTAGGAGAACGTAGACTGTGCGGTTGCCCTGAGAGGGTGAGGGTGAGACGAATAGTCCGAGGAATTGGGGGACTTTGGTTCCTTGGAGGGATTCGAGTCGGCGGTAAGCTTCGACTTCGCGTGATACGGAGAGGTCGACAAATGGGAATGGGTCGGTACCTTCGTAGGGGTCGATGAAGTATAGAGGGTCGAATATCTTCGCGATGACGGTCTGTCCCTCAGCGCCCCTGGTGGCGGTCCATACGTGTGTTACGCGTTCCTCGCGAAAGCCGCCGCATAACTTCTCACATAAGACTATGGTTTCTGAGGGTTGGGAGGATGGGGGGATGGGTATACGGTGGGTCAGGGACGCGGCGTAGAGACCGGAGGTTTTCTCGAGGCGGAGAGAGGATTCGGTGTACATGCATTGGTCGTGTGGGGGACATCGTGGGGGTGGACAGGGGTATAGCTCGAAGTGGGCATTGGGACGGTAGAGGGTATCGGGATCGCTGACTTCGGAGGGGAGGGGTATGACGGGGAGGTGGTACAGCTCGTGCATCCGTTCGGGATCTGAAACCATCTGGAAAGGAGGCGAGTTTTAGTTTGAGGGAAAGAGATGGAAAGAGAGTGTTTTTTACTGGGTCAGTTAATGGTTGCAGACGCGAGCGTAAGGTGCTTGAAGCAGGGCCACGAGCGTTGGACGTCGACAATGAAGTCGCATGGTGAGTTGTGTTGGCCCTGAGATTTCTTGGCGGCAACATGTCATGCGGGCCGAGGCGCCGAGGGATGTAAACGGGATAACGTCCGAACCCGATGGATTTGGTTGTCTTCGCAACGTTGTGAGATCTGAAATGATGAACGTTTGTTTCTTTGCGGGGATGTTCATTCTTTCAATCGCTGTTCCTAAAAAAAAGACTGGCAGTCTTACGGTAGTGAATGGTCTCACCCGAAATTTAGAGAAAGAGAAGTATCTGTGGTAATTTCAGCTTCGGCGGAGGGAGATATTCCCTGCAAGCGAAAGAGAGATGATCAAAAGAAGATGACAGAAGGTCAAGGTCGGAGAAAGGATGAAGTTACCGCGGCATCTCCGCGGCTGAATATGGTGGCTATGCGTGAGAATACAATGCCATTCCGAGGGCGAACAATATGCAGCCATTGTTCCTCCGCACGGTCACCACGCGTAGCCACTGGATGACAACAGCCATGCTTTGTACTCTTCCCTACCGTTTCTCTCTTGCTCCGTCATCTACACGATGCTTTTCTCGCTCTTTTTTCTTTCCTTATTCCTGTGGATCCCGAATGTGTGCTCATACTGGTTAATGGCCGCAAGTCCGTTTTTTATGATTGCCTGTCGGACGCGCCACGAGCTCATTTCATAACAGATAATGTTCTGACAACGCAGCGGATGGATCCTATTCAATACCCGGGGACGGTCGGGTCTCACGTTCATTCTGGTCTGGTTTTGCTTCCTTCCATCGGCTTTGGAGGCGTTTCTGAAGTCGCGCGTAGTGCTAGGAGGAAGCAGCTTCAGCTTGAACATGTCGACGGCGGATCTGCGAGGGAGCGAGTGTACGTCGATACCGATTCAGGAAGATAAAAGCAACTACTGGTATCCGGTACGTTTCTCTACGTGGTGCTCTGGGATCTCTGCTAATCCAGTCTCGAAAGCATCTTTACTGGCAGTAGGTACCCTTGGCCCTCCTGCATAAATCTCAACTGAGATACTTCCCCTCTAGGAAGAATGACGGATCGTTTGTGACTGTGAACGGGAGTGCTGTCATGTGCGTACCCTTCAATTATGTCCACACTCCCCATTGACGCGTATTCCAGATGTACTAGGCTTTTTCTCTCCGACGTCTTTCGACTGAAGTACGATGCAGACTACCTCTTCAGTGACAATTCCTCTTTGACGGCCCCGTTCCCTGATGACGTGAGTCCGCCGTTTGTCATTGTTCTCGCTTTGCTGATGCTAAGTAGTTCAGAATGATCTCTGGTCCGCATCCCATTTGACTGAGACCTGCCTTACCTAATACGGCTTCTAGGTGATCCCAACCTCCGTACCCTGAACGCGTCGAGCTTCGCACAACAAGCTATCACATTCCTTTGTCTCAACTTTGCCGGAGTGTCGACCAAATACAACGAGCTTCCCGTTAACCAGGACTGCACGTCGGGTATACGATCGCAAATTGTGCGTCCTAGTTCCCTCAGCGCTGTGGGTTCCGCTAATGCCGCTCTGCAAGTAGAACTTTCCAAGCTGTTGGGACGGAAAGGTTCGTAAAGTCCTTTGGAAGAGTGCTGATCTGACGTCTCGCAGAATGTGGACTCCGAAGATCACAAATCTCATATCGCTTTTCCTTCGACGGGACCGGACAATGGGACATGTGATGACCCAAACTATCCCGTTACGCTTCCTCGGATTTTCATGGAGGTATATGCGCCTGCCCGTTTGTAAAAATTGTCGCTCATCAGTTCTTGCAGGTGTACTGGGTTACTCAAGGCTTCCAGGACCAGCGAGGCGAAGCTATGACACCTAGACAGCCTTTTGTGTGAGGGTGCCGTCTCCGCTCTCGTTCTATGTATCTGACGAGACTCGTAGGTTCTCCAATGGCGATCCCACTGGATACGGCTACCACGCCGACTTCTTCAATGGCTGGGAGTCTGGCGTGCTGCAAAAAGCCATCAACGAGTGCCACTGCAACCCGTACGGCGACCCTTCGTGTTGCGTAGCCGCTGGAACCTTTACCATTGACCAAAATGCGAGGTGTTATATTTCGAATACTGTTGATGAAATCAGTATGTCCCTCTTTTCTTGGTTCGAAAATGTACTTGAACGCGTTTTTAGCTACGGGAAACCTGACGACGCTTCCTGGAGCCAATCCGGTTCAGGCACCTTGTTATGAAGAATATATCGCGACCTACACTCCGGCGATCGTCGAACCTGTGTATGTTTCGACTAAGGATGGTGTTCTGCCGAATGGTACAACCGAGGTCGTTACACCTGCCTCCACGATTGCTGCTCATCAAAAGGCTGCTGGAACGTGTCTTTGGACTGGCGGCGCCCAGGAAAGAAGAGCTCCTATCGCAGGGCTGCTGCTTGGTCTGATGGCAGTTCTGTACTGCCTACTCTAACTTTTTCCACCTCTCACCCCACCCTTGGAGTCCGTATATGTAGCAAGCAAAGACGCGGTGTTTTGCCGAATGATACAACGGAGGTCGTTGCACCGGCAACCACGGCTGCTGCTCGTCAAAAGTCTGCTGGAGCATGCCCTTGGACTGGTGGCGCCCAGGAAAGAAGAGCTCCTAGGATCGTGCTATTGCTCGGCCTTACGGGAGTTCTTTATGGCCTCCTCTAACTCTTTCCACCTCTGTCTCTCTCTACCTTTACTGTATCTTTATGGGCTTTAATCAATGTACAATCGCCGAATATCGGTCCTGGGCTTATTTTTTCGATCGACAAACGCCAAGGTACCTCCGCCATACACTGAAGCAAGACGTCTCGCAGGTTGGTTTGTCCCGAGTTGCTGCTTGTATTACGGCTCTGACAGACCTATAGAACCCTTTTTCTGATTCACGAGCTCAGGCGCCATCAGGCGACCCAACATCCCGGAAGTATATACATCCGCACACCCCAGCTCCCGGAACAACATTGTCTGTCCCGCCTATGCTGTGGGAGGTGGGCCTACCAGACGTCGCCTATAAGAAGCAAAGGAATCATCGACATGTCTTTTATCTCCCCACTTTTCTCATGGATCCTACCGAGAAACTCGTCGTGAACACCATCCGCACCCTCGCTGCCGACTTATCGTAGCAATTCAAAGGCGGGCACCCCGGTACCGCAATGGGCGCGGCACTTATAGGCGTAGCCCTCTGGCGGCATACTATGCGGTTCAACCCGAAGAACCCTGAGTGGTTCAACCGGGATCGGTTCGTCCTCTCTGCGGGCCATGCATGTTTGTGGCAGTATATACACCTGCATCTGGCGGGGTATGAGGTGTGGGGAATGGATGCGCTCAAGGGGTATCATAATCCCGACTTTGAGATTGCAGCGGGGCATCCGGAGATTGAGTTCCCTGGGGTGGAGGTTACGACGGGGTTGTTGGGGCAGGGGGTGGCGAATGCGGTGCGGTTGCGGTTGCGGAGAAGCATTTGGGGGCGGTGTATAATAGGCCTGAGGTGGCGGTTGTTGGTGAGTTATTGGTTTTTTAGTTTTCGTGTTTTTCTGATGGGATTTCGTAGATAACAGAGTGTATTGCCTTGTGAGCGATGGATGTCTTCAGGAAGGTGTTGGGCAGGAGGCGCTTTCTCTTGCTGCTCATTTGAAGCTGGATAATCTGACGGTGATTTATGACGACAATTCGGTTACTGTCGATGGGTCGATTGATCACTGCTTCACGGATGATACGTCTGCGAAGATGAAGGCGAATGGTTTTCACGTTCTTGAGGTGATGGATGGGGATAACGATGTGAGTCTGATAGACACTTTCTGTGCGTTTGCTGATTTCGTATTGCAGCTTCATGGTATCATCTCTGCACTTGACACTGCGAAAACTATCAAAGACAAGCCGACGTTTATCCATATCCGCACGACTATCGGCTACAGCTCGCGGAAGGCTAACGCTGGCTCTGCTCATGGTGCAATGCTGGGAGTTACGGAGGTCACCTACGTCAAACAGCAGTTCGGCTTTGATGTCGACAAACGGTTCGTCGTTCCTCAAGAGATTTACGGTGAGTTTCTCGGTTACATCTCCCTTTGGCCATATCTGACATATCGCTCAGACTACTTTGCTTCTCTGACCGAGCTTGGAGCTGAGTACGAGTCTACCTGGAACGAGCTGTTCCATACGACCTATGCGAGAGTACCCCGCGGAATACGCCGAGCTGAACTCGCGTGTGTATGCAAAGGAGGCGCCTACGTTTGATGCTTCGCTGCTTCCGCCCAAAAACGAGCTTCCGAAGGCCCCGCAGGCGACGCGAAAGTCGTCTCATATCGTCGTCAGTACCTTCGCCCCATGGTACAAGACTTTGATGCTCGCTTCTGCGGATTTGATGGAGAGTACGTTCGTTCACTGGCAGAAGAAGTATGAGGAGGAAGGGTTGGAGGGGATGATTGAGTTTCAGCATGTATGTCTTCCGTTATTTGGTCATCTCGCCGAGTTTTGGTCTGACCTTCTCGCAGCCTTCGACCTCTCTAGGCACGTGCGCAGGCCGGCAGATCCGGTATGGGATCCGCGAGTTCGCCATGATTAGTGTGGCGAACGGGCTGAACGCGTATCAGAACGGGATGATCATCCCGGTGTGCTCGTCGTATTTCCAGTTTTGGCTGTATGCTGCTTCGGGGTTGCGTATGTCGGGGTTGCAGGGCTTGAGGTTTATAGGGATTGGTACGCATGATTCTATTGGTGTTGGGGAGGATGGACCGACGCATCAGAGTATCGCGTAAGACCCTTTTTCTCTCTGTCGTTGAAGAGACGTGTACTGATCCTGACTGTTTAGTCTAGGAACCTTCTTCCGGGCGTTACCTAACTGCAACCTTCTCCGACCGGCAGATGTCGAAGAGGTTCTCGGTTGTTGGCTCCTCGCGCTGAGCCCGTCGTCCAGCCATACCCCGACGATTATGTGTCTGACCCGCCAAGCTGTGCCTCATCTCGACGGGACCGATCGTTCTAAAGTAGAGAAGGGCGCCTACGTCGTCTGGGAATCCCACGAAGGTACCGTTCCCGAGATCACGCTCATCGGTACCGGCTCTGAAGTGGCGCTGTGCCTCAGAGTAGGCGAGCTTCTCGCGCCCAGGCGTGTGAGGGTCGTGTCGATGCCTTCGCAGGATCATTTCATCCGGCAGATGAAGGCGTATAGGGATGACCTGCTGGGTGTTGGGGAAGCGCTTGTGGTGGCTGTGGAAGCATGGGGGAGCTACGCCTGGGCGAGGTGGGCCCATGCGAGTGTGTCGATGCATACGTTTGGGTTGTCAGCCCCTCAAGAGACATTGTATGAGATTTTGGGGTTTGGCCCGCAGACGGTAGCGGATAAGATTGGGGATTTGGTGAGTAGGAGGACGGGGAGGGATGGGGTGATTGAGTTACCGGAGATGGGAGAGTTTGAGGAACTGTTGGTTGGGTATGCGAAGATGCATGCTGGACCGCATAATATCTAGGGCCGTTATTATTCTTACTTACCTCTTGCGATCTCGTACATACCCAGTGATTATTTTAGTGGCGTTTTTTTTGTTTCGACGCGTCCTCCGGCAATTGCCACTGCAGTCACGCACTCAACTCCAAATTCAAATTTATAAGCTCACTGGTCTCCTCTTAACCACAATCATCTAACTTGGTAGAAAATTCTAACAGAATTGCTCAGTGACCAGTGAGTTCTCATCATGGAGAAATTTATTCTTTATTCACTTGCGACAGATGACGCCACTCCCCCAAGAACTTTTCGATGCTATCGTCGACCAAACGCAAGCCGGACCTGGGAACCAACCATTTGTTCAGAGAAGCAGGAAGCACCTGTTCCATAGTCTGTCCTTTTCGACAGCCGAACGACTCAGCGATTTCCATCAAATCTGTCAAACCTCGCTCGTCAATATTCCAGCTTTGGTCAAACTTCTTTGCATCGACAACGAAAGCATGGTGGGTCTACGTTGCGACGAGATACTCTCTGCCGTCATTTCGTCCTTGAAGAATATGAAGGGTATCCATTTACGCTGGTTCGATTGGGACCATCTCAATCCAGCCGCTCTACATGCGTTGGGCGCCCACACGTTCCAGTCTATCAGCTTCGACACTTGTACATTCGAAGATCCTGTACTGTTGTGTACCTTTATCTCAGGATCGGCTACTACCCTTTGCCGACTCTCCTTTGCCAGAAGTAAGATCTTCACACAGGATTATACGTCGTTTGCCGGGCCCAAGGCCGGTTATTGGACACCTAACGCTTTTCAGACAAGGAAAGATGTCAGTTGATATGACTTTGCTGCTGTTGGGAAGTTTCTTCCTTGTCGGTTTCAATTCTCTCCGGATTTCGGATATTTGTATTTATACGCAGCAACACTTCAATTCTCTACAGGAGTTCTTGGCTAGTGCTACGACTCCTCTTGAAGAACTCATAGTTTACCATGTCGAAGAATACTTCCGAGGTACGTTTTAATATCCTGTTCTCGTACGATTATTCATGAATGTTTTACAGGCCCCATCGATAGCAAGTGGCTGGATATATCTCTCATACTAGACAATGTCCGCTCCCTCACTCTCACCTTCGACGACTGCATCCGGTCTAAGTACTCCGACGAGGTCTTTTTCAAGGGCTGGACGCGGAACATAAAGTGTTGCGGACATAACAACAAACTACGGCATGTCACCTTGCGTGGGAGACCCTACTTCATATTGGGATTCCATACGTTTGACATGGACGAGTTATGGGATAGTCTTGGGACGGCGTTGAACGAGGCTGAAGTTGAGACCATGGTGGAGGTGCATCCGACATTTGCCCAAGAAGAGACATCAGATGGGATCAACGCAAGAGGTTCCATCCTTCGTAAGCTATCGCGGAGTGTCTGCGGGGGTGTCAATGCCAGGACTTGCATTGTTAATCCTGGTTAGTATTCTTTTACCCTTGCTCGCTGGCTCTGATTGCAGATTCACCAGAGGCACTCGAGTATGACTTGTATGATTCGCTGGGCCCGTTCTAGTCCTACAATTAATGTTCAATGCGAACAAACAGTGCGCGTCGGTGTAACAGTACTTATGGTCAATCACCCAGCCAAGAAATCACGATTGAGTATTTATATCTGGAGTAGATTTTATTCTCAGTCTTTTACATGATTCTACTTCGAACCGTCCGAGTCGTTAGTCTTTTCCACCCTGTATTGAGATGCAATCATACCATTTTCCTTGTTCCCGCGGACCCGAACTGACCAGGACCGGAACCTCCCGCTTCAAATTCAAATTCATCGATTTTCCTTTCGACCACCATCATCGAGAAGCGGTACGGTCAGTTCTGATGATAAAGAAGCTGCCCTTTCTTGATTTATTCCCCTAGATGGCGACCCTTCCCCCGGAGCTCATCGACGCCATCGTGGATGAAACTCAGAATGATGAAACCGCCAAGCCGTGGGAACGGTGGAGGTCTCTTTTGGCGTGCAGTCTGGCTAACAGGTCTTTTGTTCCAAGGGCGAGGAAGTACCTTTTCCGGAGCCTTATTCTGACCACAGGCAAGCGATGCCACGAGTTCTATGGTATCTGCCAGTCCTGCCCCGTTGATATCCCTTCCCTGGTCGAATCACTCTGTATCGACAACGAACGTTTGGATAGTGTGGATTCAGACGATACGTTTCCCCACCTCATCTCATCGTTCGTCAACATGAAGAGCATCCATTTACGCTGCTTCGAGTGGGACGATGTCAAAGACACGGCTCGGCAGGCATTAGCCTCTCACGCGTTCCATTCCATCAGTTTCGATGTCTGCCAATTCGCAAACTCGGCATTGTTGTGCTCGTTCATCTCTGGATCTGCGGGTACCCTTCGGCATCTGTCATTTGCGAGATGTGATGTTGACGGGTCATCACCAACCTTTTGTTGGGGCGAAGCCTGCGATCGAGCGTTTGATTGTCTACGGGCGGGGAAAGGAGGCGTTTGATTTGGAGTTTTTGATGTCTGGGACATTCTCTCCAATCATGCTTAATTCGTTACAGGTTCTCGATATCTGCATAGATACACGGGAGGACATCCCTTGTGTCCAAGCATTCCTGGATAGGACTACCGTTCCGCCCAATGAACTGAAGATTTCCCACTTGCGGAGAAGCCGCTTCACAAGTATGTCTTATTTTACTATCCTTCTCGAAGACTACTTGATGAGTTTTCTTCTCCTAGATCTCCTCGGCAGCGATTGGATAGCCTTGCCCCTCCGATTGGGTAGTGTACGCTCTGTTACCATCGTCATGGATGACTGCCCCGACCGCCATCAGGCCAATTTTCTTGTTTTTTTTTGGTGGATCAGCAATTTCAGGCTTTGTAGACCTGGCTGTGGACTCGAACGAGTTAAGTTTTCCGTTGGGCGGCTTGCAGTTCACCCGTGGAAAGACTTAGACGATTCTCTGGCTGCGGTGAAGTCGCTTCGTTTCTTTGAAGTGGAGGTTGTATTGTTGGATGGTCAGCATGTGGATGAGTTAATTGCGGTTAAAGTCGAAATACAGCACCAACTTCCAAGATTGATCATGCGGAACGTGGCCCAGGTTCGGCTATGTGAGCCTAGTGAGTTGCCTTGTCGACTACGATATGATGTGCCATGCTGATGTATCCCTATGTACTTATAGGCTCTCCAATGGTGCTTCGAGGGGTACACGGTGTCCTAGGACCTTTCTCGTCTTCCGAACAATAAACCATATATTTCACCCAAGACTTAGTTCCTTTTACAGCGGGCGTCGAAGTCGTCATCTGGCATGACAAGCTTCTGACTGACATAAGAAAGAATTGGGGTCTGATTCCGACAATGCGAAGAAGCAAACCCCGGGTGTCGGGTAGGGCGGGATTGCGGCTGGGATATATGTGGCTGCTCTCATGCCACCTCTTTGAGACCCGCGATACTCGTTCCCACCAATTCCATTTGTGGTTCCATCCGTTCGATGGGCTATCACTCCAAGAACAGATGGCTCTGAAACGGGACCGAATCCTTTATGCGGAGGGATTCGATGAACGGGGCGTACCTGATGTTTAAATGAACAGGGAAGCAGCGGGAAATTCAAGATCATGAATGAGTATTATTACGCCTACATACGCATAGCGGGAATTGAAGCGTAGGTCAAGAGTACCGTCATCCTTTATTTTATGTGGATGAGAATGAATAAACAGCATATGGAGTACCGGATTTTTCGTTGGTGCGATGCTATGACTATCGAAGCAGAGTAGTGTAACACTACGTTAGCCTTGTGGTGGTGGAAGAATTTAAAATGATGGTCCGGTTGTATCCGGATTCGGCCATCACCGAAGACAGATACCGTACGAAAGGGTTCTCGACCTCTCTGCTTCCCTCCTACTCACCTCACGGCGTGCATGCGTAATTCGTTGTCGGCCTGCTTATTTCCTCATGCCCTTGGTATGTATCTTTTGCCCTTGATTTCATTTTGCTTGATATTCTTTGACAAGGATCTCGCCGGCGATATAGACCAATATATTTGAAGCACTGATACCTCAATTTTGCATCGAGCACAGCAGCTCGGTTGGGAAAGATTATGAATTAAGCGTGGCTACAGGGTGCGTCAACGAAGTTGATCTATCGAGGGCACTAACCTTACGGCCGCCTAGAAACTTCTCATGATACAGGCGCATTTTTCCCACTGACAACCCTGATTCATTTATTTGTGACAAATGACGGCACGACATGGCTCGACAATAACCGAACACTTGCTCTCACCCCCGACTCGACGTTTCCACCGCGAGCACGAGCACAAGCTCCTGCTTTTACTTTGGCCTGGGATGGCAGGAATGGTTATGTTCAGCATGAGTCTCTGGTACGCCGCACTTGCTGTCTCGGTGAAAGGAAATGCTCACGTGTTCAAAGGTTCACGGTTCTCTTCCTTTTGGCACCATCCTTCGCCCTCAATATCACAGTTCCCAGCATCGTGCACAATGGCGAACCGACCAACCTGTACCTCGTTCATTCCCCCCACGATCCTTCCGAGTTCTTTTTGAAGAAATTTTACGAACAAAATGGCCAGTCGCTTTTGTCGAGTGAAGCGGTTTGGGTGAACAACTTTACGAGAAATGTGAATGCCTCGCTACGGTTTAACGAAAATGGGTGAGTCAGGACTTTGTATATCTGGGACTGTTGCTGATTCTCCGCGCTCGGTAGCTTGTTCACTATACATGCCTATGCAAGATCAGAGTACGGATTCTGTTATTCTTTGATCAATGACTAAAAATGGTCTAGTCCTTCCATCGATGATGTCCCCCTTGCGCAGAGTCAGCCATTCGAAGTGCAGCGGGTGGATACGATTGCACGAATAACTACGACTAGTTCCTCCTCGTTCGTTAACTCGCTTCCTCTTGACTGTAATGTATCCACTGATCGCTCTTCAGAACTTCTGAAGCTACCCAGTACACCGCCACCGCCATAGCGACTTCTTCGGGCGGATGTAGTATCCCCGTCGGTGCCATTATCGGAGTCGCCATAGTATCTGTTATATTCCTCACAACGAGCGCCCTGCTGCTATACCTGTTCATTCGAGACAGGAAGAAGCGCGCGCAAAACAACTCGGACACAGAATCCACTCCGCCACCCTCGGAGAAAAAGGGCGACCATGACGTAAAGCCAGAACGCGTCGCGCGGCCTACCTTGGCGCCGCATCCTCGGTCCGTCCGGAATTCGTTGATCTCGTTAGAGGCCAGACAGGCCGCTGCTTTACGGGATTTGAGGGAGCAAATCGGGTCCCTTCGGCGCAGCCTTGCAGGCGCTTTCAAGTCTGAATCCCGGACGGAGTTTGGGGAGAGGCTAGGTCATGAGAAGAGCGACTCGCTGGGAAGCCAGTTCCGGTTGTGGGTAGATCGTGGTAACCAGGAAACGCCGCCACCAGAATACTTGTCCCACCGGTCTTCTGTTGGTATAAGTGCGGGATGACGGCAGTGTAATTTATTGATATCTTTGTTTATGTTTCTGCATTCGCTGGATGGCGCGTGCGTGGTCTTGGATCAGTACGAGATTGTATACCAGCTGAACCGTGTACAGGAGACGCGTTTTTTACTATACCAATTCAATATTTTGACGTGATGAGGGGATACCGGCTTCCATGTGTGCAGGAATCAAACGTATCCTATTTTGTGAGGAAGAGGTCAGTCTTCGATGTTTGTTTCCTCTCGCAATTGATGCAGCAGTTAGAAGAGATACATCACGGAAAAATTCGGTCCTTGCATTTTGTGGGAATAAACGAAGGGACGGTAAAGAGGCGCAAATCTCGTCCAGCCTTGCATGATGTTCACACATCCTGCTCTGTTCCTCGATGGCATTTGTTTCCCTTCGAGCGCGCGTTCTCCGAAATTGACGACGGGAAAATCTTCATCCACTATCCGAAGACAGAACTCAAGGTCACGTTTCTCACAGGTATGTGAATAAGCGACCTTAATAAGTTTTCTGTGCTATGAAAAGCATTTCATTGAGTGCAGTCATCGTGACTGCATCATGCGATCTGGTGCTTACCTGGGTGCCTATATTGGTCAGAGCATTAACCACGGTGTCTGCGTTATCTCTTTTTTTCGTTACCACGATGTCCTGGCTGCTCGATCTGCTTGCTTGTGTCCTCGCAGCTTCTCTTGCTGTATTCTTACGTTCCCGTTATCGTTCAAGGTCGTTACCACCAGGTCCGCCTGGTCATTGGTTATTCGGGAACGAGATCCCCAAAAAGCGGTGCGTCGTTCGTAGCGTGTTTTGCTATAGTCGGTTTATTCTCGCAGAGCGTTCTTGAAGTACGATGAATGGACGAGGGGTTTTACGGGCCTGTTTTCTCTCTGACTCGGTTTGGAAAGGTGTATATCGTCGTTGGCCGATACGATGTGTGTTCGTACTTTATACAGAAAAACTATGAAACTGATGTTCAAATCTAGGCGGCTGTGGAAATAATGGAGAAGGGTGGTACCCAGACATCCGACAGACCAAGGGCTATTGCCGCATCCGAGACGTTCTCTAGAGGTCTTAGGTCTATTCTGCTGAATGATACACCGAGGTGGAGAACTTTGAACAGGTTGGTCATCTGTCATGGCGAACGCAAAGCTGAGTTTGACGTAACGTTTGTAGGGCTTTCCATGCACATTTAAAGAGTAATAAGGCAGCGGCTTATGAGCCTATACAGTTCCGTCACGCGAAGAAACTGATTCTTAATGTCCTTGACGCGCCCAAGAGGTTCACGGAGCACACGAAAATGTACGGGACTTGTTCACTTCTGGGAATACAACAGACTTAGCAACTTGATTTAGTTATGCAGCATCTGTAATTCTTACTCTGACGTACGGGAAAACGACACCTACGACATTCGATGATCCTGATCTTCAACAAATGATTCGAGATGCGAAAAGGTTTCGAATGGCAATCCGCCCGGGAGCTTACCTCGTGGATACGTTTCCCGTTCTTCGATGGGTTCCTGGGTATCTCGCAGAGCTTAGGAGGTGGCATCAAGATTCGCTTGCGTTATGTCGTCGGTGTCTGGGGTATGTTCAGACTAAGAAGGTTGGTGCTTTGGACATTGGTTTTTACGGGAAGATATTTAGGTGCTATTCCAGGATACTGGGGAAGAAACACCGGGCTGTTTTGCGAAGGATCTGTTGGATAATAAGAAAATGTCGTTTGACCAGGCGGCGTTTCTTGCTGGTTCGATGTTTGCGGCAGGATCGAATACGGTTCGTTTTCGTTCTTCCTGTTTCTACTGACCGCTGAAAATACTAGACTGAGTCTGCGATAATCTTTGTTATTATGGCGGCTGCTTGTTTCCTGATGCTGCGAAGGTCGTACAGACAGAGATCGATCAGGTGGTTCCTCGCAATCGATGTTGGTATTTCGCCCGCTTTAGATAGATTCTTACCAAATACGGAATGGGTAGGTCCGACGTTTGAGGATAGGGAGCGCCTCCCGCAAGTTATGGCGTTTGTTTTCGAATGTTTTAGGTGGTGAGTATGTTTTTCTCGAAGGGGATATGTGGCTGCTTATAGAAGCTTCGAAAAGGCGACCGTTGTTCCCAAGTGGTTGGTCTTCCGTGGTTCATCTGCCGATGAAGAGCTGAACGTATAATAGGAATTGCACATGCTGCTTCTCAGGATTTCATCTGGGTTAGTGCTCTTTTCGTTTTATGACTTCGTCTCACAGGCATGCTTCAAAGTAGCAAGGCTATGTGATTCCCAAAGGAGCTACTATTATCGCATCGCCTTGGTATGTCTGTATTCCTGTAACTTTGAACGTCTCTTGTTAAAAAATGATCACAGGTCCATATTCCGTACTCCTGATGTCTTTCCCAACTCCGAAGTGTTTGATCCTCAAAGATGGATCTTTGACGGTAAATTGAGGGACGACATCAGGCAATTTGTTTATGGATTTGGTCGGAGGCAAGATTTCTTGTAAGTCTAAGCCTTGCCGAATTGCTAATGTGGATGTCCGCAGAGTTTGTCCGGGATCACGCGTTGCGAATAGGTGAATGTCCTTTATCTCTATTTACTATGGGGTGTTAATTTTATTGATGACGAAAAGGTCGCTGTTCATTAATACGGCGCTTCTTTTATGGGCTTTCAATATTGTTGCCAATGAGAATATTGACTCGATGGCGTTTGCTGATGAACCGGGGATGCATCCTGGAAGTTTTGGGGTACGCTTTGATCTGCGGCTGGGGAAAGAGAAAGAGGCTTGGGTCAGGTCGTTGATGGTCGACTGAATGACGGAAAATCAAGGATGGAAATACAGAACCATAGCTTTGGAGGAGACGAGGCAAATATTCATATTCATGATGATATCAAAGATGAAGTAAACGGAATTTTCTAGATTCTAGGAATACGCCCCCTTCACGTTAAGCAAACTGAAATGCCAAAAATGACCCCCAGCCTCGTCGTTCATCGAGAAATCAAGCTGTGGGAAGTAGGAGACTCAAGAGACTTATCGACCATAAAAACTCATGCATAGTTCCCACGGAACATGTACTGAAGGCTGACTGGAGCAAAACGCACGTTTTATCGGGCATTTAGCTGAGCAGGCCGGTACTAATTATATTCAATGCAGTTTTCATGCATTCCAGTGCCGTAAACTGTTAGATGCTTCTTCTGTATCTATTGAAGTTCAGCCAGCGTGACCGTGTCATGCGGGTTTCGGTTGGCTATATTGGTCGAAGCATTGTCCACGGTGTCTGCCGTGTCTCTCTTTCGGTTGCCACGATGTCTTGGCTGCTCGATTTGTTTGCTTGCATCCTTGCAGCTTCTCTTGCTGTATTCATACGCTCCTATTATCGGTCAAAGTTGCTACCACCAGGTCCGCCTGGTCATTGGCTATTCGGGAATGAGATCCCCACTAAGCGGTGCGTTGTTCGTAGCCTTACTTGCCACCATCAGCTTATTTGCGAAGAGCTTTTTTGAAGTACGAAGAATGGACAAAGGAGTATGGCCCGGTTTATTCGCTGACTAGGTTTGGAAAGGTGTACATCGTCGTTGGTCGATATGACGTGGGTTAGTTGTCTGTTCTCGATTACTGAGGCTGACATTCGATTGTAGGCCGCTATGGAAATAATGGAGAAGGGTGGATCACAGACGTCGGACAGACCAAGGTCTATTGCCGGATCTGAGACGTTTTCTGGAGGTCTAAGGTCGATTATGCTGAATGATACGCCGAGGTGGAGAATCCTGTACAGGCTAGTTATCCATCTTGACGAGCACGAAGCTTACGCTAACGTATTATTCATTAGGGCTTTTCATTCACACTGGAAGACCGACAAGGCAGCGGCCTACGAGCCCCTACAGCTACATCATGCAAAGAAGCTGATTCTCAGTATCCTTGATAATCCGGTGGGACTTACAATGCACGCAAATACGTATGTACTTTGTCGACTTCCGCTGAAACTATATTAAAGCATGCTAAATAGATATGCGGCATCTGTGATATTTACCCTGACATATGGGAAAACGACACCGACGACTCTTGATGATCCCGATTTGCAGGATATGGTTCGAGATTCACGACGTTTTCGCATGGTAATTCTCCCTGGGGCTTACCTCGTAGATACCATTCCGATTCTTCGATGGGTTCCTGGGTATCTTGCCGAGCTGAAGAGGTGGCATCAAGATTCACTTGTGTTAATCCGTCGGTGTTTGGGCAGGATTCAAACGAGAATGGTTGGTGTATTAAACATTGATTTCTCCGGAAGGTTTTATAGATTTATTCTAGGACGCTGGGGAAGACGTCCCGGCTTGTTTTGGGAAAGATCTCTTAAATAATAAGAAGATGACCTTCGACTAGGCTGCGTATCTTGCGGGGGCAATGTTTGGTGCTGGATCGAATACGGTTCGATTTCTTGCTCTTGTTTTATTGGCTGCTACAAAAGTGTTTAGACTGCGGCTGCACTAACGTTTATTGTCATGACGGCTGCCTGTTTTCCTGATGCGGTAAGGGTTGTACAGAAAGAGATTGATGAAGTGGTTTCTGGTGATCGATGTCAGTAATGTCGATGTCTGAATGAACCCTTGAAGTTGCTGACCGTGAGTTTGAATAGGTCCGACGTTCCAGGATAGAGAGCGGCTTCCGCAGGTTATGGCATTTGTCTATGAGTGCTATAGATGGTACGCGTGTTCTGTCGACGGGTCTTATGATAGGACTGATAGAAGTTTCGGAAAGGCGGCCGTTGGTGCCAAGTGGTACGTGCTTCACAGTCAGTATATCAATGATGGGCTAACGATTTATCAGGAATTGCGCATGCCGCTAATCAGGATTTTATATGGGTCAGTTGTCTCCTCCCATAGCATCTCATTCCTTCATAACGCTCCTCCAAACAGAAAGGCTACGTTATTCCCAAAGGAGCTACCATTGTCGCTTCGCCTTGGTACGTCTATGTTTCCGGGTCCTCGAACATCCTGTACTAAAAAGAGTGTAGGTCAATTTTCCGTTCACCCGATTTCTTTCCTGATCCCGAAAATTTTGATCCTCAACGATGGATCGTTGATGGAAAATTGAGAGAAGATATAAAACAATTCGTTTATGGGTTCGGTAGAAGGCGAGATTACTTGTGTTCACTTGTTATCGGTGGTTGTTGACGTGCTGTTTCCGTAGGATTTGTCCCGGAGCACGCATTGCAAATAGGTGAACGTTCTGTGTGCCTACCATCTTCCCTGGATGTTTATGTTTGTTATGAAAAGGTCGCTGTTCATTAATACCGCGCTTCTTTTCTGGGCTTTTGATATTGTTGATACCGCGAAGATGGACCCCAATGCGTTCGCTGATGAGCCGGGGATGTATCCCGACAATTCTGGGGTACGCTTTGATTTGCGGGCAGGGAAGGAAAAAGAGGATTGGGTTAGGTCGTTGATGGCTCAGTGAGCCCTCGGAACAACGGGGCCCGGGCATACGAGATATAGATGTCATGGGAAGAGCACAAACAATTTGAATGATAAAAAGGAATAGTATATCAACGTAAAAGTATGATATACGAGAATATAGAAAGTCGCCGTCAAAAGGGTTGTAGCTTTGGGGAGAAACAGCAAGTATCCGTTCAACCCCCGAGGTCAGGGAACAAAGAGTTCAACGGGATCCTCAGGATTCTCGCAATACAGGGCTCTCACTACGAAGGAGCCTAAATGCCCGAGATGGCCCTCCAGCTTCGTAGTCCATCGATAAACCAGACTGTCCCAATTGTTAAGAATCAGGGTATTTGAGCTAATACACGAGATAATGAGTACTCGAGTAAAACCCAGGTTGTGAGCGAGGATGTCCGTAAGCCGAGTTCCAACCACCAAGAGGGATCCGTAAGGGTGTTAACAAGCGCTAGGCGTAATTAACGAGGGCGTCAGCAAGCGCTAGGCGTAACTGACAGGGTTTCCGAAAGCGCTAGGCGTAGTCGGGAAGCAATTGATTGGCAAGCGCTTGGCGTAACCGATCAGAGAGCTTAAATCACACAATTAAGTGGACGTTCGAAGATGAGTAAAATAGCTTAAGATTCTAATACAAGGATAAGTACAGTATTTATATACCAATAGTAAGGGATCGTGTCATGATTATTCTAGTATTATCACGAAGAAGAGAGAAAGTAAGAGAAAGTAAGAGAAAATGAGAGAAAATACCAGTAAGCCGAGGTCAAGGCCGAGAAGGCCGAGAGTAGGCATGTGTTGACTCATGTACAGACCGGAAAAGACATGAAATCCATGACAAAGCCCCCCCAGTCTACATATGCTGGAACGAGGCGCATATGAAGTGAATGAAAGGAATTAGAATAAGTAAATATTGTAGATTTCACTTATTCTGCTGATTGTAGCCATAACTTCATGAATCCTGGAATCCAAGTGCTTCTCCACCCTTCACACAAAGATCACCAGATCGATCACCTTCGGAAATGGCATTACTGGCAGGCTTCTTGCCGTTACATGAGTTGAAGATCGAGTTGGACTGAAACTTGTTGAGCAATAACAAGCACGTATACCGATGAATACCAAAGGACAACCTTTGAAGTGGATTAGAACTTCCTTTATGCTTGGATAAGTAAAAACGAAGTTCGGGTGATAAGTGAATCGAGGAAGGCTTCGTGCGGGAATCAGCAAGTGCCGTTTCCAAAACGAGAATGATATTGATGATCCCATCATATTGCCATCTAATCGATTCTGCCATCGTTCCAATCACGCTCGAGATTGTGTTCTCCTTCGGGCATTGCCTCGAGGACTCCGTATCTTTCACCTCATTTCCTAATGCTTGTAGGCATCGCTTAAGGCTCGAGGCTTCTATATCAACCTCCGATAACGGCGCAGTCAGTGCTAGCAGGCCTGTTGAACGTGCTAGAAGGCTGATTTCTGTATATCCAGAAGGGATACCGGGAGATACTGCGATAGGGGTGATGAAACCGTCACTGGGTACGTCGGTTGAGCTATTGATGAACCGAACACATTGATTTAATTGATCGTGTTCAGTTTTCTCTGTCCAATTGAGCTTCCATGATACTGTACTGGACTCGACACTCTGTGAATGATCTGTGAGTAGTCGTTTTGACTCCTTTTTGATTACCACCGCTTCCGTTATGATTGACACGCGGGGGTAAACTGAAAAACTATGGAAACTGATTGACTCCGGAACAAGCGGACAAAGGAATTCCAATCGAGGTGAGCGCAGAATCCTTTGGCGATGCTGCTGTCGATCCCTGCCGCCAGTTATGAGATCCAGTATCACAGTAAGAATGGATGAAAAACGGGAATTCTGGACTTTATGCAAAATTCGATGGACCGCAATTTCTCCAAGTTCCTTATCTGCCAGATTGAAGGTGAAGCCGGGAAGGCAATTGAAGAAAGTCGTGATGAGTTCACGTTCGGAGGCGGTGCTGAACCCTTTGGAGGCGGCATTTGGAAACGTCTGCGCCTTAATTCGGATAGCTAGTCGATGCGGATTACGCGCTGTCCTAATAGGCCGACTCTTTCGTGTGGTGCGTGGTCGTCGTTTCATCCGTTGGCTTCCCTTACAAATGTAGTAAAACCTCTTGCCAGGAATACGAACAGGACTGGTCGTATTCCAGTTTCCTATTGCTGTTAGAGAACAGCAGATGTTTGAAGTACGAAGGACAGAGAGTCGGTAGACGGGGTGATAGGGTAAGTCTTCTCCTTGCCGCCAACGAGTCTCTCGGCTGACGTGTTGTTTGAGAAATAGAACACATTGCCGTGTCATGGAGTGAACACGGGTCGATATTCTAGTGCCGCACCCTAGATGTAGGAGCTCTCTTTGTACTGGATAACGCTTCAAATACTGATGAAACATTTGAGCCCACTGATGTGTCCTTGGTTTAATATTTATACCAGATTCAAAACATTTTCCGTCCCAGGATGTGCCGGAATGCCGTATGAGAAATATGTGGACAGCGGATGGCTTCATCATGTGAGAGTAGCAAGGGGAATTGACTTTCGTAGTTGCCGGTGAGCTGTTTCCAAAACGGGAATGATATTGATGATGGTATTGATCGTGAACTTCATTTCGCTGTCGCATCGTTCCCAGTGTTGTTTTGCTCGCGCTCGCTGTAACGCGCAATTCCAGCTCCTCTCCAAATGTGTCGGAGTTTCGTTCAATTCTACTGCCAATGAAAATACTGAGCTTGATCGTGAACTTCCCTTGAATATTCTTGATCTCTCTACTCAAGGGTCTAGCGTACCGGCTTCTTTCCTGACGATGTCGGTCGCTATTGGCTGGGACTTCAACTTCCATGCTTATCCCTTCAAAATGACCTCCTGATGCAATCAATATTACGTTGTTTGAGCCCAACGATACTTGTATGAATCTCCGATATTGGCGAAGTCGGTGCTAGGTCTGTTGAACACCGGGAAGTATGCTGGTTTTGGTGTTTCCGGAAGGAAGAATAGGAGAGACTGTAGTAGGGCGTGATAAGAATGGTGCAGGGTACGTCATTTGAGCCGGTACTGAGCGGAATATTCTGATTTGATTGATCACATTCAGTTTTCTCTGGCAGTTTGCGCTTCAAAGACACTTTATTGAACCTGACAACTTTGTCATAGAGCAGTGGTTTGGACTCTTGTTTATTCACTACGACTTCTGTAAGGAATTCCAGTCGAGGTGAGTGCCAAATCCGTTGGGGATGCTGCCGTTGAACCCTGAAACTAGCCGTAAGAACCCGTACCACGGTAGAATTTGCTGAAGATCGGGAATTTTGGAAGTTACACGAAGCTCGATGTACCAGGAATTCTCTGAGTTCCTTCTCTGCGAGAGTGAAAGTGAAGCTCAGAATGTGATGGGAGAATGTTGTGATGTCCTCGCATCCGGTGGTGACGCCGAATTCTTCGAAGGAGGCATTTGGAATCATCTGTATGGTGATTCTTATAATGAGTTGACACAGATTACGCACCGTCCTAATACGCTGACTCTTTCGAGTGGTGCGTCGCCAACGTTTCAATCCTCTGGATTCCCCTATGAATACTGTAAAACCTTTTTCTGGGAATGCAAAGAAGACGGGTCGTATTCCAGTTTCCTACAGATACTAGAGAACCGCAGATGTTTGTAATATGAAGGACAAAGAGTCGGGAGATGAGATGATAGGGTAAGTGCTCTCCTTGTTGCCCATGAGGTTCTTGGCTGACATGTTGTTTGAGAAATACGATAATATAGATGCAGGATGTGCCGGAATGTCGTTTCGGAGATGTGTGGATGGAGGATGGCGACGTCGTGCGACAATAGCAAAGGAAATCGGCTGTCGTAGTTACCGGTTCGGAGTTGTTTCCAAAATTGGAATGATATTGATGATGTTGATCGCCATGGCCTTCCTTTTGCCATGCTATCGATACCATCATTGGTTTGCTTGCTCTCAAGATTGTGTTCAGCCTTGAGTCTTTCCTCAATGATCCCAGATATTTCTCTGCATTGATATCCAGTATAATCCCTATTTTGACCATGCCTCCCATGCTTGTACCTGGATCCCAATTCGATCATCAAGTTTCCTCGTGGACCCGATGCGCTGATTTCTTCCCTGATGGTGTCGTTTTTGGTCCTTCGGACTTCTATAGCTATACTTACGAATTCGCGATCGCTTCCGTATGCATGAATGATCCATTGTTTATGTCAAGCACACTCATAGTCTTCTCCAACAGTTTGCGCTTCAAAGATGCCGTATTGAACTCGCTACTCTGTGAAGGTTTTGTGCGTAGCCACTTCGTATCTCGTTCAGTTTCCTTAGCTTCCGGAATGATAGGAATGGTGGGAGCGTTTGTCGAGGATGTAAGAGATACATCATGAAATTGGAAGTCACTACCAGCAGTCAGCTGTCGTTTTGTAGGTATCACAATGCATACTTTGGCTTTGACTACTCTTGGTATTCGTCGATGCTTTGAATGACGACAAGATTTTAGGGTCAGGCAGTACGATTGGAGCCTCGTGATCTTGGTTGCTTTGCTCTCAGCTTCTGCTAAGGCATGGACCTCAAAGACCCAAAGCTCCCGGTCACTAAGTGATGGTACTATGGCGCTTTCAACTTCAATTCTGTTTCCGACAAGACATTTCCGATGTAATCGACATTCAGTTTGACCGTACTGCGCCATAAATTTCGTTTTCTGCTTGACACAAACCTCAGGCAATGTAGAAAGCATACGAAGTGCCATTCGGGAGTTGCACGCAATATATAAGTCTGAATCGAGGACCGTCTGCAAGATATTGAGATCAGGGGTACTGACTTCTACCAGAGCATGTCGCTTTGCTTTCCGGATGGTAAATTTCGACAGCCGTGGTACACATTCTCTTCTCCTTCCAATCAGTATATGTTGATGGTCACCATGGTGGGACATGACCTTGCGGGTGATGTGGAATACTTGCTGTAAACTGTTTCTTCTGCAGCTGGTTAATGCGACGTCTGACTTTACGTGATAGTAGGCGACTCTTGTTCTCTTCGGAAAAGGGTATGCACGGCGTATTTGAAGCAATTCGGAAGGTACGAATTCCGTTGCCGGCTAAATTCTGATCGATTGAAGTGTCGGTGTTATAGCACAGAGCTTCGAGGTTTGGAACTTGTTTACTTCGACTATACTGTTCCTCTTCTCTTGTAATGCTACTGTGTACTCCCTCCCAACTCAGGTCGGAGGCCGAGACCTGACAAGAGGTCTTCGACTTGAAAGGATTACACCGTGGTACCGGAGAAACAGCTCGAAGGTGATACTCCCTTTTCTCGAGATGGTCTCTGTCAGCATTGCGCTGAGCGGCCAGGAATTCTTCGTCTAGATATACACGTGTCTGAAGTTTTATTCCAGTCATAGACGTAATCAAGTATATGAAGAAAATGCTCGACACGGAATGCGAAACCGTAAGGCATGTATCTCGAAGTCGTTGGCTGTCAAAACCTTTTGCAGTGTCGATGGCCCATGCCGGTGGTCGGAGATCTGAATAACCAAAGGCCTTGAGTGACGATGAAGCTATTGCACAGCGAGTGGTCAATCTGGCACAAAGTTCCTGATAGACATTCTCATTCATCTTGTACACGATGTCCTTCGTAAATGTGGTGAAGGCAGAAACATATGTGAGGAGGTCATCTAGGATGTGCGTCTCTTCCGAAAAGGTATTGGTATACTGGTTGTGCGTCAATACACGAGCACTTCGCAGACCGTACCCAAGTTTCCGGTCTCTACTGAGCCTAAGTATCTGCATAATGCGATCCTTGCGCTCCTGCAGATGTGAATGTTCTGTGAACGTGAAAAGGGGAACACAGTTTGGCCATAAACAAGTAACATTCTGGCTATCAGTGTCGGAAATGTCTGCTGGGTCGACTGGAAACACGAGCGGTGCTGGAGGATCTGGAAAGCCAAGCGAGTCGCCAGGCAAATGCTGAGTTGGGGAGAAGATTGCGAAGCAGGTAAATGGACTGTTGAAAAGGATCCAGGCATAGTATTTGAATCCATTGCGAGTAGTTTCGAAGAAGTGCTGAAGCGAGCAGGAATTAATGAATAAAGTGATTCCCTCTACAAGGTGTTCCCCAATGTGTCCACCAATGTTAAGAATCAGGGTATTTGAGCTAATACACGAGATAATGAGTACTCGAGTAAAACCCAGGTTGTGAGCGAGGATGTCCGTAAGCCGAGTTCCAACCACCAAGAGGGATCGTAAGGGTGTTAACAAGCGCTAGGCGTAATTAACGAGGGCGTCAGCAAGCGCTAGGCGTAACTGACAGGGTTTCCGAAAAGCGCTAGGCGTAGTCGGGAAGCAATTGATTGCAAGCGCTTGGCGTAACCGATCAGAGAGCTTAAATCACACAATTAAGTGGACGTTCGAAGATGAGTAAAATAGCTTAAGATTCTAATACAAGGATAAGTTACAGTATTTATATACCAATAGTAAGGGATCGTGTCATGATTATTCTAGTATTATCACGAAGAAGAGAGAAAGTAAGAGAAAGTAAGAGAAAATGAGAGAAAATACCAGTAAGGAGCCGAGGTCAAGGCCGAGAAGGCCGAGAGTAGGCATGTGTTGACTCATGTACAGACCGGAAAAGACATGAAATCCATGACACCAATGCGCCAGTGACCACGCCGAATATGGAACAGCATTGACGATGACAGTTTCCAAGCTATCGACGTTATGAGCATGCTCAACTAGAGATCCCACAGCCAGTCAGAAGTGGCGCTTTCGAGATCATACTGGAAAGGTCTGGGCGACGAAAGGCGAGTAAGATTTGGAGGGGAGGGATGGCTTAGTGGAGACGGTTTTGAGCTTTTCGATGAGTCGTTCGAGTGTTATGTGGCCGGCCATGAAGACGTCGATCTAGATGGAGATGCTCGGAACGTGTAGACAGTCTAGAGAGGTAAAGTCCGTATTTGTTTGCCATAGATTAGCTGAGGCTGTGAGGTATTGAGAGATGCTCATATCCAAGGCACGTGGAATGATGCAGACTTGCTGCAATGACTTCAATGGTAACGAGTGGACAATCATGCTGACGCTGTCTAAACCGAGGTCCAAGAGGCATAGCTGATCGATGCGGGAGAAGATGGATATTCCGGAGCAGTTGGGGCGGAAGATGTTCTGCTCCTTCATATCTGTGTGAAGGTTCAACGTGCGCAGTGATGGTCCCTGGATTGTAGAAGTGTCTTGAGCGAAGGGAGGTTCCTGGATGTAGACGTCGTTCAAAGAGATGTATTGGAGCCTCGGGGGGAGGCAGCGCATGAAATCGAAAAGTCGTTGTGTAGTCGTACAACATTGATGTTGCCGGTAGAAGTGTCGGAGGTTTTCCCATGTGGAGCGTTGTTAGTGGATAGGTCGACAGGACGTAGGCATCTTTGATGAATCGGCAAAGTTCTTGGGAGCCCGTTTGTAAGTGTATGTGGTTCACGTTTTGCAGGAGTGGATGATATTCATCCGCGCATCAAATAGGTAAATGTGTAGGGACTTGACGAGCGGAGGGATTGAACTTTCGTCGGTGAATATTTGGGTGATTAATTTCCGCTTCGAGTCTGGGAATTGATATAGAACAAATACTCCGAAAATGTGGTATCGGGCCCTATCTCGGAAGGAGCGGGATATGAGGAGGAGTTTCGCTAGGGTTAGATGGTCGTCTTGGAGTTCGTCGACTAAGCGGTCGACGAGCTCCTACGGAAAGCTGAATTCTTGGACCATGATGGCGCTAGATAATAGATTCCTTTGTAAGTTTCCAGTATTCTTCCTGAAATGAATCATTACCTGAGCTGATTCAAAATTTTGGAAGGTCAAAGGCTGTTTGTGGCAGATGGAGGAGATAAGAAGAGATCGAGCGGAGGTTCGGCTAAATATTACATTTTCAGACTCTGCACACTATTGCGATTTGAGCATCAAGCATGCACGAGTGAGTGTCGAGTAATATAAAATACTTCTTCAAGGAGTCTTTGATGAGATATAATACTGCAGAACGCTAATGGTAGTACAGCATTAACGGTTGTATATAACTTAGAAGTTTCAATGTAAGTAGACAAACAGTTTGTATGGCACAAAGCTTGGAAACGGGCCGGATACAACTGAGCTAACGCGCAGAAAAGGGAATCAGAAAGACATCCCGTGGGACGGAATGGGGACAGACGTTCCTCAGGAGAATCTGAGGTTGTAACCCTAACCTGAAGAGATGATCCGGAACTTCTTGCACGTGATGGACGCGCTTCTATTGCGGCTGATTGCGGACCGTGGGGGGTAAATAGGCTTTCCTTCCTACCACGACAACGACGAGACTGACGTCGTAGCGTCGCTGCTTTTTCGCATTCTCTCTTTGCTCTTCCTTCCTCTACACATCTTTAGTCCCCTGTTCATTGCAATACCTTTTCCTGTCGCGAAAAATTGTTGTGGCGCAGTCATCCGTGGTAAACAGCTGAAATAATCGCGTCTAATAAGCACACTGTGAGTGTGTTTAGGTTATTTTAGAGAATCAGATTCCTTAATGAGTGCATTATTCAGATTTCTCGCGTTGGAGGCGATTTGGGAAGTGAGCCCTTGCCTCCACTTGATGTATCTGCATCTCACTCTGTCCAGTACCCTCCCAGTCCCAGCGTACTGGCTATCTAGTCGTTTCCCCGTTCGAGTTCTGCTGGTGGGACTGATCTGGTCTCTTGCGTGTATTTTTCCGTGTATGGTCTGGGCGCTGGCAGGTGCAGTGGCTGTAGTAAGGCGTTTGGACAACGATAACGTATGTTCTGTCCTCTACCCCGTCTATGCTCACTGAAAGATGTACCAGGTCTTGCTTTATGAGCGAGATCGTATGGCTTATCGGCGACTATGCACCTCTCCGGTTCTTCAATGAGACGTCGCCTTAACGCCCACTAGAAACGACGACTTTTGTTAATCGATGGATCCGTGGTCTTCCTCCATAAGTAATTATTGGTGCGTCACCCTCTGGCCTTCGCTTTTTCGTTGTTCTAATATACAGCTTCAGCGACGGCTGGCGGTAGTGCGGCATTAATGAGAATTGGCACCTTCGAATGTCCCTCCGAGGGTTGCTTCTCATGATCGCTATCATTCGTGGGTCTCCTCTTTCATAAGCCAATGTAGCTGCTCTCCCAGCAACCCCAACGGATCTAAGTACAAGAAGTCCAGCTCGACTGATGTCGATGCCCCCAAAGTATGTTGATCGAAGCCCCGCTCCAGCTTGATTTTGATTGTCCTTGATATCAGGAAGAACGTAGAAACTGGTCAGAAGGCGCGGCCTTCGCGGTTGACATCATAGATCTTGGGGTGGCGTATGCTTCGTTGGCGGTCTCAATGTCATATCAATGTAAGCCTCGTTCTAATCTACCTCTCCTCCGTTATGGCGGACTGACTTACATTCATCATGATTTAGTTCCCCAACTCCGTATGGTTTTGCCGGTCGTACTGTTATCGCTTGTTTTATGGACAGGTACGTTCTATATCATTCGCACCGTGTTCCTCGCCAACTTTGCCTCAGTCCCTGGATCCTGTAGGCTCCACTACGTGAGAATATAGGGTTAATTTCGGAGCATGTATGCACTTCTTATTCAGCTTTGTCATTTATCTCTGACCGACTGTCTTTGCCTGTTATTTTTAGTCTCTGCAGGAGTTTGGTTTATTCTTAGTAGGTGATTTATGCTCTAGCATTGTTCTGGCCCTAACTCGCGCTCACTAGGACGGCGAACTCCACCCTGGTCCGCCTTGTCCGGAAAGAGTGTCTCATGGAATCTCATGCTCAATATTAGGCGTCGTGGGAGATACTCTGGACTCTGTTTGCGGACTAGAGTGTCTTATCTACACAAGACGCGGAGTTGTGATACCGACGTTTCTTTGTGCACTCACTGGCTTAGCTACTCGTGCGTCGTAAAAGACTGTTAATTATAGCATGATGTTCGAGGACTACCCTTCGCTATGTCAAATAGCCCGAGCCATCCAGAACGGCGCAGGCTTCTTATCTTCCGTGGGTCCCCTACATACCGAGTGCTATTTTTAGTACTCACGCTAAATTCAAGATATGCACCGCATGGTCGTTTCCGGTTAGCGGGCCATCTCGCGCTGTTATCCCGGGACGAGTTGACATGTATAGTATATTCCGAAAACGGATTGGGCTTGGCTGAGAGAACGCCTGCGAAATCCGACACGCCCAGTTGGTCGCTCACCTTCGAACCTGAATAGGCCTGCCTATTCCCTCTTGATCTCTTTATCGTTTGATTGATGTATCATTCCGTGTTCGTTCTGGACTGTTTACGCCAGTGGAAGCCTGTCAACTGCTCAAGCATCTCACCCCCAACATCAAAATTGACCTGGATTCCGAACAGTCCTTGGCGGCGCCTTGGCATCTATCATGGCGTGGAAGCGTCATCTATGAGGAATGCCGCGCCACAATCGTATTTCCCATCGCCATTCGCACTTGTGGCCGTGAACATCTTAACGCTGCTAGTCCTGTATGTATTCAAACATGACAGCAGCACATGGAAGGGTTGATCACCCGTGAAGTATATTACATATTGGTGGGTGACAGTCAAAATTGCTTGACCTCGTGGTTAATGTGGCACGTCAGGTCTCATGTCCTGAAGAAGGAAAGATATGGCGGGAGAGTACCATTTGGGCAAGCTATCTGGTCCATTGCATCCACGATCATGTGTACGTTCCATTCTCCCATGCGCCTTGATCGCATTCACATGTGTTTCTACCGCAGAAAACACCTCGCCACGCAATAAAGAAGGAAGAACACACTACCTCTCTGCTTGGAACGTCCGAAACCAAGCGGAAGGAAATTTACAGGCACGTGCTAGAGAGAAGCAAACATGGCGGACTTCTTCCTGCCCATATGCTCGCGTCGGTACGATAATACCCAGGTCCAGTCAACGTTCGGCGTGAGTTACCACCGATTCCGAATCCGGTGTGCCCGTTTCCCTTATCGTTTCAATAGCATATGGACCTATTCTTCCATCTGGGTACAAAAATGGTCTGTATTCTAACGGCCTTCTCCCAGGCATCCTTACTCTCCCCATCATGGCTGAAAAGCACGATAGCGTGTCGTCCCGCGATGCGGAGAAAGCTGTTGCATCTGACATTGAGGCTCTCGAAGCTATCGCTCTCCCGACTTTGATGATCCCAATATCGACAAGGACGCCGCTATTGCCGGACTGTTGGGTGAGTAGCTAACTCCTACTTCGTCGATAACACTCTTACCATGTACGTTGTGCAGAGGACGACTCTCCGTACCCAGAAGTCCGTTCGGCGGTGGCAAACACTGATGACCCGTCCATTCCTGCGTCAACGCTGCGGTCGTGGGTGCTTGGATTGATCTGGGCCATCATCATTCCGGTACTTCCACTACGGCCCTTCCTTTCTGCTCGACTTTTCTAAATCAGCTCTTACATCCAGGGTCTCAACCAGTTCTTTTTCTTCCGTTATCCCTCCGTCACGGTTACTGGTATCGTTGCGCAGTTGCTTGTCTTCCCTATCGGTAGGGCTTGGGCGAGGATCGTACCCAATTGGAAAGTTCTTGGTGTGTCGCTGAATCCCGGGCCGTTTACTATTAAAGAACATGTACGTTCGCGATCAATTTGGGTAATCTTCGCTAATGCTGGAATGACAGGTGTTGGTTACGATCATGGCTTCGGTGGGCTATGGGAGTGCCTACGCCACTGATATCGTTGCTGTTCAAAGGGTTTATTATAACCAGATGTACAACTTTGGATGTAAGATTGTGTATTACATGCTATACATTCGCTAACGTTGCGTCTGTAGATCAATGGATGGTGGTGATGTCTACCCAGCTTATCGGCTTCTCCATCGGGGGGATTGCCCGTCGCTTCCTTGTCCAACCGCCTTCGATGAGTATGCGGCATCTTTCAGTTTAACTTCGAACCCCGTCTAATTAGTTTTAGTTTGGCCGACTAATTTGGTCACCTGTGCGCTGTTCAACACCTTGCATGCTCAGACTTACGCTGGTATCGGTAATCGCGGAGGTATTAGCCGAGAGAGGTTCTTCTTCTACGCCTTCCTGGGTGGTTTCTCGTGGTACTTTCTGCCTGGGTATCTGTTCCAAGCGCTCAGCTACTTCTCCTGGGTGTGCTGGATCGTTCCCGATAATGTGCCAGTGAACCAGATGTTTGGATACGTGCATGGTATGGGTATGAGTCTCATCACGTTTGATTGGGCCCAGGTCAGTACTTGCGGATTCGTAATGTTCTTGCATGTGCTCCAACCACGGTTCTTTTTAGATTGCATATATCGGGTCTCCACTTGCCACGCCCTGGTGGGCTGAAGCTAACATCTTTGCCGGATTCGTGGCATTTTTCTGTGCGTGTCGCCTGCGTCCCGTTCTATTTCCGTTGGCCTAATGATGTCTATTCTTAGGGATCCTCACTCCTGCGCTCTATGTATGGATTCTTCTCTTCCTTTTTGGTGCATGATCTGATCCATATGTTTAGTACTCGAACGCATGGGACAGCAAGTACATGCCGTGAGTATTCATTCTGTCTCGAAGTACTTTACCCCAACTGATCTTGTGGCAGGATCTCTTCCCGAGGGTCGTATGATCATTTTGGCGGCACTTACGAACGTTACCAAGATTGTGAACCCAGACGCCACATTCAATGATGGAGGCGTACAGGGCGTACAGCCCTCTGTACATTTCGACGACGTTCGCCATCTCCTACGGTTCTCTCATTCGCGAGTATCACCGCCACGATTACACATGCCTTGTACGTTTTCAATGTCGGTCTGCTGTTGACGCCGAGTCTGATAAGCGTGGGTTAGCTTGTACTTCCGAAAACAAATCTGGACACAAGCACGCCGAGCTATGCACGAGCAACCGGATATCCATGCACGCCTCATGTCACAATATCCGCAGGTGCCGGAGTGGTGGTATGCTATCATATTCTGTAAATCTTCTTTCTCCATCTCGTGATGTTATCGCCATGCTGATGGGTACTCTAGTATCCATGTTCGCATTTGGCGTTATCTCTATTGAGGTTTGGGATACCAAATTCCCCGTGTATGCACATTTCCTCGTTTAGCTCCATCCCCATACTGAGGATAGCGCAGACAATTCTTTATTCTCGCTTTGGTCATCTCTTTTGTCTACGTCATTCCAATCGGAATGATCCAAGCTATCACCAATCAGCAAGTTGGGTTGAATGTCGTTACCGAGCTAATCATTGGATACGCCCTCCCTGGTCGCCCCGTTGCAATGATGATGTTCAAGACGTGGGGATACATTACCATGGCACAAGGTACGTGCAACTTTTAGACCATCGGCCGCCTACTAACAGCCACCGACCGATAGCTCTGACGTTCACGTCTGACTTCAAGCTTGGTCATTACATGAAGATTCCCCCACGCTCGATGTTCTGGGCGCAGGTTATTGCCACCGTCATTGCTGGTACGACGCAGCTCGGCGTCCAAGCGTGGATGTTCACCAATATCGAGAACTTGTGCGATCCCGCTCAAAAAGATGGCTTTATCTGTCCGTCGACGGAGGTATTTGGGACTGCTAGTATTATCTGGGGTGTTATCGGGCCGGCGAGGCAGTTCTCCCAGGGACAGGTCTACTACGGTGTGTTGAGTTGCTTACATCCCAATGGCGTTGCTTAATCTCTTGTTAGCGCTGGTATTCTTCTTCCTCATCGGATTCGCCTGCCCGGTTATCAGTTACCTGATCAGCTTGAAGTGGCCCTAACAGCATTATCCGCTATGTAAAGTACGTTCTTCCTTTCCGCATACACTTTCCTAAGACCTCTAACCTTCTCCTTAGCTTCCCAGTCATTTTCAGCGGGACCGGCGCCATTCCTCCTGCCAGCGCCGTCAACTACGTGCCCTGGGCTATTGTTGGCTTCATCTTCCAATACGTCATCCGCCGGCGCCACTTTTCGTGGTGGGCCAAGTACAACTACGTCCTTTCAGCCGCCATGGATTCGGGTGTGGCGGTCTCGGCCGTCGTTATCTTTTTCTGCTTGCAGTATCCGAGGAATGGAGATATTGGCGCGACGACGGTGCAGAAGTGGTGGGGAAACACAGTGCCATTTAGTAATGCAGATAGCGCTGGTACGCCGCTGTTGACTGTGTCGGACGGTAGTTTCTTTGGGTAAGCCCCTTCAATTTATGTGACGCGCTCGCATTGAATTTTTTTTTTCGTAGGCCGCGTACTTGGGCCTAAAGAGAACGGAAAATTTGTAAGATTAAACTTGACGGTTGTAGTAATGAGTTTATCTGGTGACGCTACTGTTGTTGTAGATCAATCATGTATCTTTTTATGTTGTAATCTTACGACTTTCGAGACTCCGAGTCGCAGGTGGGAAATGTATGCTACTTTCTTTGGCCGACAGATGATTGACCGGATAAATTGTCGGTCATTCTTATTGTACTGTTCGTTGACTGAGGGGCAGTCCGTAATGCTTGGCGAGATCGTCTATTGATTTTCCGTTTGCTTCTTGAAGGATGTATCACGGTCAAAGCTTAAATTCGAGTCTTCAGTTCCTCTAAAACATGGATTTATATATAGGCGCTAGAATGATTTATGCTGTATAATTGAGGGCTTACAAGTACTAAAGAATATATCGACTTTGGGTTAGATTCGAATGCTGTGTGAGCGTTACGTTGATCCTCCAACCTCGACAGAAATACCGCTGTGGGATCGTCATGTGATCTAATCCGTCTTATTCATTAACCACGATCTTCGCTCTCTATTCTGACTGGCACGTCCTTACCGCTTCATATTCGGATGGCCTATGCTGATCAGTTTCCCTTTTCAGACATGTCTCAAGTCCCAGAGTTCATTACGATCCCAGCCAAGTCCAATCACAGCGCGACCGTGATTCTTATCCATGTATGAACTATTTTTCTTCATTTTCGTAACAAGTCATGAAAGCGACGCGACGTTCAGGGATTGGGAAGCAATGCCAACGAGATGAAAACTATCGCGGAAGACCTTGCCACTGATCCGGGATTGGATCACATCAAGTGGTTGATGCCTCAGGCGTACGTTTCCTTCTGCTTTCTTGTTATACAGTGATACCGAAGTAATGTATTTCTAGCTCCCTCCGACCGAGTACTCGTCTCGGTGGACGAGTAGTACCAGCTTGGTAGGCGCTTGCTTATGAACCAATCGCCTAAGCTCTAAGTTGAGTGTTTTCAAAGGTACGACAGTAGGTTGGGTCCAGATGACGAGGAGGGGATCTTGGAATCAGTAGAACCACTGTGTAACATTGTTCGTCAAGCACAAGAAGAGGGAGAGAAGAGGGTTGTACTAGGCGGGTTCAGCCAAGGAGCGAATATGTCACTTTTTATCGGCGCCACCAAGAGGGACTTGAAACTCTCTGGCATAGTGATGCTCAGCGGAAGGATGTTGATTCCAGAGAAGTTAGTCGAAGTGCGTCTTCTACCGGAGAGCTTTTGTACACTGCTAATAATATGCAGAACATAGCTCCAGATGCGAAGGATATACCCATGTTCATTGCGCATGGGACGGACGACAAGGTGATAGGCCTGCAAACGAACAGAAAGTGCGTGGATGCGCTGAAGGCCGCAGGATTCGTGCTCAGGGATAGTACGGATGAAGTTGGAGGAATTTCGTACTATGTCTATGAAGGAATGGGACATTCTGTGGACATGCAGGAGATGGATGATTTGAAGGATTGGTTAAAGAAGAATATATCATCGGATTAGTAGGCTCTTCGTCAAAGTACGTTCTCTTTTGAAGAGGTAGTGGAACATATTATAACATGTTATTGTAAGGATAGAGATGAAGCACAATATCCGGCGGTTATGATGCATGGTATCATACCTTCTCTTACGCCTGTTCCTCTGGTTCTCTAGCCATCCCATATATGGTTATTCCTCCTGGTCCTTCATGTCGTAGCTAGTGACGATTGCGCATACGACGGTGATGTGACGACAACTCTGGCTTTGAACGCTCTTCGTGTGTTACGGCCCACGAGGCAAGGCTGGTTACGGAATGACGTATGTCTCGGCAAATGCCGTGTGGCAGTACTCGATCTCAGCACGCCTTCAACTTTTCCTTGTTTCGCTTCCTTTCGCTCCTTTTCTCCTTGCTGTCTTAGTGCATGCCTCATCTCGATCATTCCATACGACATTAATGGCTCTTAAGCGCCAACTGCGCCCTCGTCAGGGCCCTGCTAGCGACTCTAGCGCTGGTCAAGCCACCTCTGTACGTCGTGATGAAAAGATGCAACGGAGATTTTTTGCTGATGAAATGTAGGGAAATTCTGGAGTCGCAGGACAGGTTTCGGCTACGGATGGTACTGGAGCAGCTCTTCCTGATACGAGTGCCACGGGTTCAGGAGGAAGTGCTGGGCCGTCGACACCCCCACCGAGCGACACAAGCGGGAGCACATCCATAAGCACGAGTGCTTCGTCGACTAGCTTGACGTCGGAGAGTTCGACGATCTCCTCTACGTCATCGACGGCAATCATGTATGTCGCTGACGCATCTTCTTTCGAGTTTAGCTGACATTTTTCCAGAACGACTAGCAGCAGCAGCGAGTCGTCCTTTTCAACGTCGACGTCGAGCTCAACGTTCTCCACGACTTCTGTACCGCTGTCTACTACGTCCACGGTGGCCACCATTACCTCGACGATATCACTCCCACCCACCACCACCACGTCGTCAGCGCCGTCTACCACCTCCCAAACAGAGACCACCACCCCTTCGCCGTCTACCACCACGACCTCCTCCGATTCAAGCACGACTTCTCTCACCACGATTGTTACCTCCATATCTGGCCAGCTCACCACGTATACCACGAACATGCCCACGTCGCTCGCCACCTCCGATTCGGGCTCGAGTAACGTCAACCGCACGGCCCTCATTGCTGGCGTCACCGCCGCCGCTGTCGTCCTCGCCGCTCTTGCTCTCGGTGCCGTCTTCATCTACAAACGCGCCCAGAAACGGCGGATCGGGTTCATGGAGACTATCAAGCGCATCAGGCGGGAAGGCAAGGGCGCAGGTGCCGTTGGACTGCTCGACGACGAGTTTGAGGATACAACGAGGTATCGGGATCTGCCGAACGCGCCCGTGTCAGTGCCTCGATCTGTTCCGCCTCCCTCTCCTCCGCCTTCCGAACCTTTGAATTACTCGACAGCTTCACTCGTCCGTGGTGACTCGGGGAGCATGTTCCGTGAAGAGGTCTGGCCACCACCACGTGAGGCGAGTAGGCATTCTCGAGAGCCGAGCATCGAGGAGGATCCTTTTAGGGCTATCATGCCCTCGCCTCTTCCGCCTGGAGCTGCCTAGTTCTTGTCTTTCTTTTCAGGACTCGTGCATGGATTTTTTATACTCACTTGTACATCTCTAACCATAGTGGATTGTGTAGTTTTACCTACTCGTTTTTGGATACAAGGACGGTGTTTGAAATGAGCAAATGTTTGTTTCAGCAATCTCGTGTTCGTGACCAATGTCAATATTTTACTTTATTATGGGGGGGGACTGACTTAATGGTTAGGCGGTACGGATTCTGCTCATCAGGCGGTCATCAGAGGACCGCAATCCTAGAATAGGGTTAGAATCTACGGCCAGGAGAGGGTGAGAGGAGTGAGACTGACCTGCGATCGCATCCCAGAACTCACGGGGGTGGGGTACCAGACCGCCGTACTGGTGGGCAGCGTCCAACGGCTGGTGAGATCGATAGCGTGTCACTCATGGATCACATACGGTGGTACAGTACCACGGCATGACACCTCTGCATCCCACTCTTGCTTGCACGCATGCAGGTGGAGGTAGACGTTGCGTGTCTGGGTACTGTACCACGCATCGAGACCACTACCTCCATGACCTGTGATGCGGGCATCCTCGTGCGAGGAGGTGGCCCATCCCATGCGTGGTATAGCACCGCTGTCGCGGTCTCTCCAAACGTCTAGATTTCAACGGGCTAGGAGAGAGCAGACGCATAACTGCAGTTACATCACGAAATCACCGGCAACGATCGGCAAAGTGTACCACGTGACGCGATCTGTGCCCAAATTGAAATTGGCAGGTCCAGGTAATTTGCCACTTCGCACTAACCATGGCCCTCGCTCCCGCCGTCTCGCTCTGAGATGGTCGGGCGAGCTAGTAGGACCTTGGGATGATGTCAGGTGGTACCTGGCATGGGTTTGGCAGTACCTGTGAGGCGGTAGAACTGCAAAATTGATGTGGGGGTCGATTTGGTGTCTTGGTGTGTGAATTCACTCTTTTTTACTACTATGGCTGACAAGTTCTCTTAGGATCGTTATATTCTCATTCCCAGTGAAGTAGGAACCTCCTAGCAACGTTGCAGATACTCCCCAATTGTTACAAGGCTCGCCGTTACCCCTCGACGACTCAACGCCTCTCGTGGCACTCCAGATTGAGAATCCAACGACGATTGTTTTCCTGCATTCCTAGCACCGCGGCTGTGGTTTACATTGCAGCAGGAGGACTGGAAGACACGTCATGGTCCATTTTTACAGTCCCCACGTTTGTCCTTCACTCGCCGCCGTCGTCGATTCTCCGTCTTCCCCCAGTAACGCGAAACAACGACGGGCCATGTCTGCAGGGCGTTCGGTTCACCGGAGACGATTTCACCACCCTCTTGAGGAACAATGGCAGTGTTGTAGACCATTGCCAAGTCCCTCGTCGTCTTATTCAAGGAGGTTCACCCTCCTATCGTGGGTGCAGGACCGTGACCACATCTCCGCTGAGCCATGTGCTTTGCTGCTCACCGGGAGGGAGCCGTCGCATCATGATCTTGCATCGCGAGATCACCGGCAGAAAAACGGCAAACAGCCACGTGGGTACGATGCCCAATTTGGCAGGTCCGGGAAGATTGCCACTTGGCACTTACCATGACCCTCCGTCGCGTCGCGTCGCTCTCTGGCGACGAGGCGAGCTCACTGCAAGATTGGGTTAGGGTTAGCCCCCTGACCTTCGCGGCGAAGCCGCGTTGGGAGGGGGGTACGAGCCGGAGGCTCGTAAGAGGGGTAGGCAAAGCGGCACTCACCGAGGCTTGTTTGCTTTGCTTGTAGAGCATTGCAGGTCCAACAGGGGATGGGGATTAGCCAACCCGACCTGTTTCGCTTTTAAAGCTCTTCAGGGACCGTTAGGGTTAGGGTTAGCCCCCCGACCTTCGCGGCGAAGCCGCGTTGGGAGGGGGGTGCGAGCCGAAGGCTCGCAAAAGTAGTAGACAACGCAAGCACTCACCGAGGCTTTGTTGCGTTGCTTGTAGAGCGATGCAGGTCCAACAGGGGATGGGGATTAGCCAACCCGACCTGTTTCGCTTTTAAAGCTCTTCAGGGACCGTTAATCGCGCAAGCCAAGACTATGCGGGTCAATTGCTATTGGACCAGCAGCGCTCGCTAAGCGAATTGCAACAAATCACGCCATTATGGCGCGACATTAGTAATAATAAAAGTGGGACCACTTTTATTTATTAGTAAGATTAAATGACTAATACTAACCGATGATCCGATTAGTCATACCATATGACTAATGTGCCGGATCGGGCCGAGAAATGCCGACCGGTGTTCGGACCGGAAGCCGAGGTCTCCCTTTCGGCCGAGGCGTACTAAGAGCGGGTCGATTCCCGATAAACGGTCCGCCCTCCGAGGAGGCTGCGTCATTTCGCTATTAAGCGGACCGATAACCAAGGTTCGGGCCGTAGGCCCGGTTAGCGTTCGGGTTAACTCGGTTAGAGTTAGCGTCTAAATAGTTTAATCAGAACGTTTAAGTTGCATTCGCAGCGTATTGCTACACTATAACTTACTAGAGGGTTAGGGTTAGCCCGCCAGCTGGACACACCAGCCTATTTATCGTCGAAGAATGCGATAATTAATAAGTTACTAAGCGAGGAAGTCAGACGAGAATTTCCTGTATTATGTATAAAACGAGTACCGAGTAAGCCGTTGGAAGACGGCGAAGGGGAAGTACTAACAAGAGCGTCTGGTTACAGCCGCTGCGTTTAGAGAACGAGCATTACCTCGGGGCCAGTCGGCCCTTGTCGTATTAGCCCTCTACCGGCCGCAGACTCTCCACGAATCTAGGGCGTAAGAAATAATGGTAGAGTTTTAGATCTAGCCACACTAAATTGGCACCGCTCGCCGCCGAGGCGGGTCTTAGCGATAGCGTGCTTGCTATAACGAACTACTCTTGGCCTCCCGCCGCCCGCGACTTACGTCGACCTAAGCGAACCGGGTATCTTGGTTTTATACATTTCGACGAGGATATTCGGGTTAATATCCGTCCGATCGTTGGAGTCGATGCTAGCGACTGACTCCTCGGACGAGGATTGATGATCCGAATCGAGTTCGGCCTCGTCGAGGTGGGAGAGTACAATCTTTTTCCATAGACTGGTCATATCGAATAGGTTACGTGTCCGTTTTTTGGACACGATCATTCGTCGATTGAGTATACCTATTTTTCTAATGTCGGGAATCTCCGAGGGCCCGGCCGGGGATCTTACTTCCAAACATAGTTCGGAAGGGATCTTGCCAGCCGGATACTGCCCGTAGAGAACGGCACTATCTCGGGGAACTGTCCCCAGGCGTTCGATCGATGCGATGCGAGTCCGCCAGGTATTCATAATTGTATCTCCTAATTCTCGTGCAGAGAAGTAATCCCAAGCTGTATTATACTGCGACTTAAGTACTAGAACGCCGTTATCCTCTGTTTCCTTCGGTGTCACCCGAATTCGACTATTCCATCGTTCTGTAAAGTTTTCTCTAGTCCAGCGATATACTAATTCGCTAGGATAGCCGCGCGAGATGTACAAACCGATTAAGGTCTGAATGGCATCATCGTAGTGCTTGCGTACACTACTTAGCGTTGCTAAACGGGACTTAGGGTTAGGGTTAGGGTTAGGGTTAGGGTTAGGGTTAGGGTTAGGGTTAGGGTTAGGGTTAGGGTTAGGGTTAGGGTTAGGGTTAGGGTTAGGGTTAGGGTTAGGGTTAGGGTTAGGGTTAGGGTTAGGGTTAGGGTTAGGGTTAGGGTTAGGTTAGGGTTAG